CCTGGCGGGCTTCTGTTTACGAAGTTTGGAAGCAATCACACTGCTTTGCTTGATTTTGCATTTCCTGTAAGTCACCACTAATCTCATAGAGCTTATAACTAATGAAAAATACTTGGTATCCATAGGAGATTGTTTTTCGACTGCTCTGTTAGTGCAGGACATTTTTGGGTGCCTTAGTTTCAATTGCACATAAGAATGCTTATGAACTGCTTAGTATTTACCAATGAGGATTTTCCTCAGTCTCTTTGTCATAGATGGCTACTGCTATTAGCTGTGGAGTTAATTGGAGCCCAGAAACATTTTGATAATATGTTCTAGTTTAATTGTTAACTAGATGCACATGAAAAAATAGTTCTAGTTTGCATGCATATATACATTACGCCTCGATTGATTATTCTTGAAGTCTGTATCAAGGGTATCCAGTGCTAAGATCGATTTTTACAAGATAGTGTTGTCTATTGAACATATCAGGTGATTAGTTTGTTTCATTTAATCCTGGTATTGTTTCAATTGAGTTCCATCTATATGGGTGTGCTTCAAGTGATAGATGCTGGATCTTTTCAAAAAGCCGTGGTCCCTGTTTCATGAAGTTCAACTATATGAGGATTTCTGACATATGGGCTGATTATATCGATATTACTATCGTGAATTATTTGATGATTGACTTTTACATATTTACTTATTTTGGGTTGATAATTGATCATACAATTTCTCATATTCAGGATAACTTAGGTAGACTGCATGACAAAAGCAAGGAGACTCCTAAAACAATGAAACAACTCTCAAGACTTTTTCCCAACAAAGTGACCATTCAGCTACCCCAGGTTCAGACCCTACACTGTGATTGATATGGAAGAATGTACAATTGGATGAATGTATCTTACATTTTGGAGATCTTTTCAGGAAGAAGGATTGCTCTTAGACTGGAAGCAGCAGTTGGATCGTGATATTGAAACTCTGAAAGCGCAGGCTAATATTGTTACCATCCGTTCAGTAAGCATCCATTGCATTGGCTGTCGTTACCTGTAATTTCTTTTGATACGTACCATTTTCCGGCTGCTGAACATGATTATGAGAGAAGAGTCCATATGAATCAATGTACAACTTCCGGTAGATAAAGTGATATAACATGTTTACTATGCTACATCATGAAATGTCTGAAGAGAACCAGCTATGTTCAGGAGTTTAAGTACTGCACTCCTGTTTCTTGATTTTTATTAAAAATTACCATGTAATCTCTTAACACTGTGTTGAAAATGTTATCTCATTTGTGGCTGACTTTTTGCACTTGTTTAATTTTCAACTGTCTAGGTTCTTGCTCGAGTTGGCCTGCAATGCCCTGATCTTGAGTGTCTGTGCATCAATGACCAGACGTTGACAACTGAAAGTCAGTTTTCATTAACTTTTGTCATTATCCAGCCACTTTGAGATTGACAACTATATTCTTGACTGATGTTTTCCCCCCCCAATATAATAGGTGTAGAGAAAGTCGTGGGTTGGGCATTAAGCCATCACTTCATGCATTGTTCTGAGGCTTCTCCGGTAGATGCCAAGTTAACAATATCAACAGAAAGGTTCTGTTCTCGCATTGTCTTTCTTGCTTTAAAGTTAATTATATATTTTTTTCTTGGTACTTTTTTATAGTATCTTGTAAGAACTATGGATCTAGGCGTCTCCTTCTGGGGTTCCACAATTGGGTATAGATGTAGAATTAGGGACTTAGTAGATTAGGGATTAGAAGAATAGAATTTATGAAAGGATTTGGGAAGAACAAGAGAGAGAAAGAGAGGGTGAAATTATCTTATGTATTTAGTTAATGAGAAAGCTTCAACAATTACCGTATATAAAGCCTGATTAATTTCCTCTAACTACCCATAATTTAACCCCTAGCAGATATACTCAATTAACTCCCAAAACCCCCCCAAAACGTCCAAAGTTCCAAAAAATAATAAAACCGACAAAATGCCCAAATAGCAAAATATGACAAAATCCATTTTCCTTCTAGTGTATTGTTTTTAATGTTTGTATTGGTTGCTTGCTTTGCAGTATCAACTATGGATTGAGCATTCTTCATGGTATACATAATGAAAACAAGAGCTCGAAGAAATCACTCAAGGTAAAGTTTATAGCTATCCCAGTGTCTTTATCAGCCTTTTGTGAATGATACGCACTGTACTAGTTCATGGTACTCTTTATGTAATTTAACTGATAATTTGGAACATGTTACAGGATGTTGTGACTGACAATGAATTTGAGAAGAAGCTTCTAGCTGATGTGATTCCACCTAATGATATTGGAGTTTCTTTTAATGACATTGGTGCCCTGGAAAATGTCAAGGAAACATTGAAGGAACTTGTAATGCTTCCTCTTCAGAGGCCTGAACTATTCTGCAAAGGGCAGCTGACTAAGGTTAGCTTTATGTGATATGTATCCTCTTTAATTATGTCTTTAAAATGAAGTCGTGATACTGAGAATCTGGTAACAATACAGCCTTGCAAAGGAATATTGCTGTTTGGTCCTCCTGGTACCGGGAAAACAATGCTTGCAAAGGCTGTAGCAACTGAAGCTGGTGCAAATTTCATAAATATATCCATGTCAAGCATCACTTCGAAGGTAAGTCTGCGCTGGTAATGTGGTTTTTAGGGAATTGATTTTGGTAGTAAGATTCTTATGACTGATGCAACGAATGCAGTGGTTTGGTGAAGGAGAGAAGTATGTGAAGGCCGTATTCTCTTTGGCTAGCAAAATTGCTCCTAGTGTAATTTTTGTTGATGAGGTAAGTTCCTCCCCATTCACCCTGCCCGGAAACACCACTCTGATTTTAGTCTAAAGGCTGTGATATTAAGATGTGGTTTATTACTTGTGGTTTCTGCTCATTTTAGGTGGATAGCATGTTGGGAAGACGTGAGAATCCCGGAGAACATGAAGCTATGCGGAAAATGAAGAATGAATTCATGGTGAACTGGGATGGCTTGCGTACAAAAGATAAAGAAAGGGTTTTAGTTCTTGCTGCCACAAATAGGCCGTTTGATCTTGATGAAGCTGTTATTAGGAGGCTCCCGCGAAGGTACGTGTGCCTGCTTTTAATCTCTGCTGTTGTGGCTCCGGATTCTCCTTTTCCTGCTACTGTCTTTAGATGCGGCAGCATGATTAACATGGTTGCACAAATGTTGCAAATCTAGGTTGATGGTTAACTTGCCTGATGCACCAAATAGAGAAAAGATTCTCAAGGTCATCTTGGCCAAAGAAGAACTGGGAGGCGACGTAGATATGGAAGCAGTTGCGAATATGACAGATGGTTATTCTGGAAGTGATTTGAAGGTAAACAAAAATTAAGTCTTCTTTCCAGTGTGTCAAGTGGGGCTTCTTTGCTGATGTTGTTTCGGTTTAACAAGATTTGTTTTGCGTCTCCTGGTTTCAGAACCTGTGTGTAACTGCAGCTCATTGTCCCATAAGAGAAATATTGGAGAAGGAGAAGAAGGTGAGTGATGATCTATCCCTCTTTCCCCCATGCATGTCTGTGTTTCGGTTTGATAAAGGATTATTATTTTCCTCTAGCTGGTCGGTCATTCATAAATAGCAGCCTAACGTCGTGTTTATGATGGAATTTGGATGGTACAGGAGAGGAACGTGGCAGTGTCCGAGAAACGACCTGCACCTTCATTGTATGGTAGTTCTGATGTGCGCCAGCTTAAAATGGAGGATTTCCGATACGCGCATGAGCAGGTATCTCAACTCTTTTCCCCCCCTCTTGTTAATGATCAGGTCACCAGTGACAGGCTTCAGTATATGTATGTTTGAGCATTTGGTTGAAACTGTTTTGACGCGATTGTAGGTATGCGCAAGCGTGTCGTCGGAATCCAGTAACATGAGCGAGCTCCTGCAATGGAATGATCTGTATGGTGAAGGTGGATCCAGAAAGAAGAAATCGCTAAGCTATTTCATGTAGAACTGTGTATAGGAGAATCGCCCGTTTTTTATTAACCTTTGGCGCTTTCCTTGAAAGCCTAGTCTTCTCTAAAATTTTTCTTTCTCTTCATTTCCCCCCGCCTTTTATCTTCTGGTATAATTTTCATTTGTGGGAGAGAGACAGACAGATCAGGTTTAGGCAAACCGAAAAAAGAAAACAAGAATGTGTAGAGGTTAAACAAGGACTGAAACCTTTGTGAGTCAGTAGCCCAGTGCCCGACAAATTTGTATAATACATAGAAAAGTTTGGTTTTTCAGGAATTGATAAAAAGCATGCATGTGCTTAGAAATTTGCATTACTATTATTGTTCAAGACATCATCCTCTTCTCCCCATTCTGTTTGATTATTTGTTATTATGATCATCATCATCGACTTCTCGGGTTATTTGCCTGTACTTTCGATTTAGTTGCACGCTGACAACTTGAACTCTATTATTGTTCAAGAAAATAACTGAATATAAAGCAAGAACTAAAATGTATAACATGAACTGAAATGCATAAACTAATAACAAAAACTACATCCATTCTTCTTGTAAAATATGTCTTCAGTATGCCATACTATTTGTTGTAGCAGACTTAAGAGCCACATTCGCTAGGACTTCTGTCGTCTGTAGCTCCTCCGGTGGATGGAACACTCTTCAGTTCTCCTTTTCACTTTAATGCAGCAACTGAGCAAAGCAAAACTTCTCACAGTCGAACCTTTTATCCTTTTTCAGGCTCTTTCACTTGCTTTCGTAACCTCCAAAACTCTTCTTTTCCTTTTCTTTGAGCTGTCCCTCCCTTCCCCGGTTCTTCCTTCCATGCCAAAGTTGAAGAAAACCATGCCTATTCTCTACCAAAAATGCGAGAAAGGGAAAAATAGAAACAGAATTGGAAGGGAAAGCAACGGGGCGAATAAAGTTAAAGCAAAAGGAAACAACAAAGCAAGAAAAGAAACAAACAAAAACTTATGCAGACTTGCAGACTGAGTGTGGGGAAAAAGCGGTTACCAAACCATTATTTATAAAGGGGCCCAATCGGCGCCTCAACTAGTGAGCTAACTTGTTTTGAGCAGTGAGCTGACTCGACAATATGTCTCACGAGCCACTTCAACTAGCAACTTATGAGCCGAGCGATTAATATGTAATTGTTGACATACTGGTTGAAGTTTTAATAAAATTATTATTATCTATTAATAATCGTGAATATCCGAAACTCCATTGGGTATGAACGTTGTTTTGATATTCTACCCAATTCTTATATGTATATGAGTATCAGTAAAACCCGAAGTATTTCGGGTAAGGTATATGAATATAACTATCTGACCTAGATTCTGACCCAACCCGTTATCATCCCAAACTAATTGACGAACCGAACTCAAGTAAAACTCACGAGCTCTCATTAATGAACCAAACTCGAGTAAATTTTTTAGTAAACAAACCAATTTCAAACTCAACTCGCTCAAATTCGATTATAAACTCGACTCATTTGCGGCGTTATTGAATGCCACGCGGGTCGTTTGATCACCTTATATACCCACCCAGTAGTTCTTCCTCCCCGTCTCTCTTAATAAATAAAAAAATAACTCTTGCCTTTTTTCTCTCCGGCTGCTGCGCTGTGAGCTTGACTTGATTACTACTACAGTACTACTGGAGCCGTGGTCGGCGGGAACCACACGATCGGCTGCCGGCGCTCGTAGCACGAGATAATCCTTCTTCCGCCCCGTCCGACGACATTCTCAGATATTCCCGAGAATTTCATACCAACTGATTCCCTCCTCCTCGATCTTACTCCTTTCTGTTTGGTTTATCAGAATTTTTTTTTTGTTAGCAAAAAAGCTCGACAGTACGAACAGATAGTTAACTGGCCGGCGGCGGTAAATCTCCTCCGTCACTTGATCTGCTGGGCTCCACCTCCCCCATCGTCGTTCTCCTCCTCGTTGTCGATTAGGTCTTTACATTTTAGCCGCCTGTTTGTTTTCTAGTGTGAAAACGAAAAAGGGATGGTTTAGATTTTTCCCGTTCCCCCCTTCCCTGCTCTTCTCCCCAAACCTTTGAACCGTCGTTGTTAGTAGGGCTTCGTCGGAGATACTATTGTTTTCCATTTTCTAATGGTGGATTTTTCTCCTTTTCAATTCGCTTAATTTTTTTTAGTTGTTTAAATAATGTCGGAGCCGGCGAATGTGAGGCTTGTACGCTGCCCCAAGTGCGAGAACCTTCTGCCGGAGCTTGCTAACTACGCCGTCTACCGCTGCGGCGGCTGCGGAGCTGTTCTTCGAGGTACACTTTCTTTAATTTTTCAGTTAAGGTGCGGAGTTGGAAGAATTTGAACTCTGGTTTTTTTTCCTTGGGCTTAAAAAAAACCCTTTCTCTGTTTAGTTGAGGATGAGGCGTAATGTCAAATTGTAGTTGATTTGGATCTCTAGTTCTCGTCCTGCTATCTACCTCAGCAGGTAGCTAGGTGGAGTTTCAGTTTTGACAATTTCTTGTTGAGTCTTCATTTTTCTCCGGGTTGGTGAAGCCCTTAAACTAGCATTAGTTCGTCTCTTACCTAACCCAGTTCTTACTTGTTGAGGCTGGAGGGACGCTTTATTATTGTTTGTTTATTTGATTTGCAGCAAAAAATGAAGAGCAATTGGGAGAAGCTATATCAGACAAGTCAACTGAAGAAAGGGTTTCTGGAACCGGAAGTAGCAATAGCTTGCAACACTCTGCAGAGAAGCAACCTGAGGAGGCGAGCCAAGATGTCTCTGAAATGGATGTCAAGTCGAATCTAGACTCATGGAAATGTGAAGAGAAGGAACCCGAGAAGACTGGCATTGCCTCGGATGATGGATGCGTGGATGAGTCTAAATCCGCAACTGGCAAAGTTGCTGTTGAGAATGGTCTCCATATGAACTCTGACAATGATGGGTTGGTCGATCGAGGGCTTGATTTTACTTCTCAAATTGGAAGTGCTAGTGTTGCTGGGAAATCTGGAAGGATGTCGGCTTGGCGATCTGGGGAGAGAGATGAAGCTGCAGGGGTTCGGAGGCCTATGAAAACTGGGGTTGAAGGTGTGCGGTTTTCTTCCTCAAAACAGTCAGGTGAGGGTCCATCTAATTGCACCATGCCGGCTTCTTATAGTTGCGGGGAATCGTTGAGGAACCGTGATGACAAAGGTGAAGCAAATAGAGTTCAATACCTTGAGAAAGATCGGGCAGAGCTTCTGAGGAAGCTGGATGATCTGAAGGAACAACTTATTAGTTCTTGCCAAGTTGTTGACAAACCAAAAGAAAAGGTTCTTCGTAGTGGGGCAATGATCCCTCCAGATGCTTATGGTTCTTCAGATGCTTGGTTTCCAGGTGGTTGCTCAGCTGCTGATAAGTTTCCAATGGGATTTCCAGCATCAGATAAACAAGCTACCAGGCCTTCCTATGTCAACCATCATCATCCTGAACCTTTTCCGTACAGCAGAGGCCGTGACATGAACATGCACAACTTTTTTCCTTCGGTTAACAACTCCAGTCATCTTCCTGGTATTGACTATCCATATGGCTCCCACGTTATGAAGAGGCCTCTGCAGCAGCAGTTACCAGGTCATTATGCTCGACAACCTCATCATTACTTTTCTGGTCATTACTTGGATAGTAATCCCGATCCATTTGAGCCTTACCAACCTCATACACGTTTTGAGCACCCTCCCTGCTCTTGTTTCCACTGCTATGAAAAACATCACGGAGTACCACCTCTTGCGCCACCAGATAAATCATACCATGGGATGCCAAAGGATTCCATGTTCTACCACCATGAAAATCCTGGGCAGTTTGGCCAAAATAGTCATAATTCCAGGGCTAATGTTGCTTCATTCAACTCTCATGGTCTCCATTCCCGTATGAGGTTGCCAAGTGAGTTCAATGCTGAAGTGGGTGGATTTCTCCACAGTTGCCCCCGTAAGGTGGTATTATCTGGTGGTGGTCGATGTTCTCGTCCTGTAGCCGGTGCTGCACCATTTTTCACTTGTTCCAATTGCTCTGAGTTGTTGCAACTTCCCAAGAAAATACTGGCTATGACAAAAAAGCAACGGAAGATTCGGTGTGGTTCCTGTTCAGCAGTAATTGATTTGGCTTTTGTGAACCAGAAACTTGTTCTTTCAGCTAGGACCAATTTGAAACAAGCATCTCCACAAGCTGATGATAGCTCAACCGAGTTCGTGAAACACAATGCTTCATATTCTCACCACCAGATGAACCGAATGAATCTTGATTTCTCTTCTGATGATGGCGACACTTCTGGTTTTGACTTCCAGACAATTGACACTGATCCTACTGCATCATCCATGGGCCAGGAGTTGAATTCAAGCCGGCCTCAAGAGATGCAGAGCCTCCCTTCCTCGTCTCCAAGCTCCACGGAGTGTGAAAATAGCCCTGATGCTTCAAGTGGTCCAAGGGAGGCTGCCAACCTTGTTTACCTGCCAATTAAGCCTACTCCTGCTACATCACTTACCAGTTCGCCACATCATCAACATTTTGATCACTCTTATAATAACCATTTAGTTAACCGATTAGGGAAGGGAAATCGAAGTAGTCGCTCAGATCAAGAAAAGGCTGTTACAAACAAGGCTACTACACGTCAGAATTCTATGAAAGAGGCATCTTTGGCTACTGAGATGGATGTTTCATTCAATGAGTATAGCAATGCTGAGATTTTCCATGATCCTGGCGATGCTGGTAGAGAAGATATTCAGTCGAAAACCAGCAAGGCGAGAGAATCATTTTTCACAAACATTATAAAGAAGAGCTTTAAGGATTTTACTAGATCTAATCATGCAGATGATCATGGGAAAAACAATGTCTTCGTAAATGGGCATCCCATACAGGATCGAGTGCTTAAAAAGGCAGAGAAGGTTGCAGGGCCAATTCATCCTGGACAGTACTGGTAAGTTCACATCTGCTGACACTTATTTCAAAAACAACATATCCTTCAAGTAGTGGTTTGTATGCAGTTCAGGACATGGTGCTAGGTTAGTATATCGATCAGAATTATCGTATGAGGATGATGTTGATTTTAGTAGACTTGCCTAACAGATACAACTTCGAAATAGTTCCATTGAAGTTAATCCAGTCTTTGACAGAGTAAAATTACTTATAATCATGCAGTGTGATGCTTTTGTTTTGGTACTCCTTTACTCGTGGTGTGTATGTTTGATACCACCAGTTCTGCTATTTTCCTGAACCAGGTATGACTATAGAGCCGGCTTTTGGGGTGTCATGGGAGGGCCTTGCCTTGGTATCATACCAGTAAGTGTCAGTCAAGTATCATCATCCTGTTGGTCATCTGCATTTAAAGTTGCGCTCTCATAAATATTCATGTTTCCCCTTGTTTTTGTTACCAGCCGTTTATTGAAGAACTGAATCATCCCCTCCCTGCGAATTGTGCTTGCGGGGATACTGGGGTCTATGTGAATGGAAGAGAACTTCATCAGCAGGATCTGAATTTGCTCTCCACGAGAGGACTTCCAACTGAGAGAGACAGATCATACATAATTGAGATCACCGGGAGGGTCCTGGATGAGGATACCGGGGAAGAACTAGACAGCCTAGGCAGACTTGCTCCCACGTAAGTTTAAAATCTTTTGAAGTGACTCGTACTACCCTCGGCAACTAATGTATGCTCAAATGCTTTGGGGATTACAGCAATGTACTTCAACATATCAAACCTAACATGATAGTAAACGAACATGTATCCATTGCGTTGAAACTAATAATATTCGTCCTTGTGCTAGTAAGTAACAGCAATTGAGTTGATCATCTTGTGCAGGGTCGAAAAAATGAAGCATGGATTTGGAATGAAGGCTCCTAAAGCTGTTGCATGACGAGGACTGGGTGCACTTTATGCTGATCTTCTGACCCCGGGGAAATCTCCACCGCCATTGATTCTGTTAAGTAGGAATTTCAAATTTGTCGGAGGGACTGCCAGCCTCATCTTTGATTCCCTCTCATTTGCATTGGTGTGTTTCTTCCTTCTATTCTTTCTGCAAGTTTCTGTCTTGTGTTTTCCCTTTGGTTCCTCCTATCTATATTATGTAGCTCAGTCCGGGATCTAAATTAATGCAATTAAATTATTGAGATAGTAGCATCCTTTGTCCGGGAGCAGATTTGGTGCATAACTCAAATATGGTAATCCTGCATAATCGACATCAGCGAGGGGATTCAAAAATTTCCTGCCCAAAAACTCAGTCCCAGACTTCTCCACCCAACATTGAAACTTCTTCGCTCTCTTCTCCTTGAGATTCCGAAACTTTTCTATCCACTTCATTTCCAGGATTTGACATCATTCAACTACTCAATAGCAGGACTGCAAATGAGCCAAGTTGCTCACAAGCAGCTCGACGTTCTGTTCTGGTGGATCTTCTGGGACTGGGTATCTTGATGAAGTTGGGACTTCATCCAAACATTGCCAATGATACCGGATTCCATAATCTGGGCCGCATTCCTTGGCTCGTGCAGAACCCAGGGGAACATAGAGTATGCAGAAACTGCGGCGAGGCAGCTTTATGAATTAGAGCCTCGTAATTCGGCTAACTATTTTGCGATGATGAACTCGTATGATCATGTTCTCCCATCCCATGATCATGTTTGCTCAAGTTAGTAATCTTTAACCATTGATTCTGTGCATGAGGTGAGCAGAGTCAGATTATACAGTGCACAAAGTGCACAGGCAAAAGAATGAAGACAGCCAAATAGATATATTACATATTTCCATTTACGTTTCTCCACTGTATTCGTCTGTCTCTGCGTCTGGTAGCAGCAAGAATAGAGGTAAACCATATTTTACAGGTATGATGATGAAGACCACAATTTACATTCCAGGAGCACAGCAAAAGCCAACCAAAACCAAAACCAGCAGAAACAAGGAGGGAAAAGAGCACATCAAAACCGCCTACACAAGACGGCTTGGGAAAGACTATGGAAAGACCAACGACGACTGCAGTCACTACATATACCTGCCTACTGGTATTCATACATCCATGAATGCTTCCTAGTCCCTCCACTTCACTTCCAAGTATCAGACTTTTTTAATGGTAGTACTCCCCTTGTTCTCCCTAAACCGCCACAGCCGGGTCTGCGAATCAACAGTTGGCTCAGTCAAGTCCAGGTCGGGACACAGCCATCCTCTCGGAGATCTCGGCCAAAGATCTGAGATTGCACTTGATAAGAGCCCTCACGAAATAGCATGTATCCTCCTTGGTGTTCCCCTGAGGCACATCCACCACGAAAGACTCGACGACTAATGTCCCTGGCCTTCCATCGATAACCTCGGGATGGACCGTTATGACAGAGGAGTAATTCTGCAATGTTTTAACACCACGAGCAGACAGAAGCATGGGCAAAATGAGAAAAAAAGGAAAGATCAGAAAGGGAAAGAAGCAGCAGCTGATGCAAAATAGCTTATATTACTAGACCTCCCAAAGAAGAAGACAGAGTTGTACCAAGAAAACTAGCCGTGACACAACTGAAACAAAGCAAACATTCCCAACCCAGAAATGTCAGACAAACATCTGTCAGTATGAACCCTAAAACAGGCTAGATCCAAATATATCAACTAACAACTCCCCAGAAAGAAACAGATTCACCATGAAAAAGGGCAAAATCCCCTTCATCTATTGGCTACCAACATTTCTTTCACATCTACCAGCTCAGGTCAGTCAAAAGTAGCCAAAAGGCAATCAGGTCAAACTACTTGGAATTGAGATTGAGAAGCAGCAAGAAAACGAATCAACAGAGGCCAAATAGTACACTTACCCTGAGCCTGTGATCACCATCGACGATCTTGATCCCTAGAATATGCTCCTCGTCATCGAAAACTTCCAATCTCTCGGTGCTCGTGGTTGCAGGGAGGCCAGATCTCACATTCACCTGCCTCAGACTCCCGATCCCGACCTCTCCGTTCATTGTACACCTGCTGATGAACGGTTTGTACGTCTGCGGCTCGTCGAATCGCCTCACCAAAGACCACACCTGAATCCACAATCAAGCAACCCCCCACCAATTTCAGCACCACACCACCCCACCCCTTAAGAAGAAGAAAATCGAGGTGCTTACGATATCGACTGGGGCTTTGATGTGGACGACGAGGTTAGAAGAACACTGATTCTCCGCCGGCTGGTGGCGGTGGTGCATCCCGATGTACTGCGCCTCCAATTCGCTGCCGTGATCCCCGTTGCTGCTCATCCTTTTTCGAATCGATGAAAAGGGTGTGATGACGCGGAGAAATTGGAATTGCAGAGGAGATAAAGGGAAGCAGCGACGGCGATCAGGGTTTTGGGGACGGCGGCGGCCTGAGACTGAGTGAGTGGAAAGGAGGAGTAGGTATCGATCTACACAAAACGAAAAAAAGGATAGTGGCGAAAAAGTTATGCTTTGCCATGAAAACTCATCTTCCGTGATTTTGATTGGCTGAAGGATCAGAGCCACCGTGTCCGGTGAATGAAATGGGCGGGACCCACCCATTTGCTCTTGCTTTTGTCTTTTCCCCCCTCTGTTCTTCCTCCCTAACGAATCCAAATCAGTGGATAATGGCTTCATTAGGGCGGGAAAATAGACCAGATCGTTAGAAAAACCGTGGTCCAAACCGTATTGCACAGTTTGGTCCGGACCATAGACCGTTAAATATGGTCTGGTCTGGTCCATGGTCTGTACTATTTTATGTTTTGATCTCTTGGTCTGGTCCATGGTCTAGACCGCGGTTTATCGGACCAAACCGTGGACCCAACTGACTTGTAAATACATGTTAACAGCCCATTCGACCACTCTCCCAACTCCCACAACGACACTCAAGTCTCAACCTTAGTTTTGTGAATCTCGTCCCTCCTTAATTCACAACCACATTTAACTAAAGAGCAGAGATAATCGTGTCTCCATATGACATTATGTTAATGTTTATGACGTTATGGTGCAAGTTGGGATGCTTTTACTCTGTATCTTTGGTATGTACTAAGATTTAGAGTATCAAAATTATTCATGCATGTTAGGATTAATGATTTAAGGCAAATAACAATGATTTTTCCTGGTTATTGGTTCAATTTTTTGTGTGGTTGACTAAACAAATTATTCATTTTTCGTTGAGTGTGGTCTATCTGGACCAGACCAAACCAGACCGCACAGGCGTGGTCTGGACCGAACCGTATAGTCTATGATCTGGTCTGTGGTCTATACTTTAGCCTCTCGGTTTGGACCATAGACCGTATAGATGGTCTGGTCTGGACCAGACCGCACCGTTTCCCAGCCCTAGGCTTGATGACTTTTTTTGTTTTAGGTTAATATCTGAGTTTGGTTTAGCTAAACAAATTACTTTTTTATATGGTTGATTTGGAATGTCAAATTGAGTATGTGTTTTCAAGACTCTAACACTCTTTGACTTTATTGATCCTCCGTGTGACCGAGGGCAAGGTACGAAGCAAAATCATCCCCTTCTGCGTTTAAAGTAGTACGAAAAGTGCAATGCAGCGTGACAAGATCATCTTAATACGAAGTACGTTTTGAGCATCATTGTCGGGATCAAAGGTTTCTAAGTACAAGGGTTGACCTTGTAAGCTTCTTACTTGATAAGACCCGGAGCTCGTAAAAGTCTAGGTTCTTTTGACAAAAATTGCGCAGTCACAATCTTTTTAGGTTTTTTTTTTTTTTTGAATTTTCTCTCAACAACTAAAAAAAGTAAAGTTACGACGGATTGGAGTGTAATCTCACACTTAGGAGAAGACTCTATCAATATGAGGGTAGAGGCTCGACCACGATTAAGGTGATTACTTGATTAATACGAAACAAACACTCAGGAAATTAAAGGTCATCAATTCACAAGAGCAATTTCAAAAGTAAAAACTAAACGAGCCAAAAATGATTTTTTCTATTGAACATCCATCTCTCTCAAACCAGAGTTTACAACCCTTTAAATAGGTCTGAAAAATAAAACTAATGAAAGTACAAAAAAGGAAAAAGGAATTCTAAGCGAAAAAGGTAACTAAAACTCGTTAGGGCCAAATCCCATATCGTGCAGCATAAAATCCCCCATCGGGGATTAGCACCCCCATGAGGCCATGACCGGGGGTCATTCTGATCTCATTTCCCTCTCGCGAACGTCAGATTCCCTATAAGGGATTTTAACCCACATGATAAGGAATTTTTCCTGATCACCATACAATCTTTATGCTGCTCGTTTGGTGTCCAGAAAACTTCAATCTTCTCAACCAACGTTTTCGCGACCTTTAATTGAACTTATAATTTGATGTCCAATTCCAAACTTTCCTTGAATGCCTCCCCAGCAAAACGAGTAAGCCTCCAAGTAGGTACCACAGACTGTTTCCCAGACTTAGCCAAATTTCTATCTTCTTCTTTCTTTGACTTGGTTTCTTCTTTGAACATCAATGGAAATGGTTTTGGGTCACAATTCAGGATCACATCTTTACTACCTAAGATTGAAAGTCACGTGTCACCGTGAAGATCTAGTGAGGAGAAGAATGTTGAGCCTAGGTTTGTTTGTGGACAAGAAATGTTCAAGTGTGGCGTTATTTAATTAAGCATAATTAATATTCTTACCGTGGTAAGATCCTTGGTCCCATAATTTTTATAAATATTAAAAAAAGACCGAATTGATTTTATAGCCGGACCAGACTAAACCCTAATCGAAAGCAATGATGATTCAACAATTGATCCTAAACTTCACCGTTGCAGACAAAAAATTGATCGAGCGGTTCTTCCACTAGTCTTCAATTTAAAGGTTCCGCATTTGAACAACTAACAATTAAAATAAACTGATATCACCCTAACGAAATAAAATAAAATAAAAAAGTTGTTTTCATTGTGTTTCCACTAGCAGCATACCCTCCACCTAGGGATGGCAATCAAACCCATGGCCGCGGGTATCCGACCGCCCCCGACCCAGTCAACGCGGGTAATCTCCGCATTGATCGGATATAGGACGGGTATGGGTAAAACCCGCAAAAAGTTTGATGGGTATGGGGCGGGTATGGGTTTAGCCTCCTCCGACCCATACCCATACCCATACCCGCCCCACCAAAAATATTTCTTCACATATAAAATGTACATTAATTAAATTGTAATCTATCATTAATAGCAAGGGTAACTCATGAAAATAAATAGTAGAAATACAATTGAGTGACCACCCAAATCAAAACATAATTCATTTCCTCCAAATCTCTCTTCATTCTTTGACTTTTTCCCTCATGTTTACAACATTTTGTTAGTAAAACATTATGTTAGTAAGTTATTTATTACTTAATAGATGTACCAAAGTCAGAGAATAATGATTTGGTTTATATTGTTACTCTATCTTATGGATTATTGGATGTTTTAGAATAAGATGCTTAGAGTAGTATTAAGAATGATTGTTTCTTTGTCGACTTTATGAAATAGTAGGTGCGTTTAGTATTATAATTGAAATTTTTGTATGTAAAATTTTAGCTATTATAATGTAGGAAGTACGGGGCATGTATTACCCATGGGTACCCAAAACCCACGGGTATGGGGATGGGTTTGCAAATCCTTCCCCTGCATGGGTATGGAGCGAGTATGGATTTGAATATTTGAAAGGGGGGATGGAGATGGTTTAGGCAAACCCGCCCCAAACCCACCCAACCTCCACCGTGTATTCGTGTTCGTGTACTCTCGCTGTACTATAAGTTTTGTGTACTGGCACTAGCAGTGAGGCATAACATTTTACACCTTCCTTCCATTCCTCATAGCCACACAAAATTTCACCTCACACCCTCAAATCCTTCATCTGATCATCTCCACCTCACACCATCATATCCCAACACCCCTCACCACGTGTCACTCAACAATTGGCGAAATCTAACGCGTTCGCTCCACGTCAGCCTCCACCTCACCACACCCACGGCAGCAAATCGCCAGAGTCATCATCATCATCAGTTTTCACCTTCCAGCCATTCATCCATCATCATCTAGTCCATTCCAGAAACAAGCACTAGAAGAAGAAAAAAACGTCTAGTCTTTTTGGTTCATGGTGGTTCAAGCTTCCGCATTGCTGATAATAGTGTAGCATTAATCCCTCTTGGAAAACTATGCCATGGAGGCCCTCAATGCAGCAAGCTTGACACCACTATCTCTGCTCCGCAACAGAAGGGGAAGAAGACAGACCCAGACGCATTTCTCCTTCCTTCCAACTACAATCATCTCATCGTCTTCAACCCACAAATCATCGACGAGCTCTGCCTCTTCCAGCACTAAGCCGGCACCAGCTGCCATCCATGGCGGTCTAATGCTACTCTCCTCCCTCCTCGGCACCTCCCTCGCCAAAGCTTTAACCTACGAGGAAGCTCTGCAGCAAACGATCGGCGGCGGCGGCGGCGGAGGGGACTCTGGTTTTGATGTGAATGGGTTTGTGGACAGCATAATCGGGTTCGGAACCGATAACCCAATTGTGGTTGCTGGAGGAGCTGCTGCTGCCTTGGGGGTTCCTCTGGTTCTGTCTCTGTTTCAAAAGTCGCCCAAATCGTTTGGGATTGAGTCTGCTAAAAAGGCTTATGCGGTGCTGGGTGAAGATCCCACTGCTCAATTGCTTGATATCAGAGCTCCTGCGGAGTTGAGGCAAGTGGGTACTCCTGATGTTAAGGGTTTGGGGAAGAAGACGGTGCCGATTGCTTATAAGAGTGAGGACAAGCCTGGTTTCTTGAAGAAGTTATCTTTGAAGTTCAAGGAACCAGAAAACACCACATTGTTCGTTTTGGACAAGTAAGATTGTCCACTACACTCTTTGCTCTCTTTCCTTTCGTGTTTTCTCGTTGGAATGGTACAATGGATAAGAATATAATACTATAGAAGGTTAGGTTTCCATATTTGACATGAACAATTGGGTTGCTTGCATTTAGAGTTTAACAAGCTTCCTTGAGTTTCAATGGTTTAAAATGGCAATTCCCTTGTGAATGCAGTCTGCTAACAATGTTTGTCAAGTTCAATACAGATTGCTTCCTTGAGTTGATTTTTGATGTTTACGTTTGCTTCCTCTTTTTCCTATTGATTATGAAGCTAATGCCACTAAGTCTATGATGAAAGCCAGGTTCGATGGGAACTCTGAATTGGTTGCGGAATTGGTATCTGTAAATGGATTCAAAGCTGCTTATGCGATAAAAGATGGGGCAGAAGGACCCAAGGGCTGGTTGGTGTGTACTAAATTCCTATCTATTGTTTCTAATGTTAGGGTCCAAATCATTCTAGATGGAACTGCATAGTACATTTGAGAAATTGTTCTTCTGTTCTATCTGTATATCTGTTTTCCAGAGTAGCAGTCTTCCCTGGACAGCACCAAGTAAAGGATTGAGTTTCGATTTGAGCAATTTGACAGAGGCTCTCAGTGGTGTGGTTGGAGTATGTACCTGTCTTAGTTAAATATTTCTGTTTGCCTTATTCCTTGTCTCGGTAAAGCAAAGGGAAAACATAGTGGTCTCATAAGGAAATCCCGTCTACCATGCCAACAATTCCCATGAGATAGCTAATAATAGAAACATTTTTCAGGAGGGCGTTGATGCCTCGTCTCTCGCTTTAGGAGCTGCAGCCGCTGCTGGCTTGGGTGCTCTGGCTTTCACAGAGGTTAAACTAGTCTCGTTTTTATGTTCCATCTATTTGTTTTCCCATTACCTTGCCTTCACTAATTCTAGGGTACAAACAATGGGTGAATGTTATAGGTAGAAACGCTACTCCAACTACTAGGCTCAGCAGCAATCATCCAGTTCGCGAGCAAGAAACTCCTGTTTGCAGAGGTAAGTTTATGCTTGCATGGACTTTGTTGGTTTTGACTTGTTTTCTACTGCATTTGAGTCCTAAAGCACTCTTGATCTACACAGGACCGGAAGGAAACTCTTAAACAAGTTGATGAATTCTTGACTACAAAGGTTGCACCAAAGGAGCTTCTCGGTGAGATACAGGTCTGTTGGAATTGAACTCTTGGCTCAATGATATGCATGAGTTCACACGTTTGTGAAACTTCATCTTGTGCCACTACTTGCGGTGATTTTGCAGCAAATTGGGCAAGCTCTTCTCCCATCAACCGGAAATAGCAAATCGCTTCCTGCACCAGTTGAGTCCAGTCCAGCACCCGCTACTAGTACTGAAGAGACTATTCAGAAAGCAGAAGCAACTGTTGCAGAACCACCTCCCCAGGTCAATGAAGAGACTATTCCGAAAGCAGAAGCAACTGCTGCAGAACCACCTCCCCTGGTCAATTCCGCACCAAAACCAGAAGTTAAAGCAGAATCGGTTCCTGGTTCATCAAGGCCACTGTCACCTTATCCATCAGTAATTCTCACTCTCCCTTTCTACTCCACTTTGCTTTACTTGAACCTGGCATGGCCTTTAAACTCAACAGAATCATTTTCTTTGTGTTGCAGTATCCAGATTGGAAGCCTCCAGCATCACCTTCTCCATCAAAGCCCTGAAATGTGAATGATCTTGCGGATTTCTCCACAGAATGGTTTTCTCCTGCAGAATATGCGGAGCTAGAAGAAAGATTCCATGTCATATAGCGTGAGAGTTAAGAGCCATTAAAAATGGGATCAAACTTGTACTGTTAGTGTATGTTATGAAGTTCCACGGGAATTCAGTAGTACTTTTCATTATTGTTGTATAAGAACTTGTACCATGCCAATCGAATTACATGGGCTGATCGTGTAAATCTGTTGGAGAGAAATAAGCAAGGAAACATAGGTTAACACAAAGGGGATATGTAACAGGAAGCCTGAGACTCGGGCTTTCTTATCGCACTCCCACAAGTTGAGGGTTGGTGGCCTTCAATTTGGCACAGAAGTGGTGAAACCGTAGGCGGGGAAGGGGCTTGGTGAGAACTCCAACTGTTAGCTTGACACCAAAAGTTGAAGCCCTCGATCCATAACTACTCTGATACCATGACGAATTTAGCGAAGCGATTGAATGCAAAACACAAATTACGTGATTTATCCTTGCAGAATACAAGACCTCCGTGGGAAAGAATGTGCTTTGTTCTATTGATTATTGCTTGCTGAGTTTCATCACACAAACAGAAAGCGAAGAAGCAAGTTCAGACACCACCAGGAGACAGCAGCTGATGTACAAATTTCTGGACCGGTTCAACCAATTAGTTTTGTCACTTTCATAGATTCCATGTATTCACTCAATTAACACATGGCCAGCAGCTACAGAGTAGAAAAGGTCAAGAAGATCTCACCATATATGAATTTACTTATCGCAACTTCATAATAATATTAAGGAACAAGCCCTTTGTAAAGATCCAGAAAGAGAACGTGTTTCTTTGTTTCATATCTGTTCATTGCTACCGAGCAAGGAGATGCTCTGCTGTTTCTTTGACTCCAAGCATTCAAAATTCTGGTTTGTGATCTGGGAGACACCTGGGAAGTCCATTGTTTCTCCAATGACGAAGCACATCCACCCCAAAGAAGACTTCTATTTGAATTACCAACGTTCCCTTGGCCGGCCATCAGGGAGCATGGGGGACAATGGCTTATCCTCATCTCTGCCTGAGCTGCTACGTGCTGGCCTGCTGAGTGTCTTACCTACATTGATCTTCAACATCATGGCCTCATCACCATCTTCATCGAAATCCGGTGGTATTGTCTCGTCCTCTTCATCACTCCAATCATCTTCAGAGTCGTCGTCACCATCGTCCAGGAAACTATCGATGTCGGACCAATCTTCACCTTCCTCGCCACTTACACCTCCTTGCATATCATCATCAGTTTTCTCTTCACCACCACCACCGTCTTCTCTAGTCTCACCCCGCCTAGCAAATCTAGGAACATTCACAAGAGACCTAAGCTTCTCCTTGATTAGCAACATTCTGTCCTTGTCTATCAAGTGAGAGTTATTGTACGCTTCCCTTAGAAACACCGAGTCTCTGTCACCTTTCAAAGACACATAGAAAAGATCAGGGTGCCTTATTATCATCCCGCGTACCTGCTGGGAGAATCTGAACTCCTCCCTAAAATGGGTGAGGTGATCCACCAAAGTCTTCTTCTCCACAGTCAGGCTCAAGAGCTCATGAACGACCCCACAAGCATGTTTCTCCTTCTCGGTTGTGCCCGACCTCAAGTGGGAGAAATCGGCATAAGGCGAGATGTAAGGGATCTCATTGAACCTGTTTATCTTTTTCAACTCGCCTCTTGAAAGCTGCAAGCCCCTGGGCAACTTAGGTCGATTGAACTTGAGCGGTCTATCGATGATCAAATCCTTCTCTTCGAGCTCTTTAGCCCGCTTCTCCTCAGCAGATAACTCCCAAGCCGATACAGCAAGCTCCGGATCCCAGTGAGTTAGTTCCAATGCAGGCCCCCGCTCGGTTGGAACAACTATGAAGTACTGTGGGTACCTACGACAAATCGTATCACGAAATTCCAGTGGAAGTCCTAAATCAGTCTTCAGATGCGCAATTTTCTCCAGCAAGATTCTCTTTTCCATAGACATCATCAACAATTTCCTCAACTTCACAACCAGCAGATCCTCCATTTCGTTCCTAACCTTCAGCTCCTCAAAATACAGCCTCTCTGCCTCAGCAGTCAATCTGAACTGCAACAAATAAGCGCCTTCCTCCACAATCTCAAACACGGCAGGGAATTTCTTCAACAGGGCAATGAACCTACGCTTCTTATTCAAACCCAGCTCCTTCCTGAACCTACCCATTTCCCTCAGCGCCATAATTCTATCGGGCTGGCTCACTAGAATCTTCCTTATCTTGAGCACCAATTTCAGCTTTTTATCCCTTTGCACCACTTCATCGAAAGGACGCTCCTTTCGCCTCTTCACTGCAGCTCTCACCGGTTCAATCTGAACACGACTTCTCCTCGCAGAACCATTCGAACAAATTCCATCTTCAAGCAAACTGTTGCCCCAAAATAGAGACTTTTCTATACCGTACGTTGGAGGGGAGAGATGAGATTTGATGCGGAAATTGGGTTTTAGGTCTCGAGCGAAATGGAATTTACATGAAGGGAACAAAGGCAGAGAACATGTAGAAAAGGAGGCACTCGAAGAAGACGACAGCAACAGATTCATATCCATGAAGTGAAGAATCAAAGCTTCAGTGCATATCACTGGGAGAACTTTGAACGGGAAGGGACGAATGAACTGGAGATGAAGAAGACGTTACCTGAAACCTGATCCTGTTTGAAGAAACCCAGTAGAGACTGAGAGAGGAAGTAGGGTTTTGGTTTGTATGAGCTGATTATGGGGTTTATCCGCAAATTCCCGAGCCATATATTTTCCAATTACCCTTCGCTTTATCGTTTTCCTCCATGTTATCCACTTCCTCTTTTTCTTTTCACGGTTTATTTTCTATGAACTGGCTTACTATTTTGGCTTTTGGAGTTTTGATAGTTAATCTCTTCTTGTTAAAAAGGATTTCTTGCATTCTCAATGATTTGATATGAGATTTTTCAATTACAAAATCAATTGCAGCACTAATGCTCATGTGATATTTGCAAGCTTACAACAAATGTGATTATATATGAGATTTTTCAATTACAAAATCAATTGTATTACTAATGCTCATGTGATATTTGCAAGCTTACAACAAATGTGATTATATATGAGATTTTTCAATTACAAAATCAATTGTATCACTAATGCTCATGTGATATTTGCAAGCTTACAACAAATGTGATTATATATGAAAGTAGAAAAAAAAAAACTTTAAAATTGGGATACTTTATTTTATTTTTACTTATTTTGTCGTAACAAACACAATATTTAACTATATACGCAATTGCTGATTGTATTTATATAGGTAAATGACATTAGCTTGAGTTGGATTGCAACAACTGTGTGTGGTTTGAACCATGTATGCAAATTGATTTTGCGATTGCATGGATGTGGATGCTCTAATATCGGTAGTTCAATTCACTTCTATGTTAATGACTCAACAATTAGTGATGACATGGTTGCCACACGTACGCACAAGTCCAAGAATATATTAAGTCTCCGAAGTATGAAATAGATGTCGGGGTCCCTAAGCCCCTCGTCAGCCCAATGTAGGGAAACCTCAATCCTAGGCCCTTCGCTCGATGGAGGATAGTCTTCCTCGGGTAATTCACAGAGACGATTAGCCACGAAAAGTGCTCATAATCGCGATTGACTATCTTACCAACTTGCAAGGCAGAGAGGGTCTCTTCGGAAAAATAACTCAGGAATTGGAGAAGTTCCTATACAACAACATCATTCCTTAGTTTAGTCTCCCGAACACGATTGTGGTCGACCAAGGCACCCGATTCACAAGTAGGACCTCCTAACATGCTATGCCAAAAATATGGTATCCTCTTCGATATGTGTTAGTTTCCTAACCCCAACCCAATGGACTAGTGGCGTGTGTCAACAAAAACGCCATGTGAGATTACCTACGGGAACACCAACGGCTCTCGCTTAAATTCGAAGTTGGGATCTACACCTTCAAAGCTTTCATTGTCGCGACATTTTTACCGTTAGACTATCTTATTTTGGTAGGCTGGCAGAGAAAATTAGAGAGAGAGGACGAAGGAAAAAAATAGTTTTGTATTAACCTTTTAAATTTTAATACAGTAAATTAAATAAGATACTGTAAAAAATGGATTTATTAGTGGGCCTCATCTTGGCCCAGGAATCACTTCAACTCCAGAGAATCCACCCACGAAGTTGGACTGATGGTCCATGGTGCAAACGGAAGACTTAAATAAAAAGGCAGGCCGTTTAAAGTTTAGATGACCACCGTTTTTGTCTCGGCCGGACAGATTCCGATCAGGTGGTCGACGGGCAATGGCGAAGAGGAGAAATCTCCGAGTAGCTCCGAGCACTGGCCGCCGTCAAACCCGCGCCGAGAATCCTACTCAGGAGAACAAGTTCGATGAAGTACACGCTTCTGATCGAAGGCTTCTCCTCATTTTCTTTGCCTTCTTCGTAGTGATTCCCGCCGTCTCTGTCTGCTTGTATCGATTCAAATTCGCTCCGGAAGCGGACCGCTCGGACCCAATTGAGCACCGTCAGAAGCAAGGAGGTCGTTTCAAAGTGGATATGAACTACCAGGAAATCCTGGAAGTAAGTTCACTTTACTCACACTGCCTCCGCAGAATTTGATTATGTTTTTCGTTTTTGATTATTTGTCGCTCTGGTCGAATTAGAAACTGGGGCTGCGTTGAAATGTTTCAGGAGAATTCAGAGGTTTCGCTGAATGCATCTCGACGCAATTATGCGTATCCTGTGTTGGCTTACGTTACACCATGGTAAGTTTCGTTGCTATGTCGGTGCTTCGTGCAAATTTGCTTAGTCTGGCTGAAGCAGGATGTTAGTGGGCACAACTCTGCAGGAATTCCAAAGGCTATGACGTAGCAAAGAAGTATACCAAGAAATTTACGCACATATCGCCTGTGTGGTATGATCTGAAGAGGTAAAGGAGGGTTTTTGGAGTTTATTCAGCTTCCAATTTCAGTTAATCGCAACCCTTTAGTTCTTAACAACTTAAAGAAGTTGCTTATGCATATTAAGCCATAAATGTTGAACTGGATTCATTGGTCTTTTGTTTATAGTTTTAAGCCCTCTTTCCTTCTGTATCAGCCAAGGTTCTGGATTGGTACTGGATGGTCGGCATAATGCCGACACAGGATGGATGTCGGAGCTACGCCAGAATGGAGATGCCTTGGTACCTATCAATGCTCACTTCCTTGATTTGTTTGTGTTATGACTTTGTAACTTGATTAACTTTGTGGAAGAGTGAGATGTTACCGGCTAATTCGTTGGTTTAGAGTGCACTTCTTAGTTCTTACTATGGGTTAGCTGCTTGTTTGAGATGTGTTTATTGGTGTCATGAGTTTCCAAGGATTTAGTAGTCCTATGCGGTAAGATGATAAGGTCTCGTTAGCAGAATTGAAGTGTAAATAACAGAATGGGATTGGTAGTTAGACACGATTGCAAAGGGAGCATTAGAAACTAAGAAGATAAATGTTGGGGTTTCTTTGGAAGACCACGTTTTGGTCACCACCAGAATGGGATTGGTTGATAATACTTCAATTGCCTCTAATCTTTTAGTATATTGTTTCTGTGTTTTTGCTGCTAGACTTTAGGAACATATGAAGCCTTCTTGTAGTGAAGTATTATGTTGACTGTAGGTAATACCTAGAATTGTACTGGAAGCAGTTCCTCAAGAGCTGCTGAAAAGCAAGAAACTACGGAGCAAAGCCATTGACATTATAGTAACAGAGTGCATGTAAGCTCCCTACTTACGTACATTATATCTCAGTCCAAAAAGTAATTCCACAGTATGAACCTCGTGACAAGAAGTTTTTTATTCTCAGTTTCTCACGCTTCTGCGTTCTGCCGTGCTTATTTATACATGAGATATACATGTTGCCTCCTATGGGAGAAGTCATTATGAAGTTTTCAGAGCATAGAATGCTATGCACCTGTTCTTACTGAAAGTATAAGCCCCTTGCTTTTTGCATCTTCTGCACAGGGAAATGGAATTTGACGGAATTGTGCTCGAGTCATGGTCAAGATGGGCAGCTTATGGCATTTTACATGACCCTGATATGAGAAATAAGGTACTGATGAGGTTTATATTAATCCTTCCTTGGCTTAAGTTGTTGCACATCTGAGATTTCTGGATACTAAATTGGCTAATGGAGTTTAATGGCAGCCACCAGCAATTAAGATTGCTGCCTAGATTTTTTGAAATTCATTGAAATATATGAAATGCTCTTAGGTTGGGTTTCTTCTTCTCTTTCAAGGCCTCATTTAACTTTGGTAATGTACACAATATTTGCAAGCCTAGGCACTGCAGTTTGTGAAGCAACTTGGTGACACGCTTCATTCTGCGAGCTCAGCAGGGAACAATAACCGACCGTTGCAGCTAGTCTATGTGATAGGTCCACCAGTTTCAGAGAAACCTCAAATGCACGACTTTGGCCCACAGGATCTTCAGAGACTGAGTGGTGCTGTGGATGGGTTTTCGTTGATGACCTATGACTTCTCAAGTCCCCAAAACCCAGGACCAAATGCTCCTTTAAAATGGATAAAGTTCGCGTTGCAGCATCTCCTTGGCCCTCCTGAGAATGCTCAAAACCTGGCACCAAAGATATTTCTCGGCCTCAACTTCTACGGAAATGATTTCTCCATTTCAGGAGGTAACGTTCGTCTATCTTGTTCATCCAATGATATTGTGGGAATTTCCATGAATGAACGCGGTCTCTTTAGAATACCCTTACTAAAGAATGACAGAAGTCCGATTCAAAATCACAGGTTCCGCTGGTGGGGCTATAATTGGACGGGACTACCTAGCATTGTTGGAGATGCACAAGCCTAAATTGCAGTGGGAAGATAACAGTGCTGAACATTTTTTCCTGTACGTGGATGATGACGGGAAGAGGCGTGCTGTCTTCTATCCAACTCTGTCCTCAATCTCAGTAAGGCTGGAAGAAGCCCTAGCTTGGGGGACTGGTGTCTCAATCTGGGAAATTGGACAAGGTTTGGATCGTTTCTATGATCTTTTGTAGGAAGCAGTTTTCTTCCAGAACTGAAGAAAGACAAAGTTGAAAGTCCTTTCTCATCAATTTTGTGATCTCTGTCATTCAATATTTCATAAAATTCATCTTTGTCATCCTAAGAAATGGTCAACTGGTTCTTCAATCAATGTTATCGAGAGTTTTCTTGTCCCTTAACGTTAATAGAGGTGTATAGGATTTGACGGTTTAGATTATAATTTTTTTTTAATTTTCATATTCTTTTAATCGATTTATATCTCTTCCGTTTGAACTTGAATATAGAAAATTTTCGACAAAAGAAATGAGTTTATAGTGGTGTACAAAATAATAATTTTTTATATATCTGGGGAATTTTTTTTATGGATCACTCCATTTGTTTTAAATGGAATTAACAAAATTTATGCAGATAAGGAACGATTTCATTGTGGTATACAAAATTGTGTTAATTATGTATATATTTTGGGAAAAAAATTGCGGGATCAATTATACCACCATATACCATATGGTAGTTGGCTGTTGGTTCAAGGTTTGAACGGAAGGTGTGCTGGTCGCTTAGTATATTTCTATTTTAATCCATATCATAAGATTTTAGAATTTAAATTGAGACTACTTTGTGCCCAACAAAGATGCTAACATTCCAGTAAAACATACTTGTACCATTGGAGATTTCTATCTCAGATTTATAAAACCTTCTATAAACATGAAATAATCGTTTAGTATTCCCACTTATCCAAACATAAAAGGCAACACAATAGAAGACGAAGTTACAAGGACCTCACCAAGATTTTTAGAGAATATGGGAAAAATTCACCAAGCACTCGACAAGGGGTGAGGACGACATTTATGTAAAAGATATGCATATAAACACTCGACACTAACGTCTCTCTACAACGAAGCTAGCTCCATAAAATTTTCAATTCGTCAAGTCTAAACAAAGTGTGTCTCCTCTAACTTGTCTGGAGGTTTTTTGATTGGATTGTAATTTGGCATGCATTTAATAGTTACTAGCATGCATTCAAACAATAATGGTATGCATTTGTTTGAATTTGGTATATGCTTACAAAAAATTACCGAAACCGATAAAAAAAATATTATTTAAGCATATACATGAAATTTGGAAATGGATATAAGTTACAATATAGCAATACAAACGGGTAACCAACAAATTCATAACAGAAATAATGCGTTGTGCACCAATTACTATTCAATGCATTACTAATAACTAGCGAATGCATACCAATATTACTTGAATGTACAAAACTGAATACCAAATAATTAGTATCATAACAGAGATATATCATCACCCAATTTACCATCCTTAATAAACTAGCTTACACCCGACCCGTTGGTCGGATGATTTCATCTTATTTTTCATTACTTCATAATAATCGAAAGTGATCTTTGCACTACTTGATAATTGTGACATTGATAACAATTAGTTCATATGTATTTTTGTTAATCAGATTATCCTAACTCACTACGGCCTATACATGTTTCATATTAAAAGAATTTGCCCTATTTATTGTATCATAAATTGCTTAAAATTATTTCTTTATATTGGTATTATTAACTTGGTTTACTATTAGATACAAACAAAACTAAAACAATTATGCATTAAATTAAAATAGTAATTAGAATTTCTTCAAGGGATTAACTTATTGCTACAAAAGCATAAAATTGATCATCTTAAGATTTCCAATCGTGCTCCATCAGACACAAATCAAAAACCTTTCACGAACATAATAGGAGGGAAGCATATAGCTAAAATAAAGAAGCGAAATGGCAGACCGATAGAAACAAATATCAAAAGCTGGCTGGTTGATGGCTGAGAATTACCTTGACAGAGAGAAGCTGCTAGTGGAGTTTTCGCTGAAACGCTTTCGTGGGTCTGTGTGATTTAAACTGCCTTTTATACGCATAACGCAGAAGGTGATTTCGTTTGCTGGCGTGAATCGAGCTTGGTTTAGTGACTCGACTAAAGGTGTTGCAATATAATATCATGGTTCGCTTGATCAATTTTGGTGCATTTGGCAGCATCAAGGTCACCAACTTCATGTTCACTACTAATATTATGGGAGCTTTAGGCATTAATTTTTTTTAGTATCGAGCAAAGCTTATTGATACATCCACACAACCACCCTATCCATTAAAAAACACGAAATATATGTAGCTCATTAAGCCATGGAGATTCAGGAAACACATATACAATGCATTGACAATACTAAACCACATAACTCAACTTTTGAACGCCACAAAGTTTGGCAAAACTACAAAGATGTAGAGATAATAATAACTTAACAACTTTACCAAAACTCATACCCCCAACACTGTCTAATTCTATTATAATAATAAAAGTACCTATATAGCTAATTGAGTACTACTTTTTCTTACCTAAACTTATGTAGGGAAGCTATGAGAAACTTCAAATCAAGAATAGACACAGCAAAATAAAACACCATGACAGAATCTACAAAAGGCATTCATCCTTTGTTGGTGGCCAGCTTTTAATTTCCCTAGAAATTTATTAGTTTCCAAGAACATAACAAACAAAAAAGGCCCGGAGGAGAAATCAGCCGTGGAACAGAATACTCTACATAATGATATGATAAGATGAATGCATCAGATCTATGTTTGAGACATAACTTAGGCCTATCAACCCCGAGAACAACAGGCTGAATTTCAAATGAGAACACAAAACTTTAAACTAAACATTGTAGATTCTAATTTTTCACTAATTGTCTTATGAATACTAATGCTAAACCCTTATCATTTCTAGCAAATCCTAAGTTTTTGTCATGAACAATAAAAATGAAGGTATCTCACAGAGAGTGAGCCAACCCATGGTATCCCAAAACCGAAGGAGGAAACTTTGGGCATTCTCATTTAAAAAGAACACCAAAAGGAAACACATGTTTATTTTGTGAGACAACTTATCCTGCTGCCACTCACCAATACAAACTAAAAAAGCACATCTCATGAGAATATGTAAAGCATGGTAAGGCTTATCCCACCACTGCTAATGTCACAGTCTGCGCCAGTCATGACACCTTCCAAATTGAAAGCTGAAGGAAAGAGCAAAGTACCAACTTGCACGCCACGACGGAGGGAGACAGTGCAAGTGGCACCAGCAAATCCGACGATGGCTAAAGGCGAAAGCTTGATTAGAAAACTCAAAAGCGAAAATAGGGGTGGTGGGATCCTGGGACGAAGAGGGGCAACCCGGTCTCCCGAAAACAGGGGCGGAGAGAATAGTAGGAGAACATCGAATGTGGGGTTTCCAAAGGGTAACATTAGTGCGACATGCCTGTAATTCAAACATGGAGAATAGAATACAAAGAACAAAACAAAAAATGAAACACAACAAAAAAGGAACAATAAGAAACTGAACATAAAGGAATAGAAAAATGAACCACGATGGAAATCAACAACAAATAAAGCCCGCAAAAGAAAAAGGTTAGATAAAATCGACTGAAGGTGAGCGAATGACATGCCCACAGTTCATAGCACCGGATATGAACATCCCGACAACAGATGAAGTTGTGACTGGTTAGCGAGCCTCCTTTGTCCTTAATTCCTCTCCAACCAGAATTGCGAACTATTCGACGTCAAAATCGAGCGCGTGGCCCTCTAGCTGGTTCCCCTTTTGCTGTTGCTCGGTTGCCATTCACTCAGTCTTGGAGAATAGCGTCGTCGACTATATCCATCAATAGGGAGCAATCCAGAACGGGAACTGGAGAATCCGAGTAGAGAAGGCCCCAATAGGCGAGGTCACACAAAAGAGATTTTGAATTTGCTCACCGACGAACCAAAATTGGAATCCCCACCTCTGGCCGTCGCAACTCAGAAACCTAGATCTTCCCCTTTCGTCGCCTGATACCCGAGTTTCCTTTGCCGACGAAAAAAACAAAGGAACTGATGCGAAGGGGAAGAGGAAGGAGCTTTGCCTCTCGATTTTGTTGTTTTGCAAATAAATACAAATTAAATGAGAACGTGGGCCTGGAAGGAGAAAAAGGTGGGTAGTGGACAGTTTTTTGGTTCTGAAATCAGGCGGGACTCCTTTTTTTTTCCGCTTAACACTCTGCCACATCAGCTTACTAAAATCACTCTATGGGCAGGAAATTTTGAATGGGGGTGCAGTTTTACTTTTCAGCTATAAATTATACTGTTGATTGGTTATAACACTTATGATGATTAGAAAATAAAGAGAAGATAAAAAAAATTGAGAAGGAAAATAATCAGAAAGAAAATTAAAACCCCAAACACAAAAATGAACAGAACTCCTCTCTCTCAACGTCAAGCAATTTCTCTCAATTGTCCATAGCCTGAGCTTCCACAATCCCTAATCCTCGCAAACAAACTCCCACCATTTTCTCTCTCTGTCTCTCGTTCAATTTCCCCCGTCTCCCCTTTCCTGGTTTCTCCTTTCTTCTTCTTCTTCTTCTTCTTCCTGTGTTGTTCTTCTGGATGTCAAACGACGAAAACCCAACACCTTTTTGATCGGAAACCCCCTTTTGCAGCAAGGAAACTTGGCCCTTTCCCTTCTTCGCTGCCTTCATTACCATTCCGCTCGTTTTCTCTTTGTCGGACTCCGGAGCTGCTACGGCTGTGGGAACTTGAATGATTTCATTCCCGATTCGTCGACCACGCACTTGCAGACCATTTCCTGGATTGATCGTCGTTTCCGTTTTAGGGTTTTGATAATCTGACTACCCGTAGTATATTTCCAATTTGGCAATCGCTAGGGTTGCTTCCGTATTCCTCTTGATTTTTCGTCTTTCCATCTGGGTAGATTTAAGTAGCTACTTTTTGGTATTATCAATTTTCGGGCACGAAATTTTCGATTGCCCCCTCCCATAAATTTGTTGCGTTGGGGGTCCATATCACTAAGTACCCTAAGGTCACTGGAGATAGGTTGTGCTAAGTTGTTGCTTTCGTTTCTTCGCTTCGAGGAAACAACTTTTGTACCCTAACACCATCAAGCAGGAAAGATTTCTCTTTTGAAGTCTTAAGTGGACGGGTCAGCCACAATCTACGAGCTCTTGTTTGGTGTCTCTCTTGATGGTTCTGCTGTTCTGAGTGTTTATTGGAGGGAGAAAGTTTGGTTTTTGGCCGATACTAGCTGAAGGTAGACAAAGTGTAACTGCATGGGCGAGCATGAAACGGCGCAGTCACAGCCACCTACTGGGCTCTTGCCAAACGGCCTACTTCCTAATGAAGCGGCCTCCGTGATGCGAGTGCTTGACTCGGCCAGATGGTCGAAAGCTGAAGAGAGAACCGCTGAACTCATAGAGTGCATTAAGCCCAATCAACCGTCCGAGAACCAACGTAATGCCGTTGCTAGTTATGTGCAGCGGCTTATTATGAAGTGCTTTCCTTGTCAGGTAATGTTAGGCTTGTGTTTGGTTTTGTGTTTGAATGTGCTTAGTGTTAGAGAAGTGAAGAACCAATGGTTAGCTCAATTTCATTGTTAATAGTGTGTGAAGGTGAAGGGCATTTGTATTATTAGGTTCTCATCAACTAGTTTCTATATACTTGATGTCTGTTGTTGTATGATAATCGCGTGTTGATCTACGGACATGGAATGTGAACTTCATATTCCTGTCTTTTGTGTTTATGGGATACTGGGCTTATATTCTCCAAGTACCAACTTCTATTAGTCATTTAGTTGTACAAGTGTAATTATATCTTGGTGTCGCATATTCTTAATGACGGGCACCATAACACTTACAGGTCTTCACTTTTGGATCTGTTCCGCTTAAGACTTATTTGCCGGATGGTGATATTGACTTGACAGCCTTCAGTAAGAATCAGGATTTGAAAGATACATGGGCTCATCAGGTTCGTGATATGCTGGAGAATGAGGAGAAGAATGAGAATGCTGAATTCCAGGTTAAGCAAGTCCAGTATATTCAGGCAGAGGTAGGCTTCTCTATTGCAGTTCTGTTTTTTGCCATTAATTTTCTTACCTTTTCTTCTCCTGTTGATTTGACTGAATTTATGGCAGAGTTCATACTGTTGTTGTTGAATATTCTTTCTATTGTTCTCTTGAGATTTTCGTTTTAATCTGCTGCTGCCATTTTCTTTTATGTACTCAAAATATGGTTGAAAAGAAAATAATCAATATCTATGAATTATGACCAGGTGAAACTTATTAAGTGCCTTGTGGAGAATATTGTAGTAGATATATCATTCAACCAGCTTGGTGGGCTGTGCACACTCTGTTTCCTTGAAGAGGTTTGTTAAACATACTCTAGACTCACTATCTTGCTTATATATGAAATCTGTTGAATGTGTACTTTTGTCAATTGTTTTGTTGTGTTTGTGTAGGTTGATCATATGATAAAAGATGATCATTTATTCAAGCGAAGCATTATCCTTATAAAGGCCTGGTGTTATTATGAGAGCCGTATATTGGGTGCTCACCATGGTCTGATATCAACATATGCACTGGAAACCCTGGTTCTATACATATTCCATGTTTTCAACAAATCGTTTGCTGGACCACTTGAGGTAGCTTTTTTTTCTCCAGCCGGTCTATTCCCTTTATCGTGCATTCAGATAGTTTCCTCTGATAATTTTTTTGTCCGGTGCATAGGTCCTGTATCGTTTCCTTGAGTTCTTCAGTAAGTTTGATTGGGATAACTTCTGTGTCAGCCTTTGGGGTCCAGTACCCATTGGTTCACTTCCAAATGTGACAGGTATGTTAAATTTTTGGAAGCAATGTATTTGCTAATTCTGATGTCAACTCATATGTGCTTCATTGGCCAAAATTTCTGCAGCCGAACCACCTCGGAAGGATGATGGAAAGTTACTGCTTGCCAAATCATTTCTTGATGCCTGTGGCTCGGTATATGCAGTTTTCCCGAATGGCCAAGAAAGTAATGGCCAGCCTTTTATCTCCAAACACTTCAATGTCATTGATCCTTTGCGTGCTAACAACAACCTAGGGCGCAGTGTTAATAAAGGTACCGAGCTAGACATTTTTCCTCGTTGTATGCTTATATTTTCTCTATATTGCCAAGCCTAATATTATACATGCAAAGTAAATAAATTGATTAGTGCTTGGTATTCTAATAAGATCTCATGAAGTGAAAACCAGTGCACTGGTAGAGTGAAAAAATAGTAAAAGGAAAGGCACCAGAGGGGCACTGCTCGACTTATAATTTTGAGTTAATGTGGGAAGTGATGAAGTTGCAGTGCCAGTGTTCTGGTAAGCCACTAAAGAATGGTCCAAATTCAACAATTGAAAGGAAATAGAGAATCATTTCAAAACAAGGAAATTTTGTGTGTTGTGTAAGTTTAGCTATTTCACCAGTCCTGTTACATAGAAAGAACGTTACTGGAATGGTTCCTACATCTATTTCCTTTTTGCATTGTAACATCAGTACATCTGCACTCCCAATAATTTGCTTGTGTACATTACCCTATCTCAGGTAACTTCTTCAGGATTCGTAGTGCATTTGCTTTTGGGGCAAAGAAGCTTGCTAGGTTACTTGAGTGTGACATTGAGAACATACACTTCGAAGTGAATCAGTTTTTCCAAAATACCTGGGAAAGACATGGAACTGGTCATCGTCCTGATGCTCCGCTCAATGGCTTTTGGCGATTGAGACCGTCAAATCATGCTTGCTTGATTGGCTCAGAGAAGAATCTCCAAAATATTGCGAGTGTCAAATCTGGATGTCAAGAAGGTCAAAATAATGCATTGCATGGGCCCTGTATTGTACCATTCCAGCATGGTAATCACGCCCTGGAAAGCACATCGTTGAGTAGTGATGTTGCCACAGTATCTCGAACACAAAGTCAAAAGATGAATGTAAAGCACAGTTTAAGAACTTCTGATCAGGTTCGAAGAGAAATCAGCACAAATCATTTTGTTCATGCCGAAAAGAATCTGAGCAGTTCTAAACCAGACAGCTTGGTACGCGATTTACAAGGAAGGTATCTTTTTGCAAGGACACACTCAAGTCCTGAGCTTACACATACCAGTAACAAAGTTTCTTCACAAGCAAGGAGTGCTGAAGTTCCAGAAAGTGGAAAAGGCCAGACAACAGCACTTAGTTTTGACAATATCAAGAGGCAAGACACTGAACATGAAAACTTGTCAAGGCATGACGATCTTTCATTACTTAAGTGCAGTTCACCTCACCAGAGTCCTGATGCTGCTGTATCCAATAGTTACCATGATGACTCGGTCATGGGTGGCACACGTGAGGAATTTTCTTCTGTTCTAGGTATGCACGGGATGCATCAGGAAGAACAAGATCTTGTCAACATGATGGCTTCTTCTAGTAGCCTTGGTTTTAATGGACAAGTTCATCTTCCACTGAACTTAGCTTCGGGTCACGTACCCTTCCCTATACCACCTTCTGCTCTAGCTTCTATGGGATATCTGCCAAGAAATTTGGGTGGAATGTTACCCACAAATATTCCATTGATGGAGTCTCCTTGGGGTGCAAACATGCAATTTCCCCAGGGTTTGGTTTCTTCTCATTTGACCCACTATTTTCCGACAGTAGGACTGACATCAAGTCCAGAAGGTTCAGTTGAACATTCGAATGAGAATTTTGGTAATGTGGAATCGAACCCTGGGGAGGCTAACAATGAGTTTTGGCATGAACATGAAAGGGTTTCAGTTGGTGGCCATGAACTTGATAATGGAAGTTTTGAGATGGAAACATCTGATGATAAGCAGCAATCTACATCGGGTCGGTATAACTTTGGTTCATCTAGAACAGGTGGCTCTGGTAATACCTCTTCTAGAGTTCAGCCGAAGTTCACAAGGGGATCCCTGCATTCAAATCAGGGTGAACTAGCAGAAAACTTTCTGTACACGGAGAACAAAGGTGATGAAGTTCTCTTTGATGAAAGGCTCACAAGTTCAAGTTCGTTTCCTTCTATGCCAAGTAATTCTGTAAGAAGTACAGCTTCTTCTGAGAGTTCATGGGATGGATCATCTGTAAAGACGAAGTCGGCAAGGGAAAAGAGAGGGAGGAAGACCTCGACTACTGTGGCATCTGTAGTTCCTGTGAAAGGTAAAAGTATAAATGAAAGCTCCTCCAGCCAGGTGGATGATGACAGCAAAGAGTGGAGCTCCCAGTTATCAACTAGTCCTGAGATTGTTGAAAGAGGCTTGGGGCCTCCAGCTACTGGTGTCTCAATGCATCAGGTTCCTGGGTTTGAGTTGGCGCAAACAAGTGGATCTGATCCAGTAGTGCCTATTCCTCCAGTGCTATTGGGTCATGGTGCACGATTTTATCCTACAGGACCTCCTGTTCCATTTGTTACAATGCTTCCCATTTATAACTTCCCAGCTGCAGAGAGGGGAGCTTTTGAGGCCTCAATAAGTTCAGAGGAGGGCATGAATAACATTGATCCTTTTCAGAATGGTGATTTACTTGAGGGACATCATTATCAGTCTGAAGTTCCAAGTCCTAGTAGTACTTCGATGAGAGTTGCTGCCTCACTTGAGGCATTTGAGCACAAGTCTGACATCCTCAATAGTGATTTTGCTAGTCATTGGCAGAACTTGCAATATGGACGGTTTTGCCAGACTTCACGGCTCCCTACTCCAGTTGTCTGTCCACCTGTTGCGGTACCACCTGTACATTTACAGGGTCGTATCCCATGGGATAGTCCTGGAAGACCTGTTTCGCCAAACATGAAGCTTCTCAGTCAGCTAATGGGTTATGGACCCCGTATCCTTCCAGTTGCTCCCTTGCAAGCTGTTTCCAGTAGACCTGCTGGTGTCTATCAACATTATGTCGATGAGGTGCCAAGATATCGCGGTGGAACTGGAACCTACCTTCCAGACCCTGTATGATATATTTTGCCCCCACTTACCACATTGTTATTTGAAAGTTGTGCGTTGCTTGGCTTAAGATGAATGTCTTTAGCTAACCTCTGTTCCAGCCAACATCCAGAAATGCTCTGTGTAGTTTATCTGTGATTTTATATAGTCTATGACCTAACATAATCCATATAAATTACCATGTACTGCAGTTAAGTATTGTTGTCCTTTATTTATATTTTTCGTTCGTGTTCACAGAATTGCTGAAGTAAATGTGTCATTACGCTGAGGTTCTACGTTGCTTTCGTTGAACAAAAGATATGAAAATAATATTGATGACTTGTTTTCATTTGCTGCCTGCAGAAAGTGTCAGTCAGGGATCGGCATACCACAAACTCTTCCAGAAAGGCGAACTATAACAACTTTGATAGAATTGAGCACCATGGTGATTATCGAGAAGGGAACTGGAATACTTCGAAGTCAAGAGCCTCTGGGCGCAGTCACAGTCGCAACCAAGCTGACAAGTCAAGTAGTTCAAGGCTGGACAGATTATCAGGCACAAGTGGGGGCAGCAGATCAGAGAGGACATGGGTCTCACACAGACACGACAACCCCACTTCTCCTGCCGAACAGATTGAGTTTGGTTCCCTTGGGCCTATGGGGTTTGTCGAGATGTCACATTCTAATGAGGACCAAAGACTTCATAGCAGCGCAGCAGCTCAACTGTCTTCAACAGATCAGCCTTCTTCTCCTTACTATCTTCAGAGGTAGTTTACAAAATCCTAACCGTGTCATGTCTCACCGGCAGTTAATAGCTGTGCAAGATTTCTGGATTGGAAGTCTGTTGGTCGTCTGTCTGCCCGACAATGTCCTTGAGGTCTACATGCTTTGGTGACATTGTGGTCTATTGGAGAAGGATGATTTCACACATCTTGTTAGGAACGGGGACAGAGGGACGATTTCATATGATTGTGCAGCGCCCCTACTCAGCTGCACAAGAAGCTCCTTGCCTGCTCCTACCAGAGTAATGGTTTCGTTGCTCCTCTCACCCCACTCAATATGATATGAGCCGGAGACTTCAGTTGGGGTATTCAGCGCCTTACAGCCTGTAGTTCTTTGCTGCTGTTCCTTTTGCAGCTGTCTCTGTGCATTTAGAAGCTTGGCTTTTTTCGAACTTTCCCTGTTTACGAAAGTAGTAGACGAGGAAAAGTAACATGGTTGTGGTGAATGAGCCACCACCACCATTGCAGTAGGAGCATGGTAATTGTTGATTTCGTTACTTCGATTAGTTCTTTTATTTCGAACACGAAACTGGTAGGTCTCTGGGAAGAAACGGAATGTAACTTTCACTGATGTAGAGGACACATGAATGCAGGTTTAGAAATAGGTGGTTGGAGTTAAATCCTCTGCTGAAGTCGAGCTTTTCCCGTCAGTAAGTTGGTGATTCTGTTCCCACATGATGGATGGTGTTGTATTAGGGGGTTTTGATACGTTAGTTGAAGTCGAGCTCGAGTATATGAGGTCTGCCTCTTTCTGATCAACAATAGTTTAGAATGTAGTTAAATAGTAAATACAATGATCACTCCTGCGAACAGAAATGAAACTACTGCTGTTTAGTTCTACCTGCTTGTTCAGCTATTATATCTGCTTTGATATCTTGAGGCCTTATGGAGTCCTCCCAGTGCTTTAACTGGAGCAAGTTCCCTGCTGTTAATTTTGATGAGATCTTGTGCTGAACTTCTGCCAAGGAAACGACTGAACTGGGTGCAGGGATGATTTAATGGGTGTGATTGACCTTCTTTACTCTTGATGGGATTCATGGTACTGTTTGTAAGTTGGAGAGAACAGACAAAAACTGGAGAAAAGAATTATAGAGTGTCATTTTCAACTCAAGCCACGAATTCCTAACTGCAGTTGGAGGTTGCAGCTCTCTACATGAAACCGTATGACGAAAAGGAAGAAATAAACATTGTATATATAGTGGATAGTAGCGAGACTTAAATAGGTATAGGTTGGCTGCTTCGCTCGCCAGAATTTCTCTTATTTAACTCAGCTAAATAAATTTCATTAGGCATTTCTATATAATCGAATCCGAAGTCTAGACTTGGCTAGTGCAGATGATTTTTCCCATATGTTCTTGTTTTTTTTTGTGGTTTTTTCATTAGGAAATAACACAAAAGGGATCATTTGAGCAGTTTGTTAGTTTTCAGTTGGATGAGGAATCAAAAAATCTCTGGTCTAAACTACGTTTTCTCATACAGTTGGTCTAGATTCTCATTTATAATCTCGTTTGATATGAAATACTTTTGGCAAAAAAAGTATGCATTTAGTAATTACTTGCATGCATTCAAACAATAATGATTGCATTTGTTTGATCTGGTATGAATGCATAACATAAATCCAACAAAACCAAAAAATTTAAAATGCACACAAATAATTGCGGACCCGGTACAAAAATCATTTAAGCATAACTGAACTTGGAAATGGATATCGGTTACAGTTTAGCAATATATACCAGTAAGTCAGTAACTAACAAATTTATAACAGAAACAATGCGTTGCGCACCAGTTACTCGTCAATGCATACCAATAGGCAATAGCTAGCGAAGCCTACCAGTATTACTTGAATGCATATCACTAAATACCAAATACGTACCAGTATCATCCAATGCGTATCAATATTGCTTGAATGCATGCTAATAACTACCAAATGCAACCAGTCCGATGACATTAATTTTTTCTAAAATTGTATAAAAGTGCATCTTATATAGTATATCATAATTAATTGATTTTCGATAAAAAATTTAAAATACGAGTTAATAGAAAGATATATAATTTTTTAAAAAACAATAAGAGAATTAATTATATACGAGATAATTATTTTGCGATTAAATCTATATTAATTATTAAACATTAATGTAAAGGCTCATATCTATCATCATTCATCACCATACCAATTACCAACACTAACAATGTTTATGACGATTAGAAAATACAGAGAAGATAAAAAAGATTGAGAAAGAAAATCAAAACCCCCAAAATGAACAAAACTCCTTCTCTCAAGTCTCAACGTCAAGCAATTTCTCTCCATTGTCCATAGCCTCCACAATCCCTAATCCTCGCAAACAAGTACCCACCATTTTCTCTCTCTGTCTCTCGTTTAATTCCTCCCCGTCTCCCCTATACAGGTTTCTCCTTTCTTCATCATCTTCCTGTGTTGTTCTTCTGAATGTCAAACGACGGAAAGCTATCACCTTTTTGATCCGAAACCCCCTTTTGCCGCAAGGAAACTTGGCCCTTTCCCTACTTCGCTGCCTCATTACCGTTCCGCTCGTTTCCTCTTTGTCGGACTCCGGAACTGCTACCTGTGGGAAGTTGAATGATTGCTTTCCTGATTCGTCGACCAAGCACTGGCAGACCATTTCCTGGATTTGATCGTCGTTTCCGTTTTAGGGTTTTGATAATCTGCCTACCCATAGTATATTTCCAATTTGGCAATCGCTAGAATTGCTTCCGTATTCCTCTTGATTTTTCTTCTTTCCATCTGGGTAGATTTAAGTAGCTACTTTTTGGTAATATCAATTATCGGGTACAAAATTTTGGATTGCCCCCTCCCATAAGTTTGTTGCGTTGGGGGTCCGTTTCGTTATTGATCACTAAGTACCCTAAGGTCACTGGAGATAGGCTGTGCTAAGTTGTTGCTTTCGTGTCTTCGCTTCGAGAATTTGTACCCTAACAACATCAAGCGGAAGGATTTCTCTTTTGAAGCTCTAAGTAGACGGGTCAGCCACAATCTACGAGCTCTTTTTTGGCGTATTTGCCATTTCTGTCTTGATGGTTCCGCTCTTCTGAGTGTTTGTTGGAAGAAGGAAGTTTGGTTTGGTTTTTTTTGGGGGCGGATACTAGCTGCTGGTAGATAAAGTGTAACTGCATGGGCGAGCATGAGACGCCGCAGTCACAGCCACCTAGTGGGCTCTTGCCAAACGGCTTACTTCCTAATGAAGCGGCCTCCGTGATGCGAGTGCTTGACTCGGCCAGATGGTCGAAAGCTGAAGAGAGAACAGCTGAACTCATAGAGTGCATTAAGCCCAATGAACCGTCTGAGAACCAACGTAATGCCGTTGCTAGTTATGTGCAGCGGCTCATTATGAAGTGCTTTCCTTGTCAGGTAAATAAATAAATTTTTGGTTGAAGTTGTCAGGTTAGTATTAGGTTTGTGTTTGGTTTTGTGTTTGAATGTGCTTAGTGTTAGAGAAGTGAAGAACCAATGGTTAGCTCAATTTCATTGTTAATAGTGTGTGAAAGTGAAGGTCATTTGTATTGTTAGGTTCTCATCAACTATGTTCTATATACTTGATGCCCGTTGTTGTATGATAATTATGTGTTGAACTGAATGTGTCCTTGATTATGGACATGGAATGTGAACTTCATATTTTCCTGTCTTTTGTGTTTGTGGGATACTGGGTTTATATTCTCCAAGATACCATCTTCTTTTAGTTGTCCTAGTGTAATTATTTATTGATGTCGCATATTCTTAATAATGGGCGCCATAACACTTACAGGTCTTCACTTTTGGGTCTGTTCCGCTTAAGACTTATTTGCCGGATGGTGATATTGACTTGACAGCCTTCAGTAAGAATCAGGATTTGAAAGATACATGGGCCCATCAGGTTTGTGATATGCTGGAGAATGAGGAGAAGAATGAGAATGCTGAATTCCAGGTTAAGCAAGTCCAGTATATTCAGGCAGAGGTAGGCTTCTCTACTGCAGCTCTGTTTTTTTACATAAAATTTTCTTACCTTTACTTCTCCTGTTGTTTTGACTGAATTTATGGCAGAGATCATACTGTTGCCGTTGAATTTTCTTTCAATTGTTCTCTTGGGATTTTCGTTTTGATCTGTTGCTGACATTTTCTTTTATGTACTCAACATGTGGCTGAAAAGAAAATAATCCTTATCTATGAATTATGACCAGGTGAAAATTATTAAGTGCCGTGTGGAGAACATTGCGGTAGATATATCATTTAACCAGCTCGGTGGGCTGTGCACACTCTGTTTCCTTGAAGAGGTTTGTTAAACATAGTCTAGACTCACTATCTTGCTTACAGATGAATATCTGTTGAATGTGCCCTTTCGTCAACTGTTTGTTGTGTTTGTGTAGGTTGATCATATGATAAAAAATGATCATTTATTTAAGCGAAGCATTATCCTTATAAAGGCCTGGTGTTATTATGAGAGCCGTATATTGGGTGCTCACCATGGTCTGATATCAACATATGCACTGGAAACCTTGGTTCTATATATATTCCATGTTTTCAACAAATCTTTTGCTGGACCACTTGAGGTAACTTTTTACCTGCTGGTCTATTCAATTTATCGTGCATACAGATAGCTTCCTCTGATAATTTTTTTGTCCGGTGTGTAGGTCCTCTATCGTTTCCTTGAGTTCTTCAGTAAGTTTGATTGGGATAACTTCTGTGTCAGCCTTTGGGGTCCTGTACCCATTGGTTCACTTCCAAATGTGACAGGTATGTCAAATTGTTGGAAGCAATGTATTTGCCAATTCTGATGTCAGCTCATATGTGCTTCATTGGCCAAAATTTCTGCAGCCGAACCACCTCGGAAGGATGGTGGAAAGTTACTTCTCGCCAAATCATTTCTTGATGCCTGTGGCTCGGTATATGCAGTTTTCCCGAATGGCCAAGAAAGTAATGGCCAGCCTTTTATCTCCAAACACTTCAATGTCATTGATCCTTTGCGTGCTAACAACAACCTTGGGCGCAGTGTTAATAAAGGTATCGATCAAGACATTTTTCCTCGTCGTATGCTTATATTTCCTCTATATTGCCAAACCTCATGTTGTACATGCAAAGTAAAAAAAAATTGCTAGTGCTTGATATTTTAATAAGGTCTCATGAAGTGAAAACATGTGCACCGGGTAAGTGAAAAAATAGGAAAAGGAAAGTGCACCAGAGGGGCACTGTTCGACTTGTAATTTTTTGGTAATGCAGGGTGTGACGAAGTAGCAGCGGCAGTGTTCTGGAATGGTTCCTACATGTATTTCCTTTTTGCATTTTAACATCAGTACAATTGCACTCCCAGTAATTTGCTTGTGTACATTACCCTATCTCAGGTAACTTCTTCCGGATTCGTAGTGCATTTGCTTTTGGGGCAAAGAAGCTTGCTAGGTTACTAGAGTGTGACAGTGAGAACATACATTTCGAAGTGAATCAGTTTTTCCAAAATACCTGGGAAAGACATGGAACTGGTCATCGTCCTGATGCTCCGCTCAATGGCTTTTGGCAATTGAGACCGTCAAATAATGATAACTTGCTTGGCTCAGAGAATGTGAATCTCCAAAATATTGCTAGTGTCAAATCTGGAAGTCATGAAGGTCAAAATAATGCATTGAATGGGCCCTGTATTGTTCCATCCCAACATGGTAATCACGCCCTAGAAAGCACATCATGGAGTAGTGATGTTGCCACAGTATCTCAATCAAAAAGTCAAAAGATGAATGTAAAGATAAGTTTAAGAACTTCGGATCAGGCTAGAAGAGAAATCAGCACAAATCAGTTTGTTCATGCCGAAAAGAATCTGAGCAGTTCTAAACCAGACAGCTTGGTAGGCGATTTACAAGGAAGGTATCTTTATGCAAGAACACACTCAAGCCCTGAGCTTACGGATACATGTAACAAAGTTTCTTCACAAGCAAGGCATGCTAAAGTTCCAGAAAGTGCAAAAGGCCAGACAACAGCAGCTAGGTCTGACATTATCAAAAGGCAAGAAACTGAACCTGAAAACTATTTTCCCCATGGTTTGGTTTCTTCTCCTTTGACTCGTCATATTCCGACAGTAGGACTGACATCAAGTCCAGAAGGTTCAGTTGAACATTTGAATGAGAATTTTGGTACTGTGGAATTGAACCCTGAGGAGGCTGACAATGAGTTTTGGCGTGAACATGAAAGGGTTTCAGTTGGTGGCCTTGAACTTGATAATGGAAATTTTGAGATGGAAACGTCTGACGATAAGCAGCAATCTACATCAGTTCGGTATAACATTGGTTCATCTGGAACAGGTGGCTCTGGTAACTCTTCTAGAGTTCAGCCGAAGTTCACAAGGGGATCCCTACATTCAAATCAGGGTGAACGAGGAGAACATTTTCTGTACACAGAGAACAAAGGTGATGGAGTTCTCTTTGATGAAAGGCTCACAAATTCAAGCTCGTTTCCTACCATACCAAGTAATTCTGTAAGAAGTACAGCTTCCTCTGAGAGTTCATGGGATGGATCATCTGTAAAGAGTGTGGAAGACCTGTGGAAGACCTCGACTACTGTGACATCTGTAGTTCATGTGAAAGGTAAAGGTATAAATGAAGGCTCCTCCAGCCAGGTGGACGATGACAGCAAAGAGTGGAGCTCACAGTTATCAACTAGTCCTGAGATTGTTGAAAGAGGTTTGGGGCCTCCAGCTACTGGTGTCTCAAGGCATCTGGTTCCTGGGTTTGAGTTGGCACAAACAAGTGGATCTGATCCAGTAGTGCCTATTCCTCCAGTGCTATTGGCTCATGGCGCACGATTTTATCCTACGGGACCTCCTGTTCCATTTGTTGCAATGTTTCCCATTTATAACTTCCCTGCTGCAGAGACGGGAACTTCTGAGGCCTCTACAAGTCAGATTGGTTCCGAGGAGGGTATGAATAACAATGATCGTTTTCAGAATGGTGATTTACTTGAGGGACATCATGATCAGTCTGAAGTTCCAAGTCCTAGTAGTACTTCGATGAGTGTTGCTGCCTCACTTGAGGCATTTGAGCACAAGTATGACATCCTCAATAGTGATTTTGCTAGTCATTGGCAGAACTTGCAATATGGACGGTTTTGCCAGAATTCACAACTTCCTAGTCCAGTTGTCTATCCACCTGTTGCGGTACCACCTGTACATTTACAGGGTCGTATCCCATGGGATGGCCCCGGAAGACCTGTTTCGCCAAACATGAAGCTTCTCAGTCAGCTAATGGGTTATGGACCTCGTATCCTTCCAGTTGCTCCCATGCAAGCTGTTTCCGGTAGACCTTCTGGTGTCTATCAACATTATGTCGATGAGGTGCCAAGATATCGTGGTGGAACTGGAACCTACCTTCCAGACCCTGTAAGATAACTTTCCCCCCCTGATTCACCTTATTCTTGTGGGTATTTTGTGTTTGTGTAATCAAGTGACCTCATTTGCCTCATTATTATTTAACTGTTGAGCGTTGCTTGGCTTAAGATGAATGTTTAAGTTAACCTCTCTTCCAGTTAACATCCAGAAATGCTGTGTGTAGTTCATCTGCTGATTTTATATAATCTGTGACCTAAAATAATCCATATAAATTACCATGTACTGCAGTTAAGTATTGTGGTCCTTTATTTCTATTTTCGTTCGTGTTCACAGAAATGAATGTGTCATTACGCTGAGGTTCTATGTTGTTAGATGTGGTGAATTTTTTTAGTTGCTTTGAACAAAATATTTGAAGATGATATTGATGACTTGTTTTCATTTGCTGCCTGCAGAAAGTAGCAGGCAGGGATAGGCATACCACAAACTCTTCCAGAAAGGCAAACTATAACAATTATGATAGAAGTGAGCACCATGGTGATTATCGAGAAGGGCACTGGTATAATTCGAAGTCAAGAGCCCCCGGGCGCAGTCACAGTCGTAACCAGGCTGACAAGTCGAGTAGTTCAAGACTGGACATATTAGCAGGTACAGGTGGGAGCAGCAGATCGGAGAGGACATGGGTCTCACACAGACATGACAACCCCACTCCTGCTGACCAGATTGAGTTTGGTTCACTTGGCCCTATGGGGTTTGCCGAGCTGTCACATTTGAATGAGGACCAAAGACTTCATGGCAGTGCAGTAGCTCAACTGTCTTCACCAGATCAGCCTTCTTCTCCTCACCATCTTCAGAGGTAGTTTTCAAAATTCTAACCGTGTCATGTCTCCCCGGCAGTTAATAGCTGTGCAAGATTTCTGAATTGGAAGTCTGTCCGTCGTCTGTCTGCCCGACAATGTCGTTGAGGGACTACAGTTTACAGCACATTGAATGGTATAATTATTTGGAAGATGTAGCTATCATCTTGAATTTTGGTTACTGCACATTGCTTAGGCTTGGGTGCGGAAGGGGTTTGTTTCTCTTTGATTTGTTTTGTGATTGATGCATTTGATTTTTATTATGCAGGAGCATTTGAGTTTTCCTTCATTGCAGAATTATGGGTGGCTCCAGTGACATGGTGGTCTATTGGAGAAGGATGATTTCACGCATCTTGCAAGAAAACGGGAAAGAGGGAGGATTTCATATGATTGTTGCAGCGCCCCTACTAAGTTCAGTGCAAGAAGCTCCTCAGCCGCTCCTACCAGAGTAATGGTTTCGTTTCCTCTTCTCACCCCACTCAATAAGATATGAGCCAGAGACTTCAGTTGGGGCATTCAGCGCCTTGCAACCTGTAGTTCTTTGCTGCTGTTTCTTTTGCAGCTGTCTCTGTGCACTTAGAAGCCTGGCTTCTTTTTTTCGGACTTTCCCTGTTTAGAAAGTAGAAGGGGAAAAGTAACTTGGTCGTGGTGAATGAGCTACCGCCACCATTGCAGTAGGAGCATGGTAATTGGTGATTTCGTTACTTCGAATAGTTCGCTTATTTCGAACACAGAAACTGGTAGGTCTCTGGGAAGAAACAGATTGTAACTTTCACTGATGTAGAAGACATTTGAATGCAGGTTTAGAAAGTAGGTGGTTGGAGTTAAATCCTCTGCCCAACTCGAGCTTTTCCCCGTCAGTAAGTTGGTGATTCAGTTCCCACATGATGGATGGTGTTGTATTAGGAGGTTTTGATATGTTAGTTAAAGTCGAGCTCGAGTATATGTGGTCTGCCTCTTTGTGATCAACTAGTGTTTAGAATGTAGTTAAATAGTACATACAATGATTACTGCTGCCAGCAGAAAAATGAAACTGCTGCTGTTTAGTTCTACCTGCTTGTTCAGCTATCATATTTGCTTTTAAGGGAGTTAACTCTCGTCTTCAGCCAACCAATGTTACCTCTTTTGTTTTAATTTTCTTTCTTGTTCAATTGCATTTACCCTTTGATTAAAAAGGTTTTGTTCTTCACCTCTTACCGTTTGTCTTTCGGATTCAGACATTTATGGCGTAGTTTCATCACAGTTTTCAACCGAGACTTGCACCACAACACGAAGATGGACAAGATCAGTCAAATTAGACTTAATATTTGAGTTCAAAGACTCATCACCTCATTTATGAAGAAAATGTCTTTTTTGAAAAAGTTCCGCGAACGAAAAACAATTAAAAGTAAGTTTCTTTTTTTGGGTTTGAATGAAAAACTTGATGGACGCACTCTTCAACGATTTTTGTGATACCGGATGTCCTATTTAAATAGTTCAATGATACTCATTTCCCAATTTGAATAACTTATTGATATTGTAGTATTTTACCCTCTTGATTGACCTAAAGTACAGTACTCACAATAAATTGAAAGTAGATTTGAGGAGTCTATCACCAATTGACAAAGAGGTTCCTCTAAAGTACAATGAGTAACAACGGTGAGACGATAGGATAACTTTTATCAATTCTGCCCAAAAAAAGATAAAATCCAATTGAAAGGAATACGAGATTTGGTTCTAATTCCTAATCGGCCCAATAAACTCGGCTAATCGTCAAATCCAACTGAATGGAATACCGGCAAAGTAAGATCCAATTCAATGGGAGAATATTATATTTTTGTGAATATCGCTGGATTTATTCTCAGAATAAACTGCGATACAAGAACTTCAGCTTTCAATGACCAAGCTGATACCGTTTACCGTTGATTAACTTATGTTACTGTTAAGAGGATTTCGGGAACATCAATGTCGCGAATCTCGATTCCATGTTCTGTAATTGACATGTTGTTATTATTAGTGTCTAATTTTCCAAGCGAGAATCGATGACCGCAACAGACAAATTAGAAAGAGGCTTAATTAAGACAACGAAGATTGCTCTTAAGCGGCGGTGAGGTTCGGTGGGAAGTCGCGCTCGCACTACGGACGGAGAGATGAAGTTGGTGCGAGAGGCGACAAGAGCTAGAGAGAGAGAGAGGCGCCGACCACTAATTCCGGCGAGAAAAACAGAGGAGGAAGTAGAGAAGGCGGCGCCGGAAAAGAGAGAGGAAGCAGAGTCAGAGAGAGGACGGCGCTGTTGGGAGCTGTAATGGGTTTGACTTTTGACGGAAGAGAGTAAGGAGCCGTACCGTCTTTTGGTTTTGGAGGCCCATATGAAACCAAAAAAATTGATTTCCTACCGTCCTTTAGAGGCCCATATATGAACCAAAGATTCGACTTCGCAATGTGACCAAAGGGCCCTTACGTTCTATGCTTGGGGTGTATTGAAAAGTCTGGTTTCAATAATTCAAGTTGTTGAGGAAAAGTGTGGAGATATGAATACAAGATTATTTGGTTAAATAAGTTCTGATACTATTATCATAAATCAATTTTATTTCAACGACTCAAATTATTAGAAGAAAGTTAATTATAAATTTATATGTTAACAACTTGGTTGCACTCTTTCAGAACTTCTTTTCCTCTCCTTCTATTGTTGATATGACTTAAAACCATATTATCTATTGTCGGCTGAAAGTGATGAAGGTTTAGTTGTCCAGTCAGCGAGTTGGGGTCTAGAGGCGAAGCGCCAGATTTGAAAGTTTTGGGACAACGCGCCCGACTCGCGGTGTATGGGCTCATACATGTTTGTTTGTTTGTTTTGGGCTTTTTTTTCCCAATTGGATTAGGTTAGGGGTTGTCTGGAGAAGGAAGTCAGGAACTATACATATCTTATCACTCGTTATAATTTGTCTCTCCCCAGTCCCCAAGTATAGTGAAACTGGCTCTTTCCTATGCATGAACTAACTACACACATTGTCATAGTCAACTACGTAAATCTTTGTGTTCTTTACTTTCTCGCATTGTCAACTTTTTGATCCATTATAACACGCCAAATGCTTACAAATTCCAATTGCTCTCTTCAAGCTTTTTTTCTCTTCAAGTAATGACAATAGATAGAAAGAAATACTATACAGTCTACCAGGAACCCTCCCAAAGCACCACCTCAGTGAAGCCAACCTACAAAGTCAAAGATAACTAACTCAAGAGGATAAAATAATAGGCTTTTACGCGCCACTCTATGGACAATCCTGTTTGCAATTCTAGGAACCGCCCCAAACTTTATACAGACAAACACCAAGGATAAAAGATTACGTCAATCACGAAGCATAGACCCTCCAAGGGAATCCTAGGTTACTCCTCGATGAACTGATGAATAACCACTTCAAAATCTTATTCATTTGATTGATGACCCGATGGAGAGATTTGGATTGATTCAAAATGAATCAATTTAAAATTCTCAAAACCATATTAATCCGTCCAAAATTTCGGTTACCAAATGAATTAATTTAATACATTTCTCTCAAAACGATTGAATTGAATCAAATTGTTCAATCGGAATTCCTCATTCAAACCACTCCGGTTAAAAATGTCTAATAAGTAATAAGTATGGTTGAGAGGTGGACAGTCGCTTGATAATTGATATTCCGAGAGGGAACCTTGGCCAGTGGTAGTGCCTGCCTATATAAAAGAATGCCCCTGAACTGGTCTTCCACAGTACATCTTCCCAATCATCCCCTGGTTCGACCCAGGAGTCCGAGTCCGACTCAGGCCCCTCCCTCCATTAAAATTCATCCTTTTTCCTATCTCCACTTGCCTATTTCTCTCAACAGGACGATTTGCGCCAAACACTTGGCTCTGCCGCTGTTGCAACTTCCTAATCCCCCCCTCCCTCAGTAAAGCTCACTCAGTAGTCAGTAACGCTCTTTCTCCCTCTTAAAAACAGTCTTCTTCTTCTCTTTCTTTCCTCATCGCCTCTCTGTCGTGGCTTGCTGTGTGTGACATTTTACACAGGTTCTGCTCTCCCTTTGTGTTCTTCGATTGCTGTTTCGTTTTGAAATTGGTTTCGATTGGTTCTAGTTCTCTTTTGGTATATCCCCGCCCTTTGTTTTCTTACCTTTCTGCAACCTTTTTCATTTTAGTCTTTGTTGACTGAATTGACTGATATGTCAAAAAGGGTGGAAGAAGAACGATTAGGTTTGCCGTGAGAGCTCCGTTTTGATAATGATAACAACAATAGGAATAGCAAAGAGAAGATACTACTCCTTTCTGCCCCTATCTCATATTCCCCCACTGGGACTCTCTCGATCGGTTTTGCTGATTCCTCACTGCTAACGGTTTTTCCTTTTCTGCAAAATTCGTTGGTTCCTTTCCCCACTCCTTGCAATTCCGCCTCCTTGAACTGGTAATGGCCCCTTTTTTTTCTTCTTCTTTTCCTTCTGGGTTTCCTATTTGCCCAGTTTTCGTCACGGTCTTTTTCTTTTTCGTTTTCGTTTGGGGGTCGCTTCACGAAATTGGAAACCACCCTTTTTTCTTTGATAATCATGAGCTGGGCAGCTTCTGGCGTTTCCCTTTTGAGGGTCTACCAGAACTCCAGAAGGTTTCGTTTGAAATCTGAATTGCAAAGAGTGTCGGTTAGTTTCATGGTTTTTCTCTCTGGGAAACGTCTGTTATATGATGATGATGTCTGTAGAGAAGAACATGCTAGTGTTTTCAGTATAAGTAATCATCTTTTTACCTGCCCCTTCCCGGGTCTTTGTTGTTTCCTTTTGCCATCTAGGTGTGTAGTGAGGATGTTAGAGTCGATGGAAATGGTCGACCCAAGTAAGGTGATCGAGGAATTTGAAGCAATGACAAAAGATGCTGAAAGGATACAGAGAGAGACCCTTAAGAAGATCTTGGAAGACAATGGGTCGGCTGAGTACTTGAGGGATCAAGGTCTAGATGGCAGAACCGACCCAGACAGTTTTACTGCTTGTGTTCCGCTGGTGACTCATAAGGAGTTGGAGTCTTACATTCACAGAATTGCTGATGGGGACTCTGCCCCGGTTCTCACTGGAAGGCCTATAACCACCATATCTTTGAGGTACCTACCACCTTCCTTTGTTTGTAACCTTTTTTCTTTCCCCTTTCTGGGTTCGGAATATTTATGTGCCCTGTGTCCTTTCTCAATGGTTCTTCTAGTTCTGATAACTCTGCACCTTTTTGGCAGTTCTGGTACTTCTCAAGGGAAGCCCAAACTTTTACCTTTCAATGATGAATTGATGGATACAACCCTGCAGATATACAAAACTTCTTTTGCCTTTAGGAGCAGGTACAGTATTATATGTCTGGAAAAGGTTTTCTCTTTTCATTTGTCCAATCCAGGGATGCTTTTCAACTGTCTGATAAGATTATAGCTGCTATATACAGAGTTGATTTCCACTAACCTGTTTCAACTAGAAGGAAAAAAAGGATGTTGGGGAACGTTTTTTTTACCCTCTATCTGGCGAATATATGATTATTTTGTCTCAACTTGTTATGCAGAGAGTTCCCACTAGGCAAAGGGATGGCCTTGCAGTTCATTTACAGCAGCAAGCAGGGGAAAACAAAGGGAGGGTTGGTGTCAGGAACAGCTACAACAAACGTGTTTCGCAATGCTTTATATAAGCAGGCAATGAGGGCTCTTCAGTCCCAGTGTTGCAGCCCAGATGAAGTCATATTTGGGACTGATTTTCAGCAGTCGTTATATTGCCACCTATTGTGTGGCCTTATCTTCAGGGAAGAAATTCAGTTTGTGTGTTCTACTTTTGCCCACAGCATTGTCCTTGCTTTCCGGACCTTTGAGGAGGTCTGGCAAGAGCTATGCAGCGATATAAGGGAAGGGGTCCTCAGCAGCCGGGTCACTACCCCATCAGTTAGAGCAGCGATGCTGAAGTTACTTAAGCCCGACCCTGAATCGGCTGATCTCATCTATGAGAAGTGCGTTGGATTGAGCAATTGGTATGGGTTGATACCACAGCTTTTCCCTAATGTGAAGTACGTTTATGGGATCATGACGGGGTCGATGGAGCCTTATCTGAAGAAAATGAGGCACTATGCAGGGGACATCCCTTTGTTAAGTGCTGATTATGGTTCTTCGGAAGGATGGATAGGAGCAAATGTCAACCCGAAATTACCCCCTGAGCTTGCTACTTTTGCTGTGCTCCCCAACATTGGATATTTTGAGTTCATCCCTCTTACAGAAAATCCCAACCACATCTATATGGACGCGAAACCTTTGAGTCTGACTCAAGTGAAGGAAGGCGAAGAGTACGAGGTGGTCCTCACTAGTGTGGCAGGTACTACTAACAGTTCCATTACTAATCAAGCTGTTTCTATAGTTTCTGTCTGTCATCCACGCATGTTTCCATATTGTAAAGAAGCGAGCTTGACATGAATGTCTGTCCTTATCCCTCCACAACCATTAACTTATCATCCTCGTCTAAGTGGAAACTTATTATAATATCAAGACAGCATGTTCATACTAATGGCTTAGATCTGTTGACTAGACGTCATATGGCATAGGTCTTTGACTTGTCTGCTCAGAAATCCTTCTCTCTCCCAGTCTTGGAAAAAGTCATAGCAGAAATCCTTATCATCCACTTACATAGTATTCTTAGTCAAGAAGATAAACTCCGTAGGTGATACTTGGCTTTGTGGAATATAAGACAAAGATAGTGCCATGGAAGCACGACAAAAGAGAAACATGCCTTTAGGATGTAAGAGAAGAGGTGCGGTAGATTTACAACAATATGATATTCAAGTTGATGGATTAGGTATGCATGCTTTGTAGTCATTTGTGCAAAAAGACTTTGATACAAGCATATAAGAACAGAGTGGTCCTGCTGTCATGGATTACAAGTCATTAATCCTCACCTAATTCGCCAATTACCTAATCTAGAAATCGTCTCATTATAATTGGAAGCACTTGCAAGCAACTGGAATTGTTTCTCTTAGGGCTCCTGGTCATATATCCTTTTTACATAGTGTTTTACAGCTTATGTTGTAAGCTGTAAATCAAATTTAAAAGTCTGTGGAATGGGGTTGACTGCAGGTTTGTACAGGTACAGGCTCGGAGATGTGGTGAAGGTGGTGGGGTTCCACAACTCGACCCCGAAACTGAAGTTTGTGTGCAGGAGGAACCTATTGCTTTCCATAAACATCGACAAGAACACCGAGAAAGATCTGCAGGTGGCTGTAGAGGAAGCAGCCAAGCTGCTGGCTGAAGAGAAGCTGGAAGTCGTGGACTTCAGCAGCCTGGTGGAGAAAGATTCATCGTCGGAGCCGGGGCATTACGTCATCTTCTGGGAGATCAATGGGGAACCGAGCGAGGAAGTGTTGGCAGAGTGTTGTAGTCAGCTAGACAAGTCGTTCGTCGATCTGGGCTACGTTAGTTCGCGGAAGGTGAAAGCCATCGGACCGTTGGAACTCCGGATAGTGAGGAGGGGAACCTTCCAGAAGATTCTGGATCATTACCTGGAATTGGGAGGTGCTGTGAGCCAGTTCAAGACCCCCAGGTGTGTCGGGCCGATGAACAAGGTTGTGTTGGAAATCTTGTGCAGCAATGTTGCTCAGACTTACTTCAGTACTGCTTATGATTGACAGCAGGATGGAAACGGTTGCTTGGGAAATAATTGTAATAATATGGTGATCCTTTTATATACTGTATTACAGGTTTTATGTGGGCTTCCTCAGCATCATAGCTATTCTAAAGAAACACAAAGGCCTTGAGTTCGTAGAAATGAGGGTACAAAAGGGTAGAAACTATTATACAGGCAATCATTTCAATATAAATGGTCAAAATATGAAATCACCTTGAATATAAGAATGTTTTTTTTAAGGTTAAATAAAATATTATTAAGTTCAAGGAAAGCCAAAACAGCCGTCTTGTCAAATATTGCATACTTTCATAATTATGTCAAAGTTCAAGCTAAAAAGCAGACTATATATTGATCATCTTGTGTATGAAACAGGTGATATTGTGAAAAATGTAAGCCCAGATGGGACAGATTGCAGTGTCTTCTTATCATAAACTCTTGGGAGAATCGAACCTTGAGGTGGAAGACCTGCCAATTAGCTATTTTGAAGGGCTCATATGTTACAATCTTGAGAAATAAATACACCATAAACTTTTTTTTCTTTACTATCAACCAAGGTTGTCAACCTGCGGGTTGACCCGGACCCTGTCGAGCTACTGGGCCAAGGGTTAACGGGTCACCCGTTTTAGCCTGTTTTAATCCGGAAATATGGAAAGAGTCATTACATTGTACTTATCCTGATAAATTATATCAAATCTCATCTAAAATATTAGTAATAACATATAACATTACACCAAAGTAACATGTCGTACTTATATCCAACACATAGTAAAAATTCACACATTTATTTAACATCAATGTTCAACTAAGAATTCCAAAGATTGAGTTAGGCAAAAAGAAAAATAGGAAAATAGACGCATTTTGCAAAAAAAAAAAATGACACAATTTGACCTCCAACCCGATACCTTGTAGCGGTCGACCAGGCGAGTGCGTACAACCCCTTTTTTTTAGCAGGTCAGGTTCAAAGTAGGCCGACCCGCGGGCCGATAATTCCCATAGACAAATTCATTTCATGGTTATACATTGGACCCTACTCCTACTTCAGCTGTTCTTGCCTTCCCAAAATCCTTCAATGGCTTTGACGTGATCAATGACGCAAAGGGCTAACCGAAAGTGGTAAAAACTACGGTTAAGTGGATGCATGACGAAACACTAAAACAGTTTGTTTGGGCAGAGAGAGGCACTAATTAATGGCGAAAGTAGAAAGATAAAGATACCTAACAGAACAAAATTTATGCATTATATATATGTATTCCCAACTCGCCTTTGGACGACGAATTAAAACAAAATAACACATTGAAAATGTTTGTTCTTTCTAATACGTAAAATGAAGGCCTTGGTCTCTCCAACAAATACAATAATACCATCACTTTCACGTGTGAAAATACGACACTCTTCTCCAGCATTTCCGGCGCCGTTTTTGCATGTTATCGTCAACTTATAGCCATTTTTGCATATGGTATGGGGTGGGTTTCATTGACTGCGCTGCGCGGGAGCACATTTTCACTAAGATTGGATAGCGATATTTTGATATTCTTAACTAAATTTCAACAATCATTCACGAATTGACGTCTCATAATCACGAATATAACAAGTAAAACACACATTTATAATAACACATTAAACAATCAATCCAAAAATAGACTACATTATTAGTAAATAAAAATTAAGCACTAAAATTCTAAAGTCCAAACTATATTATATCTCTACCAACTAATTATAATAAACACTAAAGTCTTAAACGGTAAGCATAAAGTTGAAACCGATTGTCCAACATTTAATGAAGAAGCTCTTTTTAGCTTTGGTCTGGTTCATCCGGTTGGGATGGTTAATCATTCGGATCAGTGTCCGACAGATCATTCTTAGCAGACGGTTAAAATGACCGGATAAACTGGGATGATGGCAGGGTACTGGTTTTATGGATCAGACCGATCGACTCTGTCCGTTTTAGTAACACTGTGATTTTTCCCTTTAACATTATTTCATGTATCCAACAATATTCGAAAAATAAACTTTTAGATTAATATAAAAAATTATTTTGGGATGGTGCATGTGGGTTTTCGCCGAACTGCATACTGGTGGTTTTGGTATGACATTTAACATCTTGTGCAGTTTTAATTATGGGGATGGTTATGATTTTAAAACCGTTGTTTGTGGATGACATATATGAAAATCGGACCAACCAAAACCCGTTGCCACCCCTATTCATTCATAATTTTTTTTAATAAATAAATAAATAAATAATGAGATTAACTAACCTACTCACGATATATATATATACATATTTATCTCAGAGTTGTCTTAATTACTTGCCTTATGGATAATGATATTGAGCTCAAACTCAAACAAATCTATGTAAAGTACAACAAGGGCGAAAGTGATTCTATCATCTAGTGGGATCAAGAACAGTAGACTCTAAGAGCCAAATCCAGTCACGTGAACAAATCTTGACGAAGGTTGTGAACTTCAATCCAGATGCTCAATTTAAACTCTAGTATGTACAGTGATCCTGCGCGCAACCAAGAGATCAAATAAAACTTCTCAGTTTAATTAATATCAACAGGGCTTATTTCAATATCATGTACATTTGTACAGTAGACTCTAATTATTCAAACTGAGATATTTTTGTCATAAATTAAAAGTTGGGACCAAAGTTGTCCTTGGTGAAAAGTTGGGTCAGTACTAACACGCAGGATTCGGACAAAATATCTCTCAAATCACAAAAAACTCTGATACCATAAGCCAGTCCCAATAATCCTAAACTCATATAAAGATGAAGGGAAAACTTACAAGTTGTGAAGCGTCCTGATGGTGCAGTCGGGGCTGGCGTTCCCGCTCTGGATGTCCTTGAGCGTCATGCCCTGGCACGACGCAGCCACGTTTAGCATTCCGATCTTCAAACCCATCGTCTCAATGCCAACGGTGGTGGTCACCTCCAAATTCACCTTGAGGCTCTTGTCCTCGTACTGCTTCGGCAGCCTCTCCTCCTCGCGCTTGTCCAGCAGCTCGTCCTTCACGCTCGTCTCCACCTTGAGCGTCGTCGTCGTCAGGCCCGCTTGCTCGAACCCGGGGAGCGTGGTGGACCCCATGTCGGTGTCCTTGTCGTCCCCGACCGTGATCCCGACGTAGGTCTCCCCGTACCGATACATCAGCTTCTCATTCGGATTGGTGAGCTGCAATGCAGTTAAAAGCGCGACAGTTTAAATTTAAAAGTTTACACTTTTGTACGTTGTTACTTCTGAGCTTAATACTAGCTAGCTCTTTAGAAGCTTTATAAGTGCTTTAAAATCGTTAAAAAAACTAGTTTTTTTTTTCAGGGTGCTTTTAACAACTTATAACTATCGGATTTATTGAGCAGTTGGGGGGCTCGTCAAGTGGTTTTCTAGGCGAAAAAAGTAAAAAAATTATCATATGGTTGGAATTAAAATTAATCTATTTTTAAAATTGCATTTGTAAGTTTAAATAGATTACTAAAACGCTTCTACGCAAAATCTAAGTTTATATAACTTATATAATTAAAAACTAATTTTAAAACTTAAAAACTTACGATTATACGTATCTAAATCACCAAAATGTTTCTTACATATTTTGACTACATTTTTCGCATGTAGTAGCCCTTAAGTTTCATAAAAACTATATATATAGGTGACCTGGATGGCAGCGGAGACTGCGGCGGAGAAGTAGGTGCCTTCGGGCTTGGCGGCGACGTGGACGGCGGAGATCTTGCAGGATTGGATGCGGAAGGACGGCGGTTTGGGGTGGTAGAGGTAGATGAGGCCGCCGGCAACGGTGAGGAGGAGGAGGATGAGAAGGAAGGTGACGAGGAAGCAGCAACAGCAAATTTTGCAACAGCTGGCGCCTCTCTTGGTCGGCCGGAACGACGGAGGGAGGTGCGGTGGTGGCCGTCCCGGGATCGGGGACCTACCGGTCGGCGGCGGATTCCGATGAGCCGGGGGACGGGGGACCTGCCCGCCGGGGATCGGCGACCTATCTACCATTTGATGGATTTATTTATTAACCCTTTTTCTTCTATTCTTGTTGATGATGAATTGATGATGATTATGTGTATGTTTTGTTACGGGAAATTACAAATGGACAAGCTGATGAAACGTTTGGAGAAGGATTATGATGATGATGATGATGATAATTATGTGAAATTTGAGTAAGATGAAGAAGAGCAAATTAGATTTGATTTTACGATGGTGGTAGAAGTTTGATTTTCCAAATGATTTGTTTTGTTGTTGTTGGTGTTTTTTTACTAATTTTCATTTCGGGGTTATGATTTGTTTGGAGAAGGAATTCTAAGGAAAGCTAGCGAGAGGAGAGAAGGGGCTGGAATTCAGTTAGGCTACCGAGATTTACGAGCATCACCTATACAAAATGTAGCTTGTGTTTTGGTGGATGATTGTAAAATCCTATCCAAAAAGTCGGTGATAGAGTAGTTTATATTAAAATTATGGTTCAATCGTTTTATATTGTTAAAATTAGAGTGTTAATAGGTTTGGTTTTGGTAAATAAATAACCAATTAGATGGTTAGTGATTAATCACTAAGCAAATAATGCATAATCAATAAGACTTATCGGTTAATCACCTATTATCAGTTCGATTAGTGGTTGATTTGACAGTTAACTACTAATCAATAACAACCTCCACATGTGATTTTATATTTAAAAAAAAATGATGTCCTTTTTAAATAATACAATATAGTCATACAAATAATTCGGAAGAAAAAAAGTTAACTACACTTCTACTTTGTGAATATAAAAAATATAAAAATATCATTAATATAATAGAAAATTCATCATGAATTCATAATCCAAATTCAAATTTCAACACGTAATTCATGATCCAAGTCCATCAGCTCAACGGTCTTGGTAACTCTCTTCGCCACAAGCTCACTGCTTAAATCAGGACAAGAACTGATAAGACCACCCAGAAAGGTGACACCATGCGAAGGGCGAGCAATAGAGGCTTGAAAAACACCCGAAAGCCGACTGCTATGATGCTCGGTAGGCCAGAACACCTCTGTCTTACTCACGTTTAGGTGAAGGCCAAATCGAGGGCCTTAATCCATAATAATGTCTATGACCTTCCTAACAACTCAAGTGTCCCACACAATGGTGTCATCGTCCAAATACCAAGCCTCCATACTCAGATCAAAAGAGCCTCTAATATTGCACACTAAGGGATGCAACACCAAAGCAAAAAGTAAGGGCTCAAAGGGTCTCCCTGCTGAACCCCCTGGCAAGACCATAAGCTATGCTTGCCATAATACAGACGGGCAGGGCTAGAGTAACAGAACTTTACCCATCATGATAGAACCGGGCAATGACGGTGAACTTCTTAAAGCATGGTCCCATAATCAACTAAATTGAAAGCCACCTGGAAATCAACCAGCAACATAGAAAAACCTACGTCACCACTCTGGGTCTCAACGAACCGGTTCAAGGCATGGAAAATAGCCTATCCTCCACCATAAATTCCAACCTCAAACTGAAGACCATCAAAATAACCAGATAAAGTAGGGGCAACAAGACAAGCACCAACCTTAGAGACAAGACGTCTCCAAACAATATCAACAGCTACAGATACCACCCCTGGTTTAACAAGCGGCGTGAGCGAAGCGCTAGCAATGTACTCACCGAGGGGCTGTGGACAACGACCCTCAAGGAAAAGATTAACCACCAGAGTAATAGAGACGTGCAAATAATCCAAGATAGCAACAACAACATCACCCAAACAATCCATAAAATGTTGAGCTTGAAAACCACCCCTCCCGCAAGACGTACCACGAGGGAAGCTCCTAATCATATTCAAGAAATAGCCGAAGAGGCACCAAGAGGATGATGATCCAAAGGTAAAGCTGGTAGAGAGGGAGATGGGACGAGGGCATGCTTATCTTGCTGAGCTAAAAGAATGGCATCAGAATAAGAGGAACACCCAATGAAGAAAGCACTCGAACAAGAGCAGTATAATGCCCATCACAAATCTTCCTCCGACCATCTTGGCACTCATGGAGACCGACAAAAGGGCAGTAATAACGAACAAGAACGGGCATGACGACACAACAAACCCTAAATCAATTTTTTCTAGCACCATCCGAGAAAACCCTATCATCCCTTTGCATCATCATCGCACCAACCAGCTACCACAGAATCCTCTTCAGCAACCAACGAAATAGTAGAAAGCTTGACCAAAAATATCAAACCCTAATCCCAATTGGCGGCACTTCTACTTCTCAATTTCCGTTAGCACCCAAATCCCAATCCCCGTGCACTCCCTCCCGATCACAAACCCAACGACTTCCGCTAGGAGCAACTTCTTTCCTCACTCGGTAGAGACGGACAGAGAGCAGCCGGCAAACGACAGTGCAGCAGCACGTGGGGATAAATATGTGAATGGAGCGCGCCCCCCACAACGTCCCTTGTCCTTGGTGTCATGCAAGGTTGTCAAACCGATATCCAGTCCATCGAAATCATCCACTTGAACACCTCAAATACAATCAGTTCATGAGTAACCGGTGAAAATCTGATCACACACCACAAGTTTGTTGAATCAATCTCAATCTTTCTTGTAACACAACATTCAAATACACACACTCGAAAAACATGTGTGATTGACTTTCTTGACTCCACACACAACAACGATCTATCATCTATTTTCCTATTACATTCATTCAATTTATCCCTCGTAATAATGCAATACCTAGCCAACAACCAATTTATAATGCCTCGAAAGCGCTGGTGGCGGAGCTAGGAGTGCAGCTGATGGTACAGCATGGCTTAGGATAACTCATCAATTTTTTCTCTCTCTTTAGAAAAGTTGTAGAATTAGAGACATACCGTGAAGTTTTTTTTAGTCGTGGCGCTCTCAAGAAATCATAAAAGTAAAGATAAGAGTTATATAGATTTGTTTCATGTATGGATCAAATACTTTCATTCCAACTATGTTTGAAAAGGTGCAAGCTAAGTAACAATGATTTTCTTGTTTTCTCGAGAGATCAAATATGTATTGATCCCGCGAAATTCCACAAATGTTTTAACCTAAACAAACACGCTTCATATGACAGGGAACTCCAACTCCAGCCTATTTTTCCAAAAGCACAGGCTTTACACTAGTGGAGCTGAAGTACAATCCGTTTTCCTAGATACAATGTGTTCAAGAAGAAAAACGCTCAATAGTACATCACTGGCTACCGCAGTATAGAAACAGATTTGAACAACCTTCCTGAACCACCATCTCTACTAACCAATTCAGAGATCACAAAAGCTGCTCACTGCAAAAACTGGAAGGCACAACCGAGAGCTCCATCCGGCCGGTCCATTCCTCACCAGGCTTCAGCGTGATGGGTTTCTCAATCGCAGCTCCATCTACGCACAACATCTGCTTGTACTCATCATCTCCGAAATCGGTCATTGCCTTCGATTTCTTCTCCCATGGATTCCACACTGCTGCAGTTCGATAGGAAAAAAGGTTGGATCAATAACAAGAGAAATGATATGCAAGAAGAACTGGAAACCCTATGTGTTCTTTACTCACCGATGTCCGGTAGTCCCTCTTTTCTCACAACATAGGTCCGCTTACGCTCATGATCAAGCACCGCAACCACATTTGGGGCACCAAGGTAGACGCGGTCCAACTGCCAATTAACATTTTCAGACACAGACATATCTAAAAGCCTCGGACTTGACACAGTATTGTTAACAGTCAAGCTCAAAGTGTTCTGAAACGAACCTCAGACTCGAAGGTGATGGCATCTCCTTGCTCTGTGTATCGCTCTTTACGGGAGAGGTTGTCGAGGTAGTCGAGAGTTTCAAGCCCCTCTATCCTCACTTCACTGCAAAACATCATCAGGGTCAGGACACCACAATTCACAAAATTTTCCACAGCTGAGCCTGAATGGCTTTGTTACCTGATGTCCGAAACCGAGAGATGTGCATGATATCCAAACGAGAAACTGAAGGGCTTCCCATTGACATTCCTAACTCTGGATATCAGCAACAACTCCCCGTGACTCGACAGTGCCACCCTCAGCCTGAATTCGAAACTGCCAATTCCGCAATTGTACATGTCAACCAACATATTTGGACATCATCAGAAGGGCTATATAATTGGAGCAGCCATCATACCACATAACATACCTATGAGGCCAGCATTTGAGGTCCTCGTCGGATGATTTAAGGACAAGGTCGATAAACGATTTGCCATGAGAATCATTGGGGTGCAATGCAGGAGGACACTCGTCAATCGTCCAAACTTTGTTTCGGGCGAAACCGTGCTGTTCTAGCGATCCACAGTTGCCAAACTGGGGAAAGCAGATTGGGATCCCTCCCCTCATTGCCTTGGGGTGCTTCAATATCGCCTGCGGACCAAAATTAGACCCAACAACAAGAGGTTAGAACAATCACAAAACCAGACTTGGAGCATTCATAAGATGGTTTGAAAGGATTAAGTATAAAAAAAAAAAACCCACCTTGCTGCTTGTAAACAGAAGTTCTTCCCCATGTTCATTCCTCCACGAAACCACTTGTGCGCCATGTAAGCTCACCTGAAAAATTCATATCAAACAGGCATTGATATATCTGAGAATTTGAACCCAAATCTAGGAAATGGGAGGAAATGTGAAGCAGAGGATGATATCTCGAATTTCAGATTTTGCCAAATGTATAGATCTCACTCACCTTGGCAGAAGCCCCATGCGGATTACGGAGCATAACCTGGTCGATGCCATTCCAATCCTTGGTGATCTCAATGGCTGTTCTGCAATCCCAAACAGCTGCAGAATGCCCCATTTACGCCTTTTACACCTCAACCTACCCACTTCAGTTCACTACTTGTACTTCAGAGCACAACCCCCAAGCCTAAACCGAATTCTTCAACCCCAAATGCACATCGTCGAAAAAATCTAAAATCTGGGTTTTCTCCCCCACCGCTCCACTGATGGGGAGATAGATCCAGGGAGAACGGAAAATGAGGCACAAAAGGACTAATTTCTCACTGGAAAAACCCTAACTAGAGCCACGCATACAGAAAAAAACCATTTGGCAACGCCATAGACCAACACCTAACCAGCAGACGAAGAAGCCAGATCGCCACGCTACATGACAATATTCAGCGGTAAACAAAGATGAGCCAAATGGAATCCCCACCCCAACGACGAAGACAACGTAAGCAGGGGCTTACGTAAGAGCTGCAAATCCGGGGCAGAGAAGAACCCAGAAGAGCTCAGCACAGGAGAGAATACCGAATTCCCCAACTGGGTTCTGCGAATTAAGTGGACGTACGTAGGGAAAGAAGACGAGGGGGGGAATTTATGGAGTTGACAAATGCGTGAGGATACGGTTTGATATCCAGGAAGTTGAGTAAATAATAATGAAAAAAAGGAAAAGAATCAGAAGCAAAATACCGCCCATGAAAACCCCATTCACTCAATCACAAGTCTTTAACACATGGCTGTGTATGCAGGTGCGTTGTTGTGTCCCCTTAACGTCTGCAACCCATTAATGGAGGCCAAAGGCTTCTTCTTTTTTTTATTAGGAACAGAGAATGGGGAGCAGAGACAAGAAGATAAGATGCGATGTATTTTTCGAACGGAAACCCGTTGAAATTGTAATTTTGGGAGAGGGGATGGAAGGGAAGGGAAGAGTGTCGGAAGCAACAAGCAAGCATTAGAGTAGCGTAGCGTCTTTCTCCCTATATATATTTTTGTTTGTTTTTTTGTTAATATTTTTTTTGTCCGGGTTTTGGGATGATTGGTTTTCTTCTTTTATTACCACCATGTTCTTGATTGAAGCAGGGGAGATCTGGAGAACGTGGACGTAGTGCGGACAAAGTACTAGCAAGTACGCTGTACAAACGGTCAAAATTTTGAAATCTCAATTCGGTCTCCTTGTCCCATCAATCTTCGTCGTCACCGCAATCATGTATGCGAAACTCTAACACGTCGACCAACAATATATTTCTGTCTTTTTTGTTGTTGATCTATTAGAGGAGCTGCATTGGGGGTCTCTTCTTCATTTTAAAGTGACATGACAATGTTATTTGCCATTTCATGGTTGTTGCAATCCATCAATAATGAAACATTTCATTAGATGGAAGAGCAAAAGAAAATTGTAAGTGGTGTAGCAAGTGATCTCATTTCAATTAGCTAGAGTGTATAAATTATTTAGTTATATTGTTTATATGAATCGGTCCACCATATGAAATTGGATGTAGATGAAATGGATATTAAAGAATGAAATTGTAAAAAGTGTATAGGTGGCGGTAGGGGGCCACAAATAAAATAGGTAGGCTATTTCATGGTTGTTGATGGTCTTATAGCTCCAGCTTGGCCAAAATTAGTCCAACTTCTCGAAAAACAATCATGCTCTTAAGTAGTATATACAAAGATACCAGTACATACACAAGGTTGTGGCCGAGTGGTCGCTTTCGTTGGTTTTCAGTCCGGAGTCCCCAAGTTCTAATCTCAGAGTTCGGATGATACTCGTTTTCCTCCCCTAACCCTTCTAGCAGCATCCCTCATGAACATGTCCCGATAAAAAAAAATGCTAGCACTGTAACACACACCACTTGTAGCTTGTACAGACCCCAAGCATTTCACTTTTACAAGTATTAAAATCTTGTAACACCACTGATACAGTATCAAACATTTCCCAACCCTCAATTCTCACACACATAACTCGAGAAGCTTGAGCCAACAATAACCTCTGCCAGTAGTAGACTGGGAAACTCTGTTGCTTCTATCAAGCTCAAGTACAAAAACATACTAGTTTCCTCACTGTAAATAAGTGGTTAAGTGGTTAAGTGTTATACATAAATTTCTCCAAACAATTTGACCTATTGAGATTCATTGATTTATGAGATGCTATCAGAAAAGGTTCCAATTTCATATGTTGCCTAGCCTTTCCCACGCTTCCAGTAATATAAGACAACTTTTCTTTATTAAGCTTTTCAATTAGTTGTAGTTTACTGCGAAACTTATTAATTGTAGACCCTCATATACCTTGATGTCGGACGATTTAGAATGGCATAACCACATAACATAGCATCCGAACGATTTACGAAAACCTTTAACAGGCATGAGAGGCTTGACCATCATTTCACAATGGTTTGAAATTTTTGGTGCCAAAAAATCTAGTGCACAATTATGGTAAATGTCCAGCCAATCAGTGTTGACTAAAAACTATATCAAGTTTTTGAGCAGATAAAGATGTATCAGTGTTCACTGTCTCACTTCTTCGCAATCACTCACGCTAAAGAGAGAAACTACACAACCTCACAAACACTCAAGCAATAATAGAGACAGGGAACACCTATCACTTCTCACATCTATTGCAAATCACTGAGTGTTTGATCTTACTTTGTGTAGAATTACTTTGTCACGTTATGTTAGTCTTGTCGTGTTGCTTTGATACGAGCACGGATCCGGTACCCGTAGCGATCAAAGTAGCGCAGCTTCAAGAACGAACAAGAAAATAGATTTTTAGTGTTTGTTTGGGATAGTATGAAATTGAAAGTGCAATCTCAACACAAGAAGGGAGAAGGCTCTAACAATATACAAGATAGAATCTCGACCACAATCAAGGGAAAAACTTGATTGATACCACTTGATTATATCCCGAGCTCGTGAAATGCTAGGCTCTTTTGATCAAAGTCGCCCAGTCATAATCTATTTAGGGTTCTTTGAATTTTCCCTCAACAACATGAAAAGTAAAAAGTATAAGGCGGATTGAAGTGCAATCTCACACCTGGGAGAATGTTCTATCAATATAAGGGTAGAGGATCAACCATAATCAAGGTGATTACTTGATTGATACGAAGCGGACACTTAGGAAACTAGAGTCCACCAATTCACAAAAGCAAATTCAAGAATAAAAACTCAATGAACCAAAAAGGATTTTTCTATTCAACATAATCTCCCGAAATTCGTGTTTACAACCCTTTAAATAGGTCTGAAAAAATAAAACTAATAAATACGCCAAAAAGGGGAAAAGAATCCTAACAGAAAAAGGTAACTAACTCGCAACTACAACTCTCATAGAGACAGCTATATCACAACATATCCATTACAAAAGTGTTGCAAAGATACGAGGGTGGCTCGCACGAGATTGGCAGGTCTGCATTAAGCATGTCTACAATATAGAGGGAGACAGGTGTAGTTCCAAACTATCTCGCTAATTTAGGTCATTTGCTTTAAATTGATTTGCATATTATTGGCGCACTTGATAGTGCTTTGTCTTATTGGCTATACCATTATTCTATGGGAGTTGTGTTTTCCGGCGAGAAAACCTACGTTGAATAGAAATGGATTGCACCTTTGACTTCTATGGACAACGATTTCTAAGACACGACTCCAACCTCTTCAAACAAAGTTTGAACGAGGGTGTTTTATTGATGATTTTTCGGAATGAAAACTAAATTAACTTACACCGACTCCTATGGAGATTCAGTGAGAGCTCTGAAAACTAAAGGGTACGGTAATTTGCAGAGAAAGGAAAAAATTTGACATTGTGCGTCAAATGTTTGGTTCTGTGAACCCTTCTCTCGGTCGACCCTTCCTCCTATTTATAGTCATGAAGAGATAACTGTCGTAGAAAACTATCTCTTAGATAACTCACAAAAAGAACTGCTCCCTAGTTATCGGAGTGGTGGTTACTCCTTCAACCGCCTAGGTGCCTCTCTTAGAACCATCGTGGGTCCTGGAGTGTAGTTTGCCTCACCTAGTCTTGTTCCAAATCTCGTGTCATGCTAGTCTTTTGATAAGCATATGGTGTCTCACAAAGGGGGGTCGTGGTACTCTTGCCTAGCGGTCATGGACTTCTTACTCATGTCCATGGCCCTCTTGGGACTTAATCACTAGTGATATAATACTCCACCGCCACACCCTTCACATTGGTGTCCATGGCCCCTCTCGTGAGGCAGCATGGACCTCTCACTCATGCACATGACCCCTCTCGTGAGGCGGCATGTCCTTCCCCGACTTAGTATTTTTTTGGTCATTCGATCTTGGTCATGAGGTAGCATGGGCTCTTCATTCGCAGCCATGGCCTTCTCAATCATGTATGTGGCCCTTCCCGTGACACGACATGACATTCTCATACTTGGTATTTTTCAATAGTGCCTAGGGGCTAGGGCCTCTTGTCTCCTGTCCATGCCCCTTCTCGTTAAGTGGGGTGGACCTCTCAGACTTATTCATTTTTTGTCTTCTTTGAGAGATGCCTCTCACGTGGCATGGGTTCTTGACCTGTAACCACATCATGTGCTTTTCATCGCCACCATGGCTCATGTAATCACAAAGCGGCATGTGCCTCCAAATTCTAGACATGCATGTCCCTCCTTGTTGAATGAACACGTTCTTCCCGAACTAAGAATATTTTTGTCTACTTTGACTTTGAAGTGTGTGATTTAGGAGACCTCCCAATCATGCACATCACCCCCTTCGTGAAGCGGCGTGGACCTCTCATACTTAGTATTATTTTATTCAACCGTACTCAGGGTCTATTGTCTCGTGTCCATGGCATATTACCCCCTTCTTGAAGCGACATGTACCTCTCCTACTTAATATTTTTTCAACCATACTCAGGGCCTCTTATCTCGTGTCCATGGCCCTTCTCGTTGAGGTGACATGTACTTCTAGATTATAGATAGACATGACCCTCCTCGTTGAAGCGACACGTGTCTCTAGATTTTAGACGGACATGACCCTCTTCATGAAGCGACATGTCCTTCCCAGACTTAGTTTTATTTTATACAATCTAAGTCTTATTTTATACAATCTTGTGGCATAACATGACCGAGAAGCCTATGTCCCTAATTGATTGTTATAATTGACCTAGCCTTATAAGAACTCATCAATGTGTACAAAATAATTTATGTGTGTAAACAGATTGAAACTTCAAACAACCCATTTGGTAATTGAGTAAAACTTGGGCCGCTTTTTAACCTAATCGAGTAAGAAAGCGGTCAATAATTCAGTAAAGAGTATAATTTTCGAGCTAACTACCCCTGATTCAAGAGAAGCTGGCAGAAGAGGGGCCGCTGAAGAAAACTAAGCCAGCAAGCAGAGGTCTGAACAAACTTCCGATGGTGAATGGTGAACGGTGACAGAGCAGTCTAGCGCCGGAGAATACAGAGAGCTACAAGAAAACGCGGAGGAAGAAAATCCCACAACCAAGTTTGTTACTTTCGGTTTCCTCGCCCGCTCCCCCTACTTCTCCTCTCCTCACTCTCACCCACCGCCAATCTTTCCTCGCTGACGAAGTTCCCCTGCCAGCTGCCATGACCGGCTCTTAAACACTTCCCAAGGTTTTCTTCTCCCTCTCTTCAATTCGCCCGAATCTTGCCCCCCATGGAGTCCAAAATCTTGGAGATCAACTTGATCTCCGCCCAAGGCCTGAAGCCGCCGTCCGCCAAGCTCCGCCAATTGCAGACCTACGCCGTCGTCTGGATCCACTCCGCCGCCAAGCTCCGCACCCAGGTCGACCGCGTCGGCGGGGCCAACCCTACCTGGAACGACAAATTCCTCTTCCGAGTCTCCCCCAATTTCCTCTCCAACGACACCTCGGGGGTCTCCGTCGAGATCTACGCCGTCGGCTGCCTCCGCGACTCCCTCGTCGGCACCGTCCGCTTCCTCATCAGCAACCTCTCCCTCTCCTCTCCCCCGGCGGACACCCCTTCCTTCACCGCCCTCCAGATCCACCGCCCTTCGGGGAGGTGCCACGGCGTGCTCAACATCGGCGCATCCGCCATCGACGCCGCCGATTTCACTGCCTGGAAGGGGGAATCGGCGATCGGGTACCGCGAGCTCATGGGGAACCGGGCCAAGAACCCCCGCCGCAGCCGCGGGTCCAAGGAGGCGGCGGCGGCGCGAGAGGATCGCGAGAATTCTTGCTGCGAATCCGGCGAATTTTCCGACGGGACAGACTCGACGACCTCGTCGTCTTCCAACGCGTCGACGGCGCTCAAGGACCTGACGAAGCTTCAAGAATTGGCGAGGAACAGCCACCTGAGGGCGTCCTCCGACGGCGGCGTGCTTTGCGGGTTGCTGATGCAGCGGAGGATCCGTCTCTGCCGGTCCGACCCGAATTTGAGGGACCCGGACTACAGTGGATCCGAGAAGGAGAACTGATCGAGTACGGCGCGGCGCAGCGGAACTGGGCTGACCTCCTCGAGCTTATACTACAGCCTTCCGTTCGCCTGATTTTTGGGCCTCTTTGGTCGATATTTTCCTTTTGGGTATTTTCTTGCTCTGTGTGTGTATGAACGAGAACTCATGGGCCGGGCCTGGGTTTGTGTCTGCTTGATTGGGCTTCTGGCTCGAAATATGATTGTTGCTCGGCCCACGGATTTGCATAGTATACGAGTACATAAAGTTCAGCTCTAATAATCCTCCTAATCCGGTGAATATGAGTTTTCATGTCCTTCAAGACAATGAAGCCATTCTACAATAGACCATGCGAGAAAACAATGTTTATCAAAGAAGAGACTGATGAACAATCAATACATTATGGAGCCCTAGATGAATTTATATGAGGAAATTCATGAGACACTGTAAGACAATCGAAGAAGAAAAACGATGATGAAGGACTATCGAAGCATATGATTCGTCGTTTATTGATGGATGATGCGACTACTGGAATACATGCAATTTGTTGATATTCAAAACAATAATTCTCTTATACAAACCTTTGCCACTTTGCAATCTCGATGACTAATTTGATTGCGTGATTTCGTGTAATGCTACATTATTTTCACTTAATTAGGTTTTGTCTTGGTACGACATTGGTTTGTAATTATTTTCATATGGATCAACCATTCAAAATCAGTAAAAGAGAATAGGAAATATGGGGTTGTAAATAAAAACTCATTCGTTTCCAATTTGAACAAAATACAAAAGCATTTTACTTTTACATCGTGGCTGGACAAACACAACCTCCATCAACAAAGCACCTACTGAGATTCTGATCGAAATAAATGGACTGATAGCATCCAATTCATTCCTAAGTGGTTATGATTTATCATATTTTGGTCATTTAAGTTGTTATTGTGCCAAGTGTAGCTTTTGGGGTGATATTCTAGGACTTAGCACAATTTCAACAATTTCTTGGCCATTTGGTTGGTTTGCTCATTTGGATTCTATTCTTATCATATTTCAGGTCCTAACATTCCAAGGAAGGTTTGTAGCAAGTTTTGGGTCGTTCGAATGGTCATTTGAGAGACGAGAATAAGACAAACTTATAAAAGGTCACATTCATAAGGGGAAGATTACGATTGTGACGATGAAAGAATTTTGGTCTTGAACCAGGTCATGGGAAAGGTCATGATCGTGACGTGGTTGTGCTACTATTCCAATTTTGAATTCACGATCAAAACATGAAAGATCTTAATTATGACCTTCTTTACCGTGCACTGGAGTCTCGACACAAGTGTAAAAACTCATATATGATTTTTCACAAAGGAAGATATTCTAGAGAGACAAACATAATATGAGAGATAAGTAGATACACAGGATGCACTTGGAGTATTTCTAAGAGATTTTCCATCAATCGAGCTTCAAAGTCGTCCCAGATTCAAGAGAGGTGGCTAAATAAAGGATAAAAAGATAGATCTAGCTAAGGATTTGTGTTCTTCCTCTCAATTGTACACTTACGAAAGAGAGAGTGAGAGTGAAGAACAATTAAACTTTTAGAGGGGGGCGATTTAAGAACATTTGGAGAGAATTCCTCATTGCATTGTTATTTAGAGGGATAAAGATTGTCACGGAGGAGAATAAAGAGTAGAAGAAGATTTCCACAGACCATGTTGAAGCAAAATATAATCTGGCACTGCTAATGGTCCATGAATTTTATAAATACGAAAAAATGATCGAATTGACATTTAAATCGAACCAAATGTATTGTTGGTCTAATTTTTGGTCCTAAGGTGTCTATTACTATTGGACCGCAGTTATTGTGAGTTTGATCTTGAGTTTTACACACCACTAAATTTATATAAAGTCTTAGAGAATGCCAATATAGAGAAGATGGATAAAGAGGGTTTGGGGTGGTCATCTTTAGACAGATATAACAAGGGAGAGGGACCACTTGACAACCAAATCATTGGGAGGCAGCCAGAAGGAAAGACACAACAGTTGCTCCCGCATTTATCTCAAGGCCACATGACACAGAGAATGAACACCCAACTTTCCTTGTTCTTCAAACCTACCCGGCCGGCTGGTCCCTCTGAAGCAAAACCCTGATCCACCACCAGCTATACAACTTCTACACAATTGTAGTCTAAGCATAATGCAGCAACGTGCAATACAATAACTTCAAAGGAAAGCATCACAAGTAGCCTGTGACCACTATTGACCACTAATCTCCATCATCATACTAGTTTTCCCCCCAGTGAAAGCCGCGGCGGACCCGGAAGGAATTTAGCAGTCAGAAACTAGAAAGAAACTCTTATGAAATTAAGATCAGCAAGAACCAACACAAAATCAAGCTAAAAAGGAACAATGTATGTTCTTTGCAATGCAAAAGAATAATAGTAGTCCCCCATTTTCTTCATGAACAAGCAAAGCAGCTTTTACCTGCTGATACATTCTCTGCCTAAAACCGTCAAGACATTTTTCCCCCCTTCCTGGAACTGTTTTCAAATGCTGGGGGGGAAAAGGGCAGGCAAAACAAACAGGAGAAAGGTAGGAAGACAAAACAAGCTGGTATATCCAGAAGCAAATATGATTTAGGTAACGCAAAATCATATATCATGGTGCAATCTCGAGCCGAGGTTCGAAACAGAAACCAGTGAAGAGTTGAAGTGGGAACCTCTTGGTTACTGGACACTTATGGGACCACTTCCACTGTTTCTGGTTCAAGTTGAAAACAAGCAGCGACGGCCCCCCATAACTCTGGATGTATACAAGATCATCAGTGCCACTGCTCGCAAAGACATCATCGAACTCTCCAAACCCTTGGAAAAACTTGTGGGGCATACGAGCGATCTCTTGCCACTCCCTCCCATTAAGAACCCAGATCCCGATCCCCTTAATTATATCAGGCCTGTCATGCTTCCCAATACCTCCAACCATGACCAATTTATCCTTCAAGTTCATCAGTCGTCCACATGTTAGAGGACAGGGAGCTGGAATGAAACCTTTGATCAACTTGTCATCACGTGAGTACCTACCGGAAAGCCTGTAAGCAAGAAGACCATGGCGGTTTTCTGGATAGCCACCACCAGTTGAATAAATCAAGACATATAAATTGCCATTGCAGATAACACTCTCATCACCACCCCTCCACCCGGTCAAAACTTCTGTCCAAGAAGTCATCCACATCCGCCTATCAGAGTTGTAAGTATATATTGATAGCTGCCACTGGAGAAAATCTCTGGGAACTTGGTTAGACTTCACAATTGAGACAGTATAGTTGTGTGACACTCTGTTCACCGAGACTGCAAGTGCACTGTAGTCAGAAAGTCTTGACCCAGGAGGGTCTTCAAGCTTCCTGAAGCATTTTGTAATTGGGTTGCAAGCATACAACTCGCTCCTACTGTCATTGTCCATGAAGAAAACCAACCCGCACGAGGAGGCGATGAACCAATTGGATGTCCTGATGCAAGGTAGATCAATGCCATGCCATTTCCTAAGAACTGGATCAAAGGCATAACCGACAGGTTCGTCAGAGCTCGTGAACATAAAGTACCAAGGCTTTCGTGAAGTTACATGAGACAAGTTCCACAAGAACCTCCTAGAAGTCACAATCTCATGCCATCTTTTAGACACAGAACCTGCCCTGAAGATGCTTGCAGTGGGGAGATATGCCAAGATTCTTTCCAATAGATCATCAGGCAATATTAGATCCACAGAAACTGCATTGACGTCTTTGTTTCCATCATCATCATTGAGGTCAGAGAATGAATTGAGATGACTAGCATCTCTAACAACAACATCAGTGAAATCGTTGACCCATGATGCTTCTCCCTTCATCTTTAGTACATATTCATATAGCTGATCTGGTAAACAAACAGAGAAGAAAGCACCATAGATTCACTCATTTGTACAAGACACCACAAACTATAATATGAAATGGGCTTGAAATGCTTAACGGACGAATAATCAGATCGGTAATAGAATACGAAATAACCCTCAGTTTCTAGGACGCAAAAGGAAGAATCGCCTTATCAGATTATACTGAACTGATGGATCGGGGGAAGGAATAAACTTCACATCTAGAAGCATTTTACAACCAAACAATATGGATATTCTACCAATATACATAATCTCAAATGAAAATGCCTTAAAACTCAAGACGTGCTCCAAGTTCAGTTCTGATGCGATCGGTATGCATATCACATACACAGCTCACTGATTATGTCTACTTCAGAAAAGAACTTGTCAATAGCTTCCCGGTAACTCAAGTTAGTCTATCAACCGTTTATCCAAGAATCAAGGCTATCTATATTTGATACTATGGACAGCAAAAAGAACCAATCTTTTCCTGACAGAAGAGAAATTTTTAAGATTTGCAGCGACAGCAGAGATCAATGATAATAAGATACACACATCAAAGCAATCACAAACAAGAATCCAATGAACTGTGAATCAAACATGAGAGTCACCAGCAATAGAAAGCAACCTTTTCATCCGAAACCTTGAGGCAATTTGAAATCAACAAGATAAATCGCACCAAATAGCCACACCAGAGCTGAAGGGGGCTCGCATTTCGGATCAAGATTGAAAGTAGAAATGAAACAACAAAAGGGAGATAGAGAAATCCTTTTCTAATGATCCAAGAACAGTTTAGTGTCCTCACTGCTAACACAACAACCCCATCTCGTAGCTTTTAAAGCATCCCAAACCCTAAAAAAGGGGTGCTTTCCGTCAGTCAGATCAGCAAATAATAAACGTTAGGTAAAGGGAAGAGCGGCAGATTTGGCCAAACTCAGCCATCAATCAAACATCAGGAACCCCACTCGGCTGGGAACCATAACATCAATAACTTAACCCTGAAATTGCCTCAACAGATCACCCATATCGCAACTCCCAATCAAAATTTCCCAAACAGGACAGAGGGCCAATAAGGAAGGCGAAAAACAACAAGGCTGAAAACTTTCCGAGAAAAAGAAACAAGCCATACCTGGCTGGCCCAGAACAGCCAAAAGATCAGGAAAGCAACTGGGTCGGGGTCGTCGTTTCCAGATTTCAACAAATACGCTCGATGGAGAAAACAAGAGAAGAGACAGAAACCCGCTCGATGGAACGCAATGCCATTAACAGAAGAGACAAAGTACGATGTCAACAGCAGAAGAAGGAAGAAAGTAAAAAATTTCTCAGAGGGGATGGCTCAAAACTAGATGGGTGCGTCGCAGATTTGGAGTGGGAATCGATGGGGGAAGAGAAGGAAAGGAAAGGGCGAAAAGCTCTTTCTCTTCGACGGCAGCGACGCACTCGATGGAAGAAGGGAAAGGGAGTGGTGTTTGTTGGGTCTTCTGTTTTATCGTAGTAACAAAAAGGGACAGGCGAGAAATGAAAAATTGGGCGAAGGCGGGTTTCCTTTATAGCCTCAGCCCCTGACGCTGCTGTCATGGTTTCTGTCGACTGTCGTCTACTAGCATGGAGAAGGGGTTACAGAGGAAAGGAGGCGCGTGTTGGCGCGTCGAAATTTAGGTTCTCGTGCAAAAGAGATATACAAGGTAAAATTGCTTAATTGGTCCCCCAAATATTCCGCTACTTAATGGTCTCCAAATTATCGAGCTCGTAACAAAGAGGTCACTAAACTATGAAGGTTTATTTAGGTATCGTTTGCTCGTGGGATTTGGGAATGGCGGATCCAGAAAATTTATTAAGCTTATTCAATAAAAAATATAAATAAAATTAAATATTAATTTGTATCATGAATCCAAAGGTTTTTAAAACTCAAAACTCTCATTTTCAAATCCAACAAGAAAACAAGCCCTTAATTGACTTGCCAACATATATGATGATGGGGTTTATATCTGTGGCCCTGAAACTTTTATAGGTTGCCTCAAATGATAAATCTCATTAGATCTCCATGCAAAATATCTTGGAATGAAAACAATGGACTTTCATGCAAAATAACTTGGGTTGCCGATTGTGGTTGGGAGACAAAAGAAGGTTGTGTTTAGCTATCTAGTGAATGGGGTGCGAAAGAAGGTGAAACTTTGGAAGAAGAAACTATATCCTATGGAGAGAAAGAAGATCTTATCAAGACAGTCGCTCAAGCCCAGACTACCTATGCCATGCAATTTTTTGTTTTGTTTTGTTTATGTATCAGTTATACAAGAAATCCAAAGTTTGCTCTCAAACTTTCGGTTGTTTCAGAAGAACATAAATTGCAGAACCCATTGGCTAAGTTGGTAGGAGTTAAAAGCCACCCAAAGAAGTAGGGAGAGATAGGCTTTAGAAGTTTGCATGAATACAATATCGCTCTTCTAGGAGTCCAGCTCTGGAATATCATTCAAAACCAACATCGTTGGTATCCCAGAGGTTCTCAAAGCTAAAGACTTTCCTAGAAGAGACATCTTGGAAGGAGTGACTTAATGCATGTTTATACGAGAACTTGGAATGAGGCTATCCTACAAACGCATTTCAAACATCAAGATTGACAAAGGATAATCAGTATTCCTATACCTGGATGACCAAGTAAGGATAGAAGAGTGTGGTGCTTAGAGAAGATGGGAAGTTACATGGTGAAATCAGTATATATCACATATATATTGTTGGGAGTGTGCATAGTTGAGATATTGGGGGACATTGGCCCATCCAAGGTGCTCAGGCCCAAGCCCACTTTAGGAGATAGGGATAGAAGATAGGAGTAAGGCCCAGTCAACAGTCAGCAGGCGCATAGCGACAAAAGGGGACCAGAGTGCTGAGAGTATGCCACCTGGCTAGGTGGTCCCTGCAGGCGCCAGGTGCCAGGAGCTCAGGAACTGCCACGTGGAGGCGCCCGACCGTTGGGCCGTACCGAGCATTTAATGACGCGCTGACGTGGAGCTTGATTCTAGGAGCCTGGTCGGGGCCTCGACGAGTATAAATAGTACTCGGTAGGTAGCATTTAAGCAGGTTGGCTTCTCTCACTAAAATCTACAAAGTAATTCTCTCTCTAGACTTGGATCTGACTTGAGCGTTGGAGTGCTAACGGGCATCTCGAAGCCCTTAGGCGCTTGTCTCTGCAGGATCTAGGCGCCCGGTGAGAAGTCCGTCATATCGAAGTCCAGAGGAGCAGGTCCGAGAGTTATTAGGCTCGAACAATTGGCGCGCCAGGTAGGGGGGACATCCATGGAAAACGTGAACGACGCAAACGGTGGGGAGGAAAACTCAAAGTCGGGAAACTCGAATCAGGAGGAGGTTGAGCGCCAGCGGAGTCACGAGATAAGCATGGATGTGGAGGAACAGGAGAGCCCTGGGCGCCTATCAGCAGACGAGGGAGATTCATTAACAAAGAGGGATTTATTTCGAATCATAGCTGACCAAGATCGGGCCATAGCGGCGCTCAGGAGGGAATTGGAGGGGGAGCGAAGTGAAGACATGATGATGTACAGCCCCGGATGGAGAAAGCGAGACAGGGCGGGGGAAGACTCTGGGTCCCAACAACATGGACTCCCACACCAGACTGAGCAGGAGCCTACTACGCCCGGGCGTCAACGCGCCTGGAGACTGCCCGTCGAGCATAATCAGACGGAGCCCGATGACGTGTGGGCGCCTAGGAGGGTCGCCAGGCGGTTCGGCGTTCGTCAACCCCTGGCCCGGAGCATACTGATGGAGCCCGCGGGAACGACAATTCCACCATTACCCAGCTACGATGGGATGGCCGACCCAGAAGATCATCTGAACAGCTACTTCACAAAAATGCAACTCTACAATAGCTCGGACGCCACGTTGTGTAAGGTGTTCCCGTCCACATTTGCTGGGGAGGTCTTGGATTGATATCATCAAGTTGAGGAGGGACGCATAGAGTGCTTTGAACAATTTGCCGAGTTATTCTTGTCCAAGTTTGCAAGTCGGAAGCGCCGTACATTGACCATAGGCGCGTTGTTCAAGGTGAGGCAAAGGGAAGGGGAGGCGCTCAGGGATCGTTGGATCTCGGTCGCCATGGCGGTTAAAGATGTCCAACCAGCGGTACTAGGAGTTTGTCTGGATGCGTGCACCTCCAGTGAAGAACTCTGCCGGGTCCTGTCGAAGCGGGATGTGGTGTCCACTGAGGACTTGGACTGGAGGGTGCAAAAAGTGATCATGTTGGAGGAGACGTTGGCAGCAAGGAGGGCCGAGAAGAGGCGCTTAAGGGGCGATGATGACACCATGAGACAGGCGCCTAGGCCCATGTCAGGAAGCTTTGGTCCGCAGAGGAGGCCAGAGGCGTCGCGCCCCGTGCCGAGGAGCGCCGCGAATTTTACGGAGTACAACGATACCCTAAAAAACGTGTTGCAATATGTGAATGACAGGGGCTACCATATACGGTGGCCGGGGCCCATGCACGGCCAGCCGAACGAGAAAAACCTTGACAGATTCTGCGACTTCCATCGCGACAAGGGACACTACACCGCTGATTGCTATCAACTTAAGGCCGAGCTTCAGACTTTGGCTGACAAGGGCATGCTCAACGATTTCGTAAGAAGGGGGGAGGACCGGACCCATAGGGCTTATGTGGCCAGGCCGGCGCCAGAGGCGCCAATGATCCAAAGAGTGCACGAAGAGCCGAAGGCTCGACAGGAATTGGTGATGCCACCACCCCCGCTTGAGGTTGACAATGAAGGGAAGACTCACCCGGGGCCAGCGATACCACCTCCGCCTTTTGAAGTTGACCAACACGGAGAGCCTAGGCGCATCCGGCTGACGGTTGAATCCATAACAGGCACCATCGATTTGAGGGAGAAGTTGGAAAGAACAAGGCGCCTAAGGGCCGCCTCTTTAGAGGCTAGAACGGCGGTGCACATCCATTTCAACCAAGAGCCGGATGAAGCGTGCCAAGTCCCATCGGAAGAGGCATTGGAGATTCAAGGGGTGATAGCAGGGTGCAAGGTGAAAAGAATGTTGGTGGACACCGGGAGTTCGATGGACGTCCTCTTCAAAAGCACGTTTGAGCGCATGCAGCTGGCGCCTGAGTTAGTGCGCCCTTCGAGTTCGGTGCTGATTGGGTTCTCGGGAGCACCGGCCCAAGTCATCGGGTGTGTGCGCCTGCCCGTGACCCTAGGCGATGAAATGCATTGCGTAACACATACGGTAGAGTTCGGGATCGTGGATTGTCCCTCCCCATACAACGTGATACTTGGGCGACCACTACTAGCACAATTCAATGGGGTGGCATCCACTTGTCACCAAACGCTGAAGTTCGTGGCGCCCCAGGGCATCGGTATCTCCCGAGGAAAGAATGTTCCACGATACGCGCGAGAAGAGGAACCAAGGAGCCGTATCCGCAAGCACAGAATCAACAATGTCGAAGTGTGCTTTGAGGAGGCGCCTAGGGCGGAGCCCGTGGATGATGAGCTCGTTGTGATCCTGGATGAGGGGCGCCCAGAGATACAGGTGCGGATATCGGCACAGGCGCCCGAGGTGATGAGAGCACCTTTGATCGAATTATTGCGGGAATTTGGGGAGTTGTTTGCATGGGGCGCCCAAGACAAGCCGGGAGTCTCCGTTGAGGTGGCGGTGCACCGGCTGGCTGTGGAGGAAGGAAAAAGGCCTGTTCAACAAAAGCGCCGAAAATTGTCACAAGAAAAGGAGGAGGCGCTTCGCCGAGAAGTCGATAGATTGCTAGAGGCCGGATTTGTGGAGGAAGCGAGGTACATCACATGGCTTTCCAACGTGGTGTTTGTCCCAAAGCCGTCCGGAGATTGGAGGATGTGCGTAGCTTCACCAACCTTAATCGGGCATGCCCTACAGACGCATACCCCATGCCGCGTATCGACTTGTTGGTGGATGCTACAACTTATCATGAGGCGCTTAGCTTTCTCGATATGTTTTCAGGATACCATCAGATACCTATGGCGGAGGAAGATATGGCAAAGACAGCTTTCATGACGCCATTCGGGAATTTCTGCTATAGAGTGATGGCGTTTGGATTGAAGAACGCCGGAGCAACCTATCAGCGCATGGTAAACCAAGTTTTCCGCAAGCAGTTGGGAAGGAACGTGGAAGCGTATGTGGATGATTTGATCGTAAAGATCAGCAGGCGCCAAGATCACATCTCGGATTTGCGAGAAACTTTCGAAACAATGCGCCGCTTCCGGTTAAGGCTTAACCCCAAGAAGTGTGTGTTCTTGGTCGAGGCTGGGAAATTCTTGGGGTTCATGATAACAAGGCGAGGAATTGAAGCCAACCCCAAGCAAGTCGAGGCCATAATGAGTTTGGGTCCCCCGCGAACGCCTAAGGAGGTGCAAGTGTTGACGGGGAGACTAGCAGCACTTGGGCGTTTCATCCCAAGATCTTCCGACCGGGGCGCCCCCTTTTTCAAGGTTTTGAAAAAGGCTAACAAGTTCAGATGGACCAATGAGTGTAACGAGGCATTTGAGGATTTGAAGAAACTGCTTACGGCGCCCACGGTGATGACGGCGCCTAAGGCTAGGGAAGTGCTATACTTGTACATAGCTGTGTCCCACATCGCTGTGAGTGCGGTCCTCATATCCAAAGACCCATTGACGAACGAAGAGAGGCCGGTGTATTATGTGAATCGCACCATGGTGTGTCATGAGACAAGGTATGCGCCTATCGAGAAAGCGGCGTTGGCTGTAGTAATGGCCGCCAACAAACTCCGACCATACTTTCAGGCTCATCGTATCGTGGTGCTCACAAATCTCCCCCTCAAGACGATACTAGGGTCGATGGATGTGTCCGGGCGCCTGGTGAAGTGGGCGGTGCAACTCAGCGAGTTCGACATACAGTATGCGCCCCGGCCAGCTATCAAAGCTCAAGTGCTAGCAGATTTTATGGCGGAAGGTGTAACTGACGGTGGAGCCGATGTGGAGGAATGTTGGCAAGTGCACGTTGATGGAGCGGCCAGCAGAGCAGGAGCAGGGGCTGGTGTAGTCCTCGTCAGTCCGCTGGGCGCCTTACATGAGGTGGCATTACGGTTCGCTACTCTTAAGACAAACAACGCGGCAGAATACGAAGCCGTCCTTGCGGGGCTCCATTGTGCAAGAGAGTTAGGCGCCCAGAAGGTAAATGTCAAGACAGACTCGGCGTTGGTGGTTAATCAGTTGAACGAGGTGTATGAAGTGAAGGAAGAGACGTTAGGAGCTTACGTGCATGCCGTACGCAAAAGGTGCGCCTGGTTCCGAGGCGTGACGTTCACCCATGTTCCCAGAGAAGAGAACGCCCATGCAGATGCTTTGTCCAAGTTAGCAACGGCTCTAGATTTTGAGGAAAGTCGGACGGTGATTGTGACAAAAGAGGTGCCGCAGGAGGAGATAGTAATGGCATCTCTTACAACAGGAGAAAGAGAGGGATGGATGGCACCAATTTGGCTTTTCCTCACCCAAGGAGTGGTGCCAGAGGACCCGAAAGAGGCATGGCGCTTGCGAAGGAAGGCGGCCCGTTGTGCCATAGTTGATGGGGTGTTGTACAAGAGGTCACATTCGGGCGCCTATCTGAGGTGTCTAACTGAAGGTGAGGGGTTGGAAGCAATCAAGGAACTTGTGGCATGCATGCAGGTGCCCGAAGCCTGGAAAAAATTCTTCTCCGACAAGGATATTATTGGCCAACAATACGGGCGGACGCCGGAAAGCATGTGGCGGCTTGCCACCAATGCCAGATTCACGCCAACGATGTACACATCCCAGCGGCGCCCATGCAGGGTAATGTAGGTGCTTGGCCCTTCGCACAGTGGGGCATGGACCTCCTGGGCCCCTTTCCTAAGGCGCCTGGTCAGTTCAAGTACCTGATCGTGGCAGTGGACTATTTCACAAAATGGATTGAGGCAGAGCCGTTGGCATCGATCACTGAGTCACAAGTCCGGAAGTTCACCAAGAAGAACATCTTTGCTAGATTCGGACTCCCGGAGTCTATCATCACTGACCACGGGAAGCAATTCGATTGCAAAAAATTCATCGACTTTTGCGATGAGAATGGAGTGGTTTTGAGGTTCTCTTCCGTAGCTTACCCACTAGCCAACGGACATGCTGAAGCGGCCAACAAAAGCATACTACATGGATTGCACACTAGGCTGACGGAGGCTAAGGGCAAGTGGGTAGAGGAGCTGCCTAACGTTTTGTGGGCGCATAGAACCACGTTCAAGGTGGCTACCGGCGAGACACCCTTCGCCTTGACATATGGGAGCGAAGCTGTTTTGCCTATAGAAATGCGAGTCCCGACTTCTCGAATGACTCACCGAGACGAGTCAATGGGCCCCCAGGAGCGGATCGACGAGTTGGATCTATTGGACGAGCGCCGGGAGGTTGCGGCTCTAAGATTGGTCGCAATGAAGAGTCAAGTAGCAAGGTATTACAACAAGAAGATGAGAGCGCACAACCTTGCTGTTGGCAATCTTGTGCTGAAACGAGATTTTCGTCCCAACGCTGCGGAAGGGAAGCTGGCACCAAAGTGGAAGGGACCATACCGCATTCAGGAAGTTGTTGGCCCGAATACGTTTAAGCTGGAAAACATGTCGGGTAAGAGGGTCAAGAGGACATGGAACGCCCAAAATTTGCGGAGGTACGAGATGGAGGGAATGACTGATGTTGTGCCCGTGACAGAGGCACAGACGCCCAGCCAGGAGTAGAAGTAACTAACAAGGCGTTTGTTGGGGAGGGCTTGTCTTGCTTAGTAATTTTATGATTGAGTAGTCAAAAGCGCCCCTTTTTTGCGCCCGTAATTTTGTAAAGCGCCCCATTTGCGCCCGCACCATGTAAAGCGCCCATATTTTGTGCCCATTTTCCACAATCGGATTAATTATTATCTACGAAATTTTGCATCGGCATACACCATTGCGCCCATTATAGCGCCAATCATAGCGCCCGTATATTTGCGCCCGATGCAATGCGCCCGTTATAGCGCCTTACTTAGCAAGATATAGTTATGAAAATGTGGAAGAGATTGCTTAAATAGGCGCCCATCAAAGGCAAAGCAAGTCATAGACATTTGATTCAAAGGCGCCTAAACAGAGAAGTTCATAAACATTCATGATAAACGCCTAACATAGCAAAGTATTGTTATGAAAGTTTGTGAGGGGATAGTATGGATAGGCGCCCATCAAAAGCAAGAACGTCGCCAACATCTGATTCCAAAGTGCCTCAATGGGACATAGACAAATTCACAACGTCGCAGGGGAAAAAGATTAACACAATTCGAAGTTCTTAAAAAAAAAAAATACACAAGTGCTCGGCACTACCCCGCCGGCGCCTCGTTATCAGAGTGGGCAGAAGAATCACCATCGCCTTCATCCTCGTCTTCGTCTCCATCAGCAGGCGCCCCGTCATCCGCGGGTGCTTCTCCTTCCATAGGCGCCTCGTCTATATGGGAGATGACGAAGCTCACCATCGACTGAAGGTCCCAGTCCAGGTCAGGATGATCTGCGACGAGCTTCCGGCGCAACAGAAGAATGATGTTCAGAGCGGCATCAGCCTTAAGCGCCTGACCAGCACTCGACTTCGCGAAATCAGCCGATTGCGCTTCCAGCGCCTCCTTCTCTGAATCGAGCGCCTGCTTGTCTTTCTCGAGCGCCTCCTTCTCCTCCTTAAGCGCCTGCATCGCGCTCACATTGCTTTTTATTCTCCCGGCCCAGGTTCTTATTTTCTTTCTTCAGGGCGCCCTTCTCCTCCTTCAGAATGTCCATCTCACTCCTCAGGGCGCCTGCCTCCTTTTCAAGATCGTCCTTCTCCTTCTCCAGCCTAACCTTGGTCTCGGCATGCGCCCTCTTCTCATCCTCGAGCTACCCCTCGAATTCTTCACGCACCCGCTTTCTCTCCTCATCGATCTTTATTTGCACAAGTGAGGCGCTCTTCGCGGCCTCAAGTTGTGCCTCATTGCACATCTGCACCAACTCCTCTTGGCGCCTCTGAGTAGTAGCAAGGTTGTCCTGGGCCACACCGAGCGAGGTGGACGCCTCGCGGGCCTGGGCGCGTAGCGCCTCGCGCTCCATTATTCCTTTTTTCGCCACCAGCATCATCTACAAAATAGGCGGAAGGGTCGAGTAAGATGGTTAGGCGTTCGTTTTGAACGTATAAACAAAGATATCAAATAAAACACAAGGCAAACAACTTACATGGGCATTTATTCTGTTCACCTCACCCCAAGGATCGGCGCCTTCCAGGTCTAGGGGCGCCCGGAGTACATCCCCCGCAGTAAGAGCCATATGAATGGCGGCGCCTCGTTCCAAAGCGGCGCGGTCGGAACAAACTATGTTCACCTTATGCTTCGGAGGTTGAAGCCACTTCTTCAATCCCTCCGGCACCTCGACATCGTCAGCTGGGCGCATACGTTTGCCCGCATCCTGCTGGGCGCCTTCCGCTTTCCTCTTCTTCCTAGCGGTTAAGGGCTCGTTGTCTTCGCCTCTTCGGGATCGTCGGATCCCTCGAGCAGGTTAACCACAGGCGCCTGCACATCTACCGGATCAACAATAGGAGGCGCATCCCAGGTCGTGAGCAAATCTCCCAAAGACTCTGGCGCCTGTGGGCTCGGCACCTTGGTCGGTTGAATCTTTTTCGGAGATTTAGCCTTCCGACTTGGGCGCCCCTGCCCTTTACTAGTAACGGGGGCAGCCCGAGTTGTCTTCGAGCCGGCGCCCTTCGACGAGATGGGTTTGGCGGCTCCGCTGGATTTCTTGACAGCTTTCTTGGCAGTAGGCGCCTGCTTGGGTGCCAGTCCGAGTTGCGCGAATCGCGACTTCATCAGCGTGCTCATGGAAGTGAAGTTGGCGCCTGCACAGACAAATCTAGTTAGACTTCAAAATATATATATATATATATATATAGGCGCACACCATCACGATAATACTCCTCCAGAACAGGCGCCCGAGAGCTTGTGGGGGGAAGGTTAACCGGATACAAGGAAATAAGACGGGCGCCTTCGATCTCCTCAGCAGTGGAAAGGGTCACATCAACATTGAATGCCTCATGACTGCCCATCACCCAACCTCTGGTGAACGAGGCGCCACTTTCGTAAAATGAATCCTTATGCGCCTTTACAAAGAAGTAGCTCCTAAACCACTCCCTCCCTAACTTAGGGCATTCTATCAAGAAATGGCCGGGGAGACCTAGGCGCCTTTGCAGCGATAGACAGTTATCAAAGTACACCATGTTGAAAAAGTAGTGGAAAAGGTTGAAGGTGGGCTCGACGTTATGCTGGCGACATTTCAACTTGAACAAAATATGGATAAGGAAAACGGAGGGCGACAGGCGCCCAAGCGAACATCGGCAGGTGGTCAGAATGCCCTCTAGGATAGGGTCGAGGGGAAATCGGAGTCCAAAACGAAAGTACTCCCGATACACGCCAAGCCACCGCGGTCCAACAACTCCAATCCGGGCCATACTGGAAGCAGGCGCATAGGACCAGGATCGCGGAAGTTGCATCGATACGACCAAATTCTCTAACTGCAACGATTTGATGGTTGAAATTTTACGTGGCCCTCCTTCTTGAAGCGAAAGGTGGTGTGTTTCATCAGGCGCCTGCCCTGACGGCCACGTGTCAACCCATCTCCGTAGTTTAATAGAATCACCTTCCTCGGCATCCGAATCCGAAGACGGGGGAGACACTGTCGGTCCGGAAGAATTCGATGATCCAGGCGAGGCGCCTATAAGGGTTGACGCAAAGGGGGTATCAATTCGAAGCCCCATGAACTACAGGCGCCGGCCCTAAAATAAAAAAATAAAAAAAGCCAGAGAATCACGTACTCGATAGGGGATTCGAAGGCGCCGCCGAATCTGAGTCCGGGTTTGCAGAAGGGTTGGAGATAGCGCCGCCGCGCCCTTGTCGGCAGTGTCTCGGGCAGAAGTTGTCTGAGAGCTGGGTGGCGTAGTGGTCGAGGGAGCATCGCTCTTGCTCGACGCTTGCGACCTGGCGCGAGGGGTCCAGGCGCCCTTCTCGCGTAAGGGATCAGGAGAGAAGTGTCTCTCCAATTCTTGTAAAACGTCGCGCTCCGTTGGCTTCTCCTTCGCCGAACTGGCGAAGGGGGCGCCCGAGCCAGATTTGGCGGACATTATGAGGAAGTAGGAAAAGAATAACAGGCGCACAGGCAGCTCGGCGTAGAGAGAGAAAGGGGCAGAGCGAGTTAGAGAGAGAAAGGTTTTGTGTGAATGAAGAGGGGAGGGGGCGGAATGAAGTATTTATATGGGAGGAACCCAACGGCAACCATGGGGATGCGCGCCCGACCCTCCGATCTCATCCTCACCGTCCGTTTGAATTTTGAATTTCAAAAAAAAAAAATATTTTTTGAAATTCAAATTTCAAGACGCACGGAGAAGGGGGCATAGAGGGACGGGCACGCCATGAACTCCACAATTTTGTTAGCAGGGGCGCTTAACTAGATGATTTTGGCGCTCTCTTAGGGATACTCAAATGCGGACTAGCTGCGGCGCCTAACTAGTGGATTTGGGCGCCTCTTTAGGAATGATCAAACGCGGACGGAACAACAAGGGGCAATGGAACCATGGTCGGGGCAAGAACGGGGGGCCAGGATTTGTTCACGAAAACACCCAGCAGAGCGCCCAAAAATGATTTAAACGATTAAAGCAAAGAGGCCGAGGGCGCCCAGATCATTTTCTAGTTGATAGGACGCTTGTAGTCGATTGGACGCCATGGGCAGTAGAATTACGTATATTTAGACACTCATGGCATGCCATGAGCGCCTAACTGGGGGACAATTGTTGGGAGTGTGCATAGTTGAGATATTGGGGGACATTGGCCCATCCAAGGTGCTCAGGCCCAAGCCCACTTTAGGAGATAGGGATAAAAGATAGGAGTAAGGCCCAGTCAACAGTCAGCAGGCGCATAGCGACAAAAGGGGACCAGAGTGCTGAGAGTATGCCACCTGGCTAGGTGGTCCCTGCAGGCGCCAGGTGCCAGGAGCTCAGGAACTGCCACGTGGAGGCGCCCGACCGTTGGGCCGTACCGAGCATTTAATGACGCGCTGACGTGGAGCTTGATTCTAGGAGCCTGGTCGGGGCCTCGACGAGTATAATTAGTACTCGGTAGGTAGCATTTAAGCAGGTTGGCTTCTCTCACTAAAATCTACAAAGTACTTCTCTCTCTAGACTTGGATCTGACTTGAGCGTTGGAGTGCTAACGGGCATCTCGAAGCCCTTAGGCGCTTGTCTCTGCAGGATCTAGGCGCCCGGTGAGAAGTCCGTCATATCGAAGTCCAGAGGAGCAGGTCCGAGAGTTATTAGGCTCGAACATATATATATATATATATATATATATATATATAGATAGATAGAGAGAGAGAGAGAGAGACAAGAAGCGATGTTAGGGGAGCTCTATACGCCAACAACTTGGATCGTTTCTGGGGCATGCGAATTCCTCTAAAAGTGAAGGTTTTCGCCTACAAATGGGTTATAAACATTTTGCCAACTAGGTGAAAATAGTAGCAAGAGTACATAAGCGGTGTGAGGAATTACCTTTCTGTGGGCTGAAGGAAACACAAAAGCATTTATCCAAGATTCTTGATGGGCATGACGTCTGTGGAGACCTAGTTCTTTACATAACTGATAGAACCAAAGGTTTGGTTCTACCTAGGGATTAGGATATGGAGAGATCAATGTGGGATTGTTATCAAGTACGAGTGAAAAGGGAGATTAGGGAGAGGATTTCAAAGAAAAGGTTGAAAGAAGAAGAAGAAGAAGAAGAAGAAGGGAAAAGGGGTTTAGCTGAAGGAGAGGGAGAAGAGAGAGATAATTGTGGGGTTGGATTGATTGCTTCTTAACTGCTTAATGCATTTCTCACTAATGACAGTCTATATATAATCTACTAGGTCCCCTTTTACTACCCCAATTATTAATTACTAAGTAAAATATCTAATACTCCCACTTACCCTCAAACCATAATCATAAAGAATCCACAAAACAATCCGAAAAACCAAATGTGCTAAAAATTCTTGTTTCTATCATCTCTCCCTGCATCAGAACAACCTTGACCTCAAGGTTGGTCATGCCCTTCCTTCACTCACCCTCCTCATCTGCCCATTCCTCTGCTTCGCACACTGGTGTCCAAAGGTGAATCGCTCATTGCAATACCTAATGGATAAGTCTTGGTTTTGCATATATTTTAGTCATCATGTGCCAGACTGCTTGATGGATCGATGAATACTATCATCTTAGCGATCATAAGGTAAGGTCTAAACCTATCAAAGACTAAGATGACTGCCAAGAGCTCCTTCTCCATGGCTGTGTAGTTTCTTTGTGCCTCATTGAGTGTTTTGCCTACATAGTTTTGCCTACATAGTAGATTGGATGGAAGCGTTTATCCTTTCTTTGTCCTAGGATAGCCCTAAATGCATAATCACTAGCATCACACATCATTTCAAATTCTAATAACCAGTCTAGTGATGTAAGGATGGGTGCCTTTGTCAATTTTTTATTTAGTAGTTCAAATGTTGCTAGGTAATGCTTGTCCATGTGAAATATTGCATCCTTCTCCATAATCTTTGACTCTTTGTAATTGGTTGAGTGATCTTTGAGTAATCTTTGATGAATCATCTATAGAATCTAGCATGCCCCAATAAGCTTCTTATTATTTTGACAGAGGTAGGTGGTGGAAGAATGGCAATGGTTTCTATCTTTGTTCGATCCACCTCAATTCCTTTGCTCGAAATATTGTGTCCTAGCACGATTCCTTATGTCACCATGAAGTGGCTTTGCTCCCAACTGAGTGCTATGTTGGTCTCCTCATATCGGTTTCGTACCTTCTCGAGGTTCTTTAAGCAATGATCAAATGATTCTCCATAAACAGAAAAGTCATCCATGAATGCTTCCACTATGTGGCCCATGTAATCGGCAAAGATATTCGTCATGCATCTATGGAAGGTTGCCAGAGCATTACACAGTCCGAATGGTATTCTTGGATAGGCAAAGTTTCCATAGGGACAAGTGAAGTCTTTATCCTCAGGGGAAATGAAAATCTGGAAGCAGCCAGACATTCCATCTAGGAAGTAGTAAAAGGAATGACCAACAAGATTCTCCAACATTTGATCGATGAATGGTAAAGGGAAGTGATATTTCCTTGTAGCGTCATTTAGTTTTTTATAATCAAACCACACCCTCCATCATGTCACTGTTGTTTTAGGAATAAGATCTTCATTGTCATTGGGTACGACTATCATTCCTCCCTTTTTTGGCACCACTTGTGTAGGGGTGACCCATTTGTTGTTTGAAATGGGATATATGATTCCTATGGTTAATAGGTTTAGCATCTCTTTATTCACGAAGTCCTTGAGATGGGGATTTAGACATTGTTTGGGTTCCACCACTAGTATATGATATTCCTGCATTAGAATCTTATGCGTGTATAACGATGGATGGATCCCTTGAATGTCGGTGATCAACCAGGCTATAGCCTTCTTGTGTCGCTTGAGCAATTCTACTAGCCTCTCCTTATGTTCTTTTGATAGTGTCACATCGGTTGATGATAACATGCAGCTTTTCTTCGTCGGCCAGGAATGCTTATTCTAGACTCTTTGGGAATGCCTTCATCCCCAGCTCGGGCGGCTCTTCACATGATGTCTTGATTTAAGGTAGATAAGGGGTCTCTATAATTAGTGGTTCAGACTCATAATCTTCTATTGGCTCACCTACTCCCTGATGGGGTTGATCTAGCTCATGGAAGTATTCACCCTCCCCTTGTGGTAGAGAGTGTTCCAATGGATCATCGGTCCTCGGATCAGCGATGGAGAATACTGGCGCGAAGTCATCTAATCTTTGAAAATCCTCCTCGTCCCATGTAGGCGTGCTAATGACACGTTATTTATAGTGTTTCACTCCCATTCTTGATACATTCCCCTTCTATCAAAGCATTTTTAGTCATTTCAATGATATTTCTTAACTAAATCATAACTATTTGATCGATGATCCTTTAATAGACATAGGATATGTTCTTCTATTCTTTGATGCCTTCTTGGTATATTTTTTATGGTTTTGAAGGTACAAAGCAACCTAAGTAAGTTTGGCGGAGAATTCGTGATAAAAAAGAGGTCCAATGGCGGAGAACTCCGGATGACCAAATAAACTATAAGGAAAAGATTCAGGAGCATTCGTGATAAAAAAAGAGGTCCAATGGCGGAGAATTCTACTAGGAGTTGCTATATAATTACAACTCATAAGACAAGCCCATGGGAGCAAGACTCGACCCAGTATAAAGAAAGAAGAGTGGCGGGCCAGCTTCTGGTCCAACCATCTTAGGAAAACAAGCCCAAGACGTGCCCAATTTCTGAGGGGAAGTCGTCCATGGACTAGGGAGGGAGCCCAACCCACGAAGAAAAGTAGTGGCGGCCCCTACTGTAACCAACCCTAATTTGCCCGTGAAACTTCTTCAACAAGCTACTTCATCCAGAAGTTTATGGAATCCGACTTCAAGTCCGATAAGGAAATATTTGGCCGCGCTTAGGAGAAGAAAACACTTTGTCCCCCCTCTCTCTTGTACTATAAATATGTTCTTAGACTTTAGGGGTCGTTTGCTTGTTGGATTTTGGATCATGGATTTGGTACCCAAATCCCAAGCTTGATGGATTTAACATAAGTCCATTGTTTGTTGAAGGGTGCTAAATCCGCGGGGTCCACAAATTTGGTCTTTATTTTGGAACCAAATCTGTGGACCCCACGGACTTGTAAGTCCCACATATTGATTTGGGATTTGCAAATCCTTGATGGTTAGTTATTTATTTAACAAATCCACCACAAATTCATCATCAAATCTATCATGCAAACATTAGACTCTTCAAATCCATAATCCAATAGATCCAACATAAATCCCAAGTTTTTATTGGCCAAAACCCTCATTTTTCAAATCCAACAAGCAAACGACCCCTAAGAATGTACATTTTTACAACTAAGAACCGTTGAAGCTCTGTTGGAGTGAGGAGAGAATGACTCATTTTTTTGTCTGATCCTTCTCATTCTTGCATGGCCAGCTAACTCTTTTATTGTTTGGGGGTGTTGATTCGATGATGTGATGTACTATTTTCGATGAGTTGATGAGATGCCCTAAAGCATCGATGGTCCCTTCTTTTAGCGTCGATGGTTTAGTTCTTTATATGCTTGGTATCTTGTTATGGTGCAATACTATGTGTATTGATTATACTAAAAACATGAAAACTAATCTCATGCAGTAGCCATCATTGCTAGGCGTGTATCCTAGGGGGAAGTACATCCCTAGCACTTGAATAATAATGATGCTTGTTGCCTAAAGATGCCCAATACTATATACCGTCATTATAGTTCGTAAAAGCCCATAATCAACGATATGATATCGTTTACTTCCCTTATCTTCATTAATTAGTCGGTGGCATGAAGCGAAAATTCCTATTAGCGCATGCACGAGTAAAGAGATATCTTGTTAAGAAAAGAAAGAATATATCATAATATGGTGAATACAAATGGTAACACATAGAATGTTAGCTCCTCCTATCTCATCCTTTAACCTTAGGAGTAGTTAGAAGCACGTAATCCATTCTTCTTGATTACGGTAAAGTATGAGCTACTGGGAAGACGGAAAAAAAGTTGTGTAATTGACACTTTCATAATTTAATAACAATAAAATATAATAAAAAAATATTGAAGTCAAGAGATAGTTATGCTTATGTAGATGCCTCTAGCAGCACAGCACATTTAATAATTTATACATCTCCCACCCTCCCCTCACAGCTTACCCTATTATTACTCAGTACTCACCAAAGCAAAGCTAGGAGAAAGGAGAGAGAGAATCTAAGGTGTGGTGTTGCCAGCTATGAAGTTGAAGGATCAAAGCTTTCTCTGAGGTCAAAGCTGGCACATTTCTCTCTTTTTTTTTCTTTTCTTTCTTCCGTCTTCTGAATTAACTATTCCCCATTTTCCATTATTCGTTCCTCCTCCTACTCATTCATTCATTCTCCTCTACTGCTGCCTGCCATCTCATCTCCCCCCCACCTCCTCTCCTATTTACATTCTGAAAATCGCCAGCCAGAGAGAGAGAGAGAGCTCAAATCACCTCCCCATTTCCCCCCTCTCTCTTATATATCCCCTCCCCCACTTTAATTTCTCAACCCCCAAAATGCCTCTTCTGCTTTGAAGAGAGAAAACAGACAGAGAGAGAGAGAGAGAAGAAAAAGGAGCAGAAGAAACCAATCCAGAGCTACCAAGCGGAAAACAATGGCGACTTCTCCTTCCCACGCTGGCCCTGAGAAGAAGCACTGGTGGCTCACCAATCGAAAGGTATTAGTATTACCCTCCCTTCTCTCTCCCATCTCCTTATCTTGCTATCGGCTGCCAAATGTATGCTTCTCAGTTTCCCCATTTTGACACACTTTTTTTTTATTTTTATTGCGCAGATCGTGGACAAGTATGTTAAGGATGCGAGGAGCTTGATTGCGAGCCAAGAGCAGGGCGATGTCGCATCCGCATTGAACTTGCTGGACTCGGCGCTCTCGCTCTCGCCGCGATTCGAGCCGGCGCTGGAGCTGAAGGCGAGATCCTTGCTCTACCTCAGGCGATTCAAGGATGTTGCGGATTTGCTACAGGACTACATCCCCAGCTACAAAATCGCAGCCGACGAATCTTCTTCCTCTTCCTCCTCTTCTTCTTCTTCTTCGTCTACATCTTCCTCCGATAGCTCGTCCCAGCAGCTCTCCAGAGAGCGCACGAAGCTCCTCACTCATTCGGAAAATTCCTCATCGGATCTGCCCGGCGATCGGGATCCGAGCTTCAAGTGCTTCTCCGTCTCCGATTTGAAGAAGAAGGTCATGGCGGGGCTCTGTAAAAACTGCGACAAGGAAGGGCAATGGAGGTAATTTCATTTCCTTCCTCCCAAAATTTATTTATTTATATTTATTTATTGTGTATATAGATTAGGAAGTACGACATTATTAGTGGTTGGAGTAAATGCACAGCTACGCATCCATCCATCAATTTTGCCTCTCTGCTGCCTTTACCTTCTTTCCATGCCATTGCCTTCCCATTCACACCTTTTTGGTTTTCCCTTTTTCTATGACTAATTATTAATCGATATAAATATTTTCTTTCTTGGGCTTAGCTGTTGGTTGGTTGGCAATTATTAAATGTCCTATCCTATGTGTTTCGTTTCGAGTTTGACCCTCTCGGCAATTATTGGGCTTTCTTCCAGATATTTGGTATTGGGCCAAGCCTGCTGCCATTTGGGCCTAATGGAAGACGCTATGGTCCTCCTCCAAACCGGGAAACGCCTCTCCACCGTCGCATTCCGGCGCCAGAGCATCTCCTGGTCCGACGACAGCTTCTCCCTCCCTAACTTCCCCTGCGACTCCACGGCCCCGCCCACTCCGCCGCGGTCCCTGGCCGAATCGGACAACAAAATCACCCACCTCCTCTCCCACATCAAGCTCCTCCTCCGCCGTCGCGCGGCCGCCATCGCCGCCCTAGACGCCGGTCTCTACGCCGAAGCCATCCGCCACTTCTCCAAGATCGTTGACGGCCGGCGGGGAGCGCCGCAGGGGTTCCTCGCCGAGTGCTACATGCACAGGGCGTTCGCCTACAAATCCTGCGGCCGGATCGCCGAGGCGATCGCCGATTGCAACAAGACTCTGGCCCTCGATCCGTCCTCGATTCAGGCTCTGGAGACCAGAGCCTCGCTCTTCGAGACCATCCGCTGCCTGCCGGACTGCCTACACGATCTGGAGCACATGAAGCTGCTGTACAATTCGATCCTCCGTGACCGGAAGCTCCCCGGTCCTGCGTGGAAGCGGCAGAACGTGAGGTACAGGGAGATTCCGGGGAAGCTCTGCGCGCTGAGCACCAAAATTCAGGGGCTGAAACAGAGAGTTGCCGCCGGTGAGACCGGAAATGTGGATTACTACTCCTTGATTGGATTGAGGAGGGGATGCTCGAGATCCGAGCTGGAGCGAGCTCATCTGCTGCTCTGCTTGCGGCACAAGCCGGATAAGGCGACGAATTTCGTGGATCGGTGCGAGATCGCCGACGAGCGCGATCTGGATTCGGTTAAAGATCGGGCCAAGATGTCCGCGCTGTTGCTCTACAGATTGATACAGAGGGGTCACTCTAGCCTGATGAAGAACATTCTGGATGAGGAGGCTGCCGAGAAGCAGAGGAAGAAGGATGCTGCCGCGGCGGCGGCAGCAATGCAGGTTCAATCCGCGGATTGTCAGACTGCGACGTCGTCCGGGAGCGTGGACCCGGCGGTGTTCCAAGGAGTGTTCTGCCGGGACCTTGCGGTGGTCGGAAGCCTGCTGTCTCAAGTCGGGTTTAACCGCCCGATTCCGGTCAAATACGAGGCGCTGAGCTGCTGATTTGGATTAGGAGAAGTGGAAAATGGGAATCTCTGGTTCATATTTTTGTGCAAAAAAAAAAAAAAAAATTATAAGTTAGCAGCAGCATTGCAGCAAAATACATTATTACAGTGTTGTTCTTTTCACCGCCGGGGAAATTTTGTCGATCATCACCACGTTCTCGCGTTATCTCTTCTTTTTTTTGCTATCTTTATTGATGCACTGCTACTGCTTGAGGAATCCTTATCACCTCTACTGCGCTGCTTCAATTATTATTGTGTACAGAATCTTTCGCTTTCTACACTACAGTACCCCCTATTTTTTGCCCCTCTCTTGGATTCCTAGCTCGTTTTGGAGTTTACCGCCCTTTCTAACCTTTTCAAACTTGGACATTTTTTTAACACCGGTCAGGTACTGTGCTTTATCAAAACACCATTATTAAATAGTAATCATTGTAATACATCTCCAAAAACGTATCCAAACCAGTTTGGGGTTTTAGTTTTTATCTAGTTTGGGTTTAGCTCTATAATAAATAAGTCAAGTTTAAGTTCATTTTGTTTATTAAAATATTAATTTGTTCTTTTTTACTCGAGTTCGACTCGAATTCTGCTCATTTATGAACTCGTGAGTTGTTCTTTGGCTAATCAATTAGCTCGTGAGTTCGACTTGAGCATTGTAGGAGTCACCTTGCAAGAGGTTCGGGATTAGAATACAAAAAAGTAAACAATATTTGTACAGAGTCCATAATACACAAACTCAACACCTCAACTCCACTAGTTTTACTTGTCTACCAACAAATGTAGATAACTTCGTGGCACACATTACCCCTTGCATGTTATGCAAATGACTCCAGATTTCATATAAAATCGTGTCTCTAATTGTTTATTCTAGGTTCACTAATTCTTTAACTTAGTGTCGGAACTCTTCACTCTCAAACGAAAAAAAATCGGTCGGCAAATTATGAAAAACCCGTCTTGGGTCATTTAAATAGTTTGGCTCGCTAGCTATTTTGACGTATGACGAGTATCTCATGAGTTGAGTCTAACAAGCCACCAAATTGAGCGGACTCACGAGCCTCGTAAATTGAATAAATAAGTATTAACTCAAACTCGATTCGCTTACTAATGAATCCATAATCAAACGTTGAGCTGGTGAATAGCTCTTATCACCTTGTAGTGGTAGTGAACATGTCAAGTGGTATATATATGCACCAAAACCCTATTCAAAATAATAACGGGGCCGGGGGAGAAGAAAGCAGTACAGATTGGCGTGAGTTGAAAGGCGCAGCAGCAGGTGAATTAAATGTAGCCGTTTTTGCACATAGTGTACCCTGACACCCTATAAAAATAATAATGAGAAAGGTGGTGTATTGTATATCAAAATAATAGTAGTAGGAAAATAGTGAAGTTAATGGTGCGTGTTTAGTGGTTGGCAACTTAGCAAGCAAAGCCAATGCCAAAGCCAATTTGCTGGTTTCGAAAGCAATTGTTTATGAACGTGTGGCGAAAGAAAGGGTAATGGAGTTTACCAGAGTTAATTGTTTAGTTGTTTATTTATTTATGATATCGAAGATTATAGTGATATATAATAACCTAATACATGTCACGAATTTTCACGAGTGAACCCATTTATTGATTTGAAAAATCTTAGCATGACGTTGTCTGAATTTTTTAATTTTTAACCTTTTGACATACTACTAAATGGGTCTGGAGGAGAGGTGAGTTCCGAGATCCACCTCTACTTCGTACCCGCTTTAATTTTGGCATAAATTCAAAAAAAAAAAAAATATGAGAAATAATATACAAAATCATTTGTGAATTTGAATAAATAGTTTGTAACAAATAGATGTTTAGAACTGATTTATGTGGTTTTAACAAATTAGTTATATGTTTTTTAAAAATCTTTGCTAACCATTTATAAGGATTTCTGCTCATCATAGACGTGCTTATATAAACATACATTCTAATCTATATGATACACTATGATTTTTACATGAATTAAAATTTTTTACCCCCATTGTTTATTATCCACTTCTCAAATATCAAAATCATCGAATATTCAATTTGACTTTCTTCAGTCTTGAGGATTATAAATGTCTTTTGTAAATTTTTTGAAACATGCATGTTGAAATCATTCTTAAAATCTAAACAACTTCATCTAATATATATTTTTTTTCAATACATACCTACCTTAACAAAAAAAAGCATGGTTACGCTACTGCATGTGAATCTTAAGACGCAAATTCTATGATCCATATTTTCTTCAGGAGTCTAGAACCAGTTAGACAGGCTGCTTTTACTTGGTTTGATGGCTTTGACCGCCTCTTCACATTCACGGATCTTCCTGTCGATCTTATTCCCGGTAGCGGTTGAACCTGATTGACCTAACCAACATGCTACTGGTTTGAGAGGATTATGTTTTAACACATTAGACCCGAGCTTTACCACTAACAATCATTTAAGAATGAAACAAACTGTGATATAAAAATAGTTATCAAATTCCTAGTTTTCTTAAGAGAACCTTTTATTTAATGAGGTTGAATCTTTAAGTTATTCACTGTTCAATGAATTCATCATGATGATGGTTTTCTTGTATTGTGAGATACTTTGTATTATAAAAGACATGCAATCCACTAATGGATAGAAAAAGAAAATAAATAGGTATATATATACAAATATAAACCATTTTCTAAAGTGATAGTAACATGTACATGTTGGGATTTGCGATGTAAATTTGGCAAAATGCTTTGAACGTTACACTAGTTCCCATTCTCGGGCTTAGCCAGCCAGTTATTCAACAATGATATAAAAGGGCCTAGTGGTGGCGATTATCAACGTTAATGTAAACTAGAGAAATTGCTCTAGTAAGAAGTCTAGTATTTCTTCGTGGTGTCTGAATGTGGTTTGGTGAAATGATCTTCTGTAACTGTCAATATTAATATAATTCATTTAACCACCTAGTATGGCGAGGTTGTGCGAATCAAGTTGTTAAATCGATTTTTATTGTTATACTAGTTAAGCAAGTAGTATGTTGTCGATATAATGAATATGTATAAATATGGAAAACTATCAATGCCAAATGAAGTTAAAATTAAAAAAAAAAAACATATTTGAAGACTAGTTTCTTATAATATATGCATATTTAAACAAAATACAACATTCCAAAAAAAAATTAAAAATACTCATTTAAATACAACATTTAACGTCAACACCAGTGTCATTAACCTGCCCAACAAGCTTACCTGTATGAAAAACTTTTATACTTGTAACATCAACATTTAAATCCAACAAGTAACACCAACATTTAATTTTTAAATTCATGAAATAAATCACAATCGAACTAAGTTCAATAAAAATAGGTAAGTTTGTTTCTATGCTGAAAATCGATCATGCCGGTGGTATTCACGCCGGTTTCATGACCAATATTGGTTGAACCTAGTTCAATCGGATGACATTCCACCGACGTGACAACCATAACATAAACTCAAATAAGTGAACTAAGATTTATACCTAGAACTATTGGAGAATTAATTGATCCTACTCGAATTTCTTTGACAAACTCCAAAACTAATTCAATTATTGATGAATTACTTAATATCATTATGCATGAGAATAATGTAGTCATGTGATGTGACCTGAGAGTTATGGACGTCAATTGGCTTTCATCAAAACCTTAGGTCCTAGCTAGCTGCAATCAAACCTGCACGAAAAAACTATGTCATCAGTAACCACACATAAGGAGGAAAAATGTGTCAGTTTATCGATTTGTAAGAAGGCAGCGAATTTAATGGAGCGAATAATGATGATAATATTAAGAAACAAAAATGGATTAGGGAGAGGATTTATTGCGAACACATTAGTAAGCAAGCAGGATTAGTGATGAACACGTGATGTTTGAATGTTGGGAACATAACATTGAAAAGAGTGGTTCGTGGCCAGATAAGATGATGTCAGTGCCAACATGTGAAGGCCATCATGTGCCATCTGTTTCTCCTTTTCAATGACAGGTCCCCACCCCCCCCTCTCTCTCTCTCTCCTAGGTAGGGCTGATCTGAACAAAGTCCCACCTCGAACCAATCCGAAAGTCGAACAAATTTAAGGAGTTTAGTTTGGATGATGAGTTCTATCCGATCAATTTGATCTAATCATTTTGTTTCGAGATTGATCAGTTTCGTTTCATAAAATTTGGATAAAGCAAATATTTTGGCCAAATTGATTAGGTGAATATGGCGAAGGAACGATAGTTGGAACATTTGAAGTCAAAACTGGGATGCAAAACAACAGGGTGACAAATGTCACGGTTTAGGGGGCACATGTCACGACCCAAGCCATGACATTTCTAGTTGAAGTTGTGACATTCGACATACTTTTAAACATGTCACAACCGGCCAACACATAGCACGGTTTCAATTGTGACATGGGCAACATAGTCGTGAGTTTGGTGTATTTCTATTCGATGTCACGATCACTGTCAAATGTCACGGTCGTGACATGAATCATGACTCGTGCACTGTTTCGAGTATAAAGTTGTTGATGTAAGTTTTGAGAGGGAGAGAGCTGGGCTTTCAGCCAAAAACATCCAAGGGGCATGATCGTCGAGATTGTAGCATCGCTACCAAATTTACATGGCCCTAAGGTAAGGATCGTATTCCCTCGAGCCTCTCGTAGAACCCATACTTTGAAAGGGAGATACAGTTCTATTGAATAAGAGGTCGATTTAGGAGGTTGAGGTGCCTCTGGTTTTGCAACACGTAAGAGTTGGAAAGTAAAGCAGTGCAGAAAGGTAAATTATAAGCTACTAGAGAAGCGAGACAAAGGAAAGAGTTGCATAGGCAATGTTTACCCTAGGTCCTAACCACACACCCCCAATGATCGGAGCATATGAGCTGCAAATTTTTTAGTTCGTCAGATCCCACCTTGTATCGAAGCATTTAGCCGAACTAATGGGTGACAAGGAACCTTCGCAATTGTCCCATGAGGAGTCACGCCGTTTGATCGAATGAGGTTCGATCGAGTAGGACTGCTATTTCTAGACCCATCCTAAACGACTAGGATTTTGATCTTTGCACCTCGAAGGAGTGCAAGATCGACTAAGCAATCATTCGAATAACTAATAACGAAATAGAGGAAATCAAGCATCACACATATGAAAATCAAACAATCGTAAACCAAATCATTGAGTTTAATGGTTAGAACACCTAGGATTCATACACATACGCAACTAAGGAACTTAGAGAGCCATGGGGAAGGGTTCCTGGGTGTTCATTGATGGAAACAAATACACTAGGAGTCCCACATTGGTTGTAACAGATAAAGTAGGCCCTAGGGCACCGTTTTGGCTGCTGATTCTCCCTCTAAGAGTGTGCTCATTCTAAGTTATGAGGATTACTATGTTGGTATAGTAACGATAATTCCTTGACCTCTCGTCTCCTCTCTAGTTCTTTCTCTAGAACCCTATTTATAGATCTTCGATTAGGCTTCTTGAGGAGGAAAACTCGCCTCTTTTGCGTCATTCGACCAATCAGAATGCTCCAAACACGTGACTAGAGAATCAGGATGCTCCGAAATAACTTATTGACGAAGTGGACGACCTCCCTAAAACAACGGCGTGGCCTCCTTTTTTCTTTATTAAAACGACGCTTTGGGCACCGTTTTACTTAGGCGTCCGGTCTACGAATCCTGGCTCCAGCAACTTGGTCTCGATGTCCCTTACGGCTTCCAAGTGGTCCACTAGATTGCTTTGGCCTAAAAATGCACAAAACGCTACCAAAAGCGTATCAATCGTATAAAAGCAATCATAAGGTTACTATAACACACTTGAAGCAATCATAACAATAAGTAATGTATTATGACATTATAGATAGGAAATGTTATGTATGCACTTTGGGTCACAATACGAGGGTCTAGAATAGATACTTTCACGTGTCATCAGAACAGTTCAAAGAGAGGGAGAGCGTTCTAAGAGGGTTCGTGGAGCTAAATTGGAGGTACCCCATCACCATTGAAGCTAGAAGATCAACCCTAGATATTAAGATTGAAGATCTTGAGCTTTCTATATTCTCTCTCATTTCTAAATTTTCATGAATAATATTTTAACGTTTTTGTATATTGATACAACATATTGATGGCGTAATTGAAAATAACTTGTGTGTTGTCTTTAATTGGACATCGGTTGGAATTATTGAGCCCCTTCGCCAGATTCAAGTAGTTAACCGTGCAAACTCGGTTCGAGCAATTATTCGTCCAAATTGACATCCAACCAACCGGTTCAAATACGATGATTAAATGCAGACCATCAATTGGACCGACCAATTCGGTTCGGTTCGGTCTTTCACACAACTACGTACAGACATTTTGTAACACTTTGATGGAGAGTGGCTAACCTTTCCTCGTTGCGCCTCGTTGGATGTTTATCCACGAGCCAAAAGAGACAGCCAGCCCAACAACAACTCAACCGGCAAGCACAGCCATTTTAGACTGGGCAATCGGCACCACCTGGTCCCTCACAGTTTTGTCTCCCATCGAGTCCATCCACTAGACCACCACCGTGTTGGACCTTTTTACATTTCCATAACATTGCATGACCCTTGCCTTGCCCGCTTGTTTCTATGCGAGTGGCAATCCCATCCAATCCAACTATGGATTGAGAATTCTCGTATTTGGATTGGACCAACTCTGATATTTTCCGACATGGCTCTACACCCATCCTTCGGTTTAGGAACACAACTCCAAGCTTACCTACCACTTTTCCGATACAATCTACAGTAATCAACCAGGCCAATAAACCTGTTTCTTTTCTTCACGCTTCACTCGCCCAACTCTCCATTATTAGTGACGTGTAAGTGAGAGAGAAGTCGCGTGACAAATTACACAGATTAATTTGGATACGCAAGCAAACCCAAATCCACATAATCATTCGTCGTAACTAACAATAATAATGGCACAGAAACAAACTGCTGAAAGATAGACCACCGTCCCCAACTGCCTGCGGTCACAAAATTAGGAATCTACATCACGATACGCCCACGACGCTACATGAATAAATGTAAATATCGCCATCTGGCCTTGAAGGACAACCAACCACGCTATGAGAATATGACGTTTCGTACGAGTTTTTTTTTTGGGAGGAATGGAATGTTAACTATGCCACGTGTGTGGATCCATTGCTAGGCAATGCAATTGCAAGTTACCGCATTTTGTCCTTAGAATAGAAGCCAGCCACCTTCTATGACTGAGGTCAAATGAATAATAAAAGATTAAAGAATCGACCTACCAGCTTTCTTTGCCCTGTACAAAATCATTCCTTGACAAACAAGAAAGATCAAAAGACAACGATGGTGATCAATGAAGCTTGATCACGTTGTAAACACCTAAGAGAACCAATCGTGCAGGGAGCAAAAGCACCACAAACAAGTGCATGTGCTGGGAAGCCACCATCCTGCTGAACCTCTTCAACGAGTCTCTTCCCGTCTGCAACGCACCCGAGAAGTTGAACTGCAGTACCTTCTCCCTCGAAGAAAAACCCTGCCTCCCGACCACGAGGACGTCGTGGGGGGCCAGCATCGACCACCAGAACTTCCGTCGCAGCTCCCTCCTCGCCTTCCTGATGCGGTTCATCTCCAGGCGTATCACGTTGCGCAACGACTTCACGTACGAGTTCATGTCGTGGTCCCGCTGGATTGCTCCTTCGGAACCATAAGCAGCCCGATCGCGCAGGATCTCGAGTGGGTGTGGCGTGTTGAGGAACTTGGCCTTTGCGTCTCGAATCAGCTTCTCTGCATTGTCTTCATTACCACCGCGGTCAGATATTGGGTAGCTCAGGAAGAACAACCCACTACCTGAGGGTAGGAGTTCGTGGTGAGGTGAGAATCTCGCGTCTGGCTGTAGAATCACGATTTCACCCATCGGGGCGTATAACATGCTCTACACAATGGAAGGGATCAACAACGGTGAGTTGTTGGGATGAATTGGTTATCAACAACAGAACAGAAACATGTATATGCACACACCATCTATTCAATTCAACCACCCTATATGAAATACTAACAGGCTGTTAACATAGCAAAACATTTGGAAAGGTCACCTGGTTATTGAGACATGAGTGGCTCCGGAAGTTCGAATTCACAGCTTTCAAAAGTTCTGCAACGTGATTAGGGTAATTACAGGAGAAAGCCCGCGGGACGATGTCTCTATGCATTGTTATCGCCTGTACATGATTCCGGGGCAGGCCAAGCTTATCAAGGAGCTGGTCTCCACCGCACATGATGGATGGCGAACCAAATGTTATGACAGGGAGCAAACACGAGGCTGGCACTTCACCTCTTATTAGCAACATCAGGTTTATGAGCACAGACAAGCTTCCACCGAGGGAATGACCAGTGAAACGAAAGGCCGCACGCCTGCTGCCATATGACTTTAGGTGGGCTCGTACTTCGGGCAGCATTTGCTCGTATATGCCTTTCGCAGCTTCGTAAATACCTCTATGCACAGGCACACCCAAACCCTGAATGTTGAGAAATTCCATCATATACATAATCATCACATTCTCCACAATCATCATAAAACTAAAGGATGGATCACAACATCAATGCCATTAAATGCTTACCTCAAACTCAATAGGCTCGAACAGAAGATTGGCTTGCCAAGATGCCAGTGACTCAGATCCCTGTTTATCAGACATGACAAGACATCACGAACCAAGAAAAAAGCCAATATGCCTATCAAACAATCAAGATTGTGAAGCTGATCGTTGAGTTACCCCTTAGTTCCCATACCATTAATTGAAATTGTACCTACATACAGTTACAGTAGCATACATATCGACTAGTTGAGAGAACCTATACCTGAATCACGAAGTATCTTGTGCACTCATCATCATCACATATAAACCACTCGCAGGGGGATGAGCCTGTTGAACTCAAATCATCTGCAACAGCTTGTTTCACTTCTTCTTTTGCAGCAACAACAGCTGTCACTGAGTCTGTCGTTGCCATAAGAGAAGCCACCTCTGAGTCCATCACATCGTTGCTGCATCTGGTGTCGCAATTGGAAATATCTTTGTCCATTTCCACTTTTGTGGAACTGAAAGGAAGAATGTGCTTTGCATGAGAGTGCAAATAGGAAGCAGCATTGGCAGCTATTTGATAAGCTGTCGAGGCATTTATATGATGCCCATCATTCTTGCCTTCCTCCCCCTCAGTCACTCCTGGTTCCTCCTTCGAAGTCTCCTTTTCTTCTTCCCGAACTTCATCTGGTGCCTGAGTTTCCTTAGCCAACTCTCTTTTTGCCACCGAAGAGGTTACTAGCTTGAGGGCCCGATATTTCATCAAATTTCCAGGCTAAAAGACCCAAACAAGAAAACAGAAATGAACAGAGTTCATACATGGTAAAGCTGCATACTTTTGAATTATGATAATATAAACCACAGGCACAAACAGCAGAATTCACCATGAATGTGAAGGAAAACCTCGAACAAGCTTTTAAATTGAGCTATTATGGTTCACACTTAAGTAATTAAGTTGCATTATCCAAAGCAGGGTTTGTTCATCACGAAAATCAATACATCAGAACATGCAAAAACCTTGATGGACTAAACCAATCAGACTAACTAAAGTGAAAGATCGTGATCAGGAAGGATAGACGAAAATGACTTACTTCCACCATTACCAAAAACAAAGGACTCAATTACTCCAGCCCAAACAATGGAAGAACAGAAGCAGTAGACAACCAAAACAATCAGTCTGGAATCTCACACGCCAACTAATCAAATAAGAAGCAATCCCTCATTAAGATTGTCAGATTATCTGTTTACCTTGATCTTGGGTATGCAATACGCCAAGTTCCCCAAATACGACATTTGAGCATACAGCTTAGCCTCTGCGAGGGAAGCTCTGCGAAGCAATCTGGAAAACGAATCCCTGTCGAATTCAATCTCGTCTACTCCATCCTCGGCAACGCAGCAGAGCTCCTCGTCGTCGACGTCTTCCTCCGCCGTTCCATCGTCGGCGGAATTACCGCCGCCGCTTACGTCAATTTCATTTTCGCTGCCCTTCGCCTCCGACTCCCCTTCCTTCCAAAGAGACCTCACATGCAAAATCTTCATAACCCAGCTTTGATCCCGCCCTTCAATCGCCCCGCCGTCCTCGCCGCTGCCCGCCTCGACATTATCGACGACAACAACGGCTTCGCCGCAGCCACCGCCATCCATGGCCACCGTCCCAGTATGCCTCCCGCTGCATCTCTGGCCTCCTCCCGGCCACCAGGACTGCAGAGGGTACCGGAACGAGAACTTGGACGACGGCGGCGGCGAAGAATTAGATTTGTGATCCCTGCTCGCAGGGCTCATGTGGGTCGCGTTCGCCCGTACTTGTCCCAGAGAGCCGGCAACGGAGATCGACGGCGGCATGCCGTGTATCCCTGATTTCAAGCACAAGCCGTCCATTCTCTTTTGGGAAAATTTCGTTCCAGGGATCGAATCAAAAGTTGTAAAATTAAGGGAACAAAAGATCGAAATGTGAGCCCGCGCTCTTCTGGGATTCCGCAGGATCGCTTCGGATTATCGAAGCTAGCAGAAAGGAAATGGAGCGCGACTGATTCGAAAGCAGACCAGCGAAGAAGAAAGAGGGTCGGCGGAGCGATGCCGGGAAAATATACAAATGGGTCACCAAACCTTCTTCGGTCTTGGTTATTTTTTTCCCGGACCAACCTTCTCATGTATATAAGGAGGAGTTACGAAATTGATGGCTGCCTGACTCGACACTCGACAGGCAACACGGCTACGGCGTTTCCACGGTAAAGCGTAGGTGTCAATCGGTAGGTTGGGGTGGGTTTGGTTCGGGTTTGGTCCTCCGGTTACTGGTTAGTTGGGTTTATGGTCTATTTTGTCATGGGTTATTCGGGTTGTAAGTCAATTGAGGTTACAGATCATCAAGTCACAGGCCAATCATCTAACAAGTTGATAGGGTTATGGATCAATTAGGTTGTGAGTAGATCGTACGAGTAGATCAAATTATGGTCAAAAGGGTTACAGATGGATCGGGTTACAAATTGTTTGAGTCATCCATCGAGTTAATTAATTCTATTAGTAATTAATCATATGATAATTTAAGACGAGAGAATTTTTTTGGGGAGGTTGCGCCAACGATGGGACAAGAGGGAGGTTTGGGCGGTGGCTTTGAGGTTGAACTCGACTGCAATGAGGATGGCGTCGGGGAAGGTGCTGAGCCTGTTGGGTTCAACTGTTGTTTTGAGCTTCTTTGTTTCCGCCGTCATTTTTCTGGGTTGGATGATCTAACAATCAGGTTGTATAGAATTATGATTTTTGGTTGTACTGTCCGGTTCAATTGGGTTTAGAGGTGGCAAATGGATTGGATTGGTGGATTGATGGATTGGATTGGTGGATCCATGGATCAAATGGATTGGATCTAATGGATTGGTGGATTCATGGATTGGATCAAGTGGATTGGTGGATTATCCATGAATCCAAATGACATCATCAACCAAGGAGCAATATGTAAAATGTAAAAAGTTTAGGTACTAAAATGCCATAATGAAAATTTTTAGGTACCAAAACGTAATTTTCCAATGATATTTTTCGTATAAAAAATTAAATTTTAGGTACCAAAATGTAACAAATAAAAATTATAGGTACTAAACCGTAATTTGCCAATGATCCATGGATCCAATCCATGAATCCACCAATCCAATTGGATTTGGATTAAATGGATTGGATTTAAATGGATTGGATTAGATGGATATTTTTAATGGATTGATGGATTGGATTGGTGGATTGGATTGAAATTGCCACCTCTAATTGAGTTAGATCATTAAATATTTTATTAGTATTTCAAGTGATTTGGCGTGCTGACTGAACGAAACTAACGATTTTTTGGATAGAGATGAACGAAATGTCCATTTTGTTATTCTCTCAAACGTATATTACTGAAACATGCAAAATAAAAGGTTAGTGATCATTTCAAACAAAGTGAATAGTTTTGTGACCTTTTATGCTAATTGCCCAGCAAGAATGAAATTAAATTATATATGTGTATTTAAAAAAAATTGGTTATTATAGTCACGAAATATATAATTGTGTGTTGTATTTTCCTAATATTATTTGTATAGAATAAAAATAATATTATTAAGATATTCGGCAGCGGTACGGTGAAGCACTCCCCAAACTTCAAATTCAAAAGTACAGTGGCAATTCTCGTTAATAACAGCCAAATCCAAGCCCATTTAAATCGGGATTTTCCTTTACGTATATATTGACATAGCTCATTTCCCTTTCTACCCGTTCGATTGAAAAAACCCCAAACCCGCCTCCCCCTTTCCGATTGATCAGTCGATTCAGCTAGCCGGCGTCGAGAGATTGTCACCTCCAGCTGCCGCAGATCTAGCTTCGATTTTGATTTCGTTTCTGCGGAGCCGAGCACGAGGAGAAGCAACCGACCATGTCGTTGAGGCCGGGATCGAAGACGGAGGTGCGGCGGAACCGGTACAAGGTCGCAGTCGATGCGGAGGAAGGTAGGCGGAGGAGGGAGGATAACATGGTGGAGATCCGGAAGAACAAGCGGGAAGAGAGCTTGCTGAAGAAGCGCAGGGAAGGCCTTCTTCAGGCCCTGCCGCAGCAGCAGCAACCGCTGCTCGATGCTGCTCATGACGGTTCCGCCGCGGCGGCTGATAGGAAGGTAAAACGTAAAAAGTCATGGAAGTGCCCTATTTGAATTTCGCCATGGAATTTCGGTTCGCCAGTTCTGCTTTGATTTTGTACTCTTTCCACTTCCGTGGTATCTTTGTGACGCCTGAGTTTTAGGTTCAGTTTGGAATTCTCAAGCTTAATCTGGTTCGTTCTTGTTCTATGGAATGTCTTTCAACCTAGAGTTGCAGTGTTAAGAGTTAGTGAAGTGTAGTGTCAGCTGTCGAGGTGAATGAGGATGCTGTTTTCTCGAAGGAAATGTTGGTTTATGTTCCAATGCTTTGGTGGTAGAATTTTTGTGTCTATGAAGTAGATGAATGTTACTGTTGCATATTGTGTAAGATAGCTGAATGCTCCGCGCTTTGGGGTTTCTAGCGACTACTTTTCGTATCACTGTATATGCACAGATTGGTTTCATAGTTTATTAACTATTTTCTTCGATCTTAATTTTGATAGTTAGAAGTTCTTGCAACCGTTGCAGCAGCCAATGTTGTAAGTCATTTGGCTTTTCTTCCGCATAGTTTTCAGTTTTGAGTTCTTGAAATAATCTAGAAAATGAATGGCTTGGATTTCTTGGTATATTGTGTTTAAGTTTAGCCAATGGAAGGCCTGATGCAGTTTCTTGTTTCATTGCAGCTAGAAAGTCTTCCAGTGATGATTGCAGGTGTTATGTCCGATGATAGGAATTCACAGCTAGATTCGACCACACAGTTCAGGAAGCTGTTGTCAATAGGTTAGCCTTTCTTATTTCCATTCAGTTTTTGACTTCTTAGTTTCTGTGGTCGGACATATCTTCGGCATATTTGATCCATTACTTTCCATTTTTTGCATAGAACGTAGTCCACCAATAAATGAGGTTGTACAATCTGGTGTGGTTCCTCGATTTGTTGAGTTTCTTGCAAGAGATGATTTCCCCCAGCTTCAGGTTTGAATTTAGTATACATGGTTACGGGTTAATACTTTTCATTGGCATAAAAAGACATTTCAACTGATATCTGGTGCCAATTTTGCTAGTTTGAGGCAGCTTGGGCTCTTACAAATATTGCTTCTGGGACGTCAGAAAACACCAAAGTTGTGATTGATCATGGGGCTGTGCCTATATTTGTAAGACTCTTGGGTTCTCCCGCTGACGATGTCAGGGAACAGGTACATGGTTTCCTTATGTTAGCTCCCAAAAGGTGTACCTTCAGAAACCTTTTATGTGCGTGTATTACTTCTTAGTTCTTAATGCATTGGTGCGTATGTCTTTTCTGTAATTTTAGGCTGTTTGGGCATTAGGTAATGTAGCTGGAGATTCACCCAGATGCCGTGATCTTGTGCTTGGTCATGGGGCATTGATGCCATTGCTTGCACAATTCAATGACCAAGCTAAGCTCTCTATGTTGAGGAATGCAACCTGGACATTATCAAATTTTTGCAGGGGCAAGCCACAACCTTTGTTTGACCAGGTTTAACTCTCAGATGGAAATTTGGGACTCCAGCATTATAGTACTACTTCAATTTTGCTAAAATTTGTGCAATTACTTCAATGGACAGACTAAGCCTGCCTTGCCTGCTCTTGAACGTCTTATCCATTCCAATGATGAGGAAGTTCTGACAGATGCCTGTTGGGCTCTATCATATCTCTCAGATGGAACTAATGACAAAATCCAAACTGTTATTGAGGCTGGGGTATGCCCCCGGCTTGTTGAGCTTCTTCTGTAAGTATTAGTTTTATCTTCACAAATTGTCTTATCTTATGATTGTATTTATTCATTGAGCTTTTGGTAGTGATATGCTATTTACCTTTTTAGTCATCCATCTGCGACGGTGCTCATTCCTGCACTACGCACAGTTGGAAATATTGTGACTGGGGATGACATGCAAACTCAGGTATTGGTTTCCTGGTTATTTTGTCTCTCTGTCTTGCATTTATCATTTGGTGCAGGAATGTTTTTGGATTTGCTTTTGGTGTATGCATGTCAGAAGTCCAAGTTCCATCATCAATTGTGGCTATATAGTTAATATGTACCTAGTGCTCATTTGTTTTTTAATGGGATTGACATAAATGATTTATATCATATCTTCAAGTCTTGCACTTCAACCTATTCAACCCGCTAAACAGCTGGTTTTGGAGAATCATTTGCATTGATACCTTTGTCTGATTCTAGCAAAACGAGATTATTTCTTTCTAGGATTGAGGATGACAAGATGAAAGACTCATTATGGACGGTTGATGGTTCTGTATTGTGATTGCTAATTTAATTGGATATGGCTCAAAGCAAGCCTCCTTAAAATTGGCATTTTAAGTTTTTGCAAACTAAAGATTCTGTAGTAGCTTTACTTGCTTGGAAACTGGACCAGGGAGGACAAGACATACCATCATCCTTAGGCCTTTTCTTTCTTAAAAGTTTTTACAGTTGGTTCTTGGTTAGGTCTGGTGTTCGCTTCCATTGCATTAATCTTTCATATACTTGGTTAGGTTTAATTGATAGTGAGATACATGCACTTTTTTGTATTCTAAGGTTATTGGTGTTACCCAACTGGTGCAAATGATTTTGATGTTAGTCATTCCAGCATTTCATGTTTGCTCATGTCACATGAGAATATATGATTCCTTTTTGCCATACCTTATCTCAGTGCATGATTGAGCATCAAGTGCTGCCTTGCCTTTTGAATCTGTTGAGCAATAATCATAAGAAAAGCATTAAGAAGGAAGCCTGCTGGACAATCTCCAACATCACAGCTGGAAACGTGAATCAGATACAGGTAAGTTATTAGGGTATCATTAGTTGAATGCTTTCCCCCCCCCCCCCCCCCCCCCCCCCCCCCCTTTCTGCGTGGTTTGTGACTCCTTTATATGTAACTTACATGACAACTTGCAAATGAGAACAAGCAGTATGGTTAGGAAACAGTATATTATGGAAACATATATTCTTTTCCCACTTAAACTTTTGCTCCTTGTTTGACAATGCAATGCTTGTTCCTCAATGCAGGCTGTTATTGAAGCTGGCATAATTAGCCCTCTCGTCCAACTACTTCAAAGTGCAGAGTTTGAGATTAAAAAGGAGGCTGCTTGGGCCATTTCCAATGCTACATCTGGTGGAACCCACGACCAGATCAAGTAGAATTCTTTTCAATGTGGATTCTATAATCTGGAATCACAATATGTCAGGTTACGTACTGACCTGTTTAGGGGTTTCTTTTGCTTCAATGGTGTAGATTCCTAGTGAGCCAGGGTTGCATTAAGCCACTATGTGATCTCCTAATCTGTCCCGACCCAAGAATCGTTACGGTCTGCTTGGAGGGTCTAGAAAACATTCTGAAGGTTGGGGAAGCTGACAAGAATTTGGGCAACTCGGGAGACGTAAATGTGTTCTCTCAACTCATCGATGATGCAGAAGGGTTAGAGAAGATTGAGAATCTGCAGAGCCATGACAACAATGATATATATGAAAAGGCGGTGAAGCTTCTGGAGACATATTGGTTGGAGGAGGATGTTGTCCCCGTCGCTCCTGGTGATCCAGCCCAAGGTGGATTCAATTTTGGAGGCAGCGAACCTCCCGTTCCCACAGGAGGATTCAACTTCAGTTAAAGGTATGTTGGACACTTCCTTTACATCATCACGGTCTCTGTCAGTGCGAGTTTAGATGCCGAGAAACTTGCTCTTACTCAACTCGAGCCTGCTTTTATTTGGGACCAAGTACATATGCAGCAGTCTATAGTGGGGTTCATTATAATACCCAGATGCCATATTTCTGTCTAATGAATTTTGCGCGGGAGGCGACATTGTTCTCTCAGCTGTCCTTTTAACAAGCATCTCATCATCGTATTATTTGATGCTATGCAGATCATTAGGATGTGGGTGGAATGAAGCCGAGTGTCCTGTTTGTACTGAAGGCAGATAGATGTTTTTGGGTGGCAAGCACAGTCCCTTCCCTTCCCCTGGGTGGTGAAAATACAAAACAACATTAGCGCGGTTCTGGTTGAAAGAATGCGTAGTGTCGGGGGGTTGTTCAGTCGTCGCAAGCAGGTTTGTTTGTATCCCAGAACTGGTTTTGTTGCTACCCCAATTTCGATCGGACCTTTTGCTGTTTTTAACATCATACAATGTAGAGCCTTGTTGAGCTCTCTTGTTTAACCCCCCAGCTTCCACCTACTGTTGTTTTAGTTTTAGGAAAATTCAGGCGGTTGAAATTTGGGTTTTGCTTGCCTGCCACTGCCCATCATTTGTTATGGTCTCCTGTCTGTGAGTGAGTGGAATGAGTAGTGCATCATACGTGTACAACTCTTGCGATTTGGATTCTACTGTGATACAGTAATTCCTTCCAGTAATTGTGACTTCTTTTAATGGGACAAAAGCTATTGGCCACGCTGGCCTGTAGTCGAAAATGATAAGGCCGTAATATATGATATATTCGTTTACGGCACAGAAAGGGAACCGGATAGTTCCTAACAAAACTGAATCCCCGGTAAATTAGCATTTCATTATAAGTACAAAATTCAAAACTTAAAATCGATCATAAATTTCTTTGTATTATTTATATAATTGGTATGTTTTATATTATTTATAAATCTGTTTGTATATTTTGTCGCAATCACAAGGGAAAAAAAAAGAGATAAGCACCTTCCTTCCACCGACACTAACTCCTTTCCCTTTTGCCTCCCTCCCCATCAAAACGCGATTACATAACGTGACAATACACTCCACTTGTTGGCTGTTGCTATCTAAATATTTGAATCCTGCAGGTTCTATTAATAATTCTCACGTTAATGCTGCATATACTTTATATTATATAATTCTTTTTCTCTATGTTTTATTATATATGGGATATGCTACCTTATATATTTGGTTTAGTGGTATTATCACTAGTTTTGAACATGAAGATCTCTTATTCGAATTTCTTAAATAATACATAACTATAAAACAAACTTATATTACTCTTATAAGAAAATAATATATACATGCGTTCATACATAGATGTACTTTGATACATGTAGCAAATCAGAACGGCCGGTTATTATAGAGGAATTTTACAATGCTATATAGTATTGGTGCTATAGGTTTTTGCCTTTATGGTACAACTTAAAATTGTACATTTATGTTATGGTACAATTTCAGATTGTACCTATACTGTTTGTCCAAATTCTTTTATGGTACAACTTAAACTTGTACCTTTATGTGATGGTACAAATTCTTTTATGGTACAATCTAAACTTATACATTTCATGTTATGGTACAACTTTAAGTTGTACATTAAAGCACCAATACTATATAGCATAGTAGAAATGCTCGGTTATTATATTGTTAATTATATCGATCTTATGATTTGGTTTTATCTATTAGAAATTAGACTATAGTATCATGTATCAAACTACAATTGGTTAATGATCTAAAAGCCAAACTCACAAGGCGTAGTTAACAGGTGTATGGTAGCTTGAACCTATATATAAATGTTTTTCATCCCAATTAATATGGACTATTTATATATAGAGGAGCTACACATGCTTTTAGTTTTAGACATTGCAAATTTTGAAAATCACATAAATTCTTTGTAAGTACAAAAAATTCTTATATAAAATGGCTCAGATTCCAATACAAAACTCATTTTATATGTAGTTATACAAAATTAGATATAATTGTTTTTTTATGAATAGATATAATGGTTTTAATTAGGGAACACATATTGTTTTTTATGAATTAGGAAAACAAATATCTTATGGTCCACATCTTAAATGGACAAGGAGGAAAAATATGGCAAATTTTTGGGGGTGGTGCCAATTTTCAGATATGCTCGTGAGTTTGAATCAAGCTCGTGAGTTGGTTTTTGTGACTTAAGGAAACTTGTGGTATGCTTTAATTTTTTTTGATATGTTTTTATAAATTTGTGGTCTGCTTTATAAGATTTATAGTATGTTTTTATGAATTTTGTAGACTGGTGAGTTCTAGTATGTTTTATAAGCTTTCTGATTTACTTTATATTATTTGTGATATGATTTGTTGTGTTTAAGGTCCGTGTTTTGTGGCCTGTTTCATGATACATGTGGTGAGCAGTGAAACGTATTGTTGATGACAGCTGATACATATGTGTGTCCCCATTCATTTTCAATAATGACAAGCGTGCACATCCCTTTACAAATTCGCATATTGATTATGATCAACACCTTGAAATAAAATAAAATAAATCATTAGAGCAAAATGTTCTTATTGACCGAAGTAAGTGTTCGCACCATACTGAGAAATGGGGTGTTACCACCTTTGGTCCTCTAAACCTAGTTTTTATGTGAATAATCTGTTTTTTTTTTTAACGGGAGAAATTGTACGGATAATTTAAACAAACAGACAGGAATAAAACTCTCGGTTAGGCGGATAGTAGATATATATTTACATGATTATCAAATAATAAAATACTTCCGTTGTTGTTAGCAAAAATGACAACTAGGGGCATACTCGTCAAAATATACATGACGAGCCCAAAAGAAGGAGGGATAAACGACGAGGAAAGAGTTTTGTTTGTTTACAGCTGCCAATTAAATATATCTAAATTAAAATAAAAAACATAGAATCCTACATGATAATTGATGGTTCGGGTGTATTGTGTCCAGCGGTTTGGTTTGGTTTGGTCTGATCATATTGAATTGATATTTGGAATGGAGCATACTTGATCAAGTATAATATGAATATCATATGATTTTTAATTTCATGAATTTTATAAGTATTAATGAAAATATAGATTGAAGTGAAATGTGGATCATACATAATTGAATATAAACGAATAGAATGCAATGATGATCTTATTCTTTTTCTATTATCAAATCGTGATTCAATATTTTAGAACCCTACCGTAACGGCTGGTTGGACCCGAAAAATATCGATACTGCACTTCAAATCGTAGGCAGTTTTAATAATATGAAATGATTGAACCATAATTTTAATATTTTACCACTAATTTTTTTGGTATAAATTACTGTACAATTTCACATGATTAGATCTGAACCGGTCCGGACCAATGCACACCCTAACCCAGCTGTAGATATATATTGATGCATAAATAAATAAAGAAAAATAAGGAGAAAAAGAGGTTTATTTTTCATAAATACTTTTTGGTCCTAAATTGTAGCTTTTAGTTTGGCCGGGGATTTCTATGGTGGGAAAAAAAAACGCTACCCTAACTGAAAAACTAAAGAACGGAAAAACGAAGCCCCAAAATTTCATCTTCTTCGTCGGTTCTTCTCCTTCATTCCTTCTCCTTCTTCCACCGTTTCTTTCTCTCTCCCTCTCGACTGTTCTGCTTCTTCCAATTCTTGAGCTCAATTGACCAGAGAGGAGAGAGAGAGAGGGGGAGGCTAGTAGAGTGTGCACAGACGGCGCACATTAGCGCCGGGGCCCTAATTCTGCGCCCTGGTTCGGGTTTGTTTGGTGGTACTATTTCCTTTTCCCTTTTCCCCTTTCCCTTTTTCAATGGATTCCTCCTCAGCTTGGCTTTGAGAAAGAGCAAGACATCTGATTCCAGCTCCACCTCCCCCTTCGCTTTTGGGGGCAGGGAGGGAGGGATTGATTTCACGGCATTTTTTTTGTTTCTTCTCCTCCCGCAATTTGGAGCGGCGGCGGCGGTGACAGTGGCGGTGGTTTCGAATCTGGCGGACCTCAAAGGAACCCTAGCGTTCTTTCTCCAATCCTCTTTTCTGTCCGCCTTGGCAGATCGATTCGATTTCAAGTCGAAGAAGAAGAAGAGGAGGAGAGGGATTCACCATCTGACGAAGATGCTCTGGATTATGCGGTTCTCTGGCTTCATCTCCGCCGCAATGGTCATGATTATCCTCTCTCCTTCCTTGCAGTCTTTCCCTCCGGCGGAAGCCATCCGATCTTCTCACCTCGATGCATACCTCCGGTTCCCCGTGCCCTCCGATTCGCACCGACGGTTCTCTTTCCGGAAGGCGCCGGTATTCCGCAATGCCGCTGAATGTAGGTCCTCCGACCGGAGGGAAACCGGCGTCTGCGACCCTTCCTTGGTCCACGTCGCGATTACTCTCGACGTCGAGTACCTCCGCGGCTCCATGGCCGCGGTCCATTCCATCTTGCAGCACTCCATGTGTCCCGAGAGCGTCTTCTTCCATTTCCTGGTGTCGGAGACCGATCTGGAAACCCTAGTGCGGTCGACGTTCCCGAAATTGAAGTTCAAGGTGTACTACTTCGATCCGGAGATCGTGCGGAGCCTGATCTCGACGTCGGTGAGGCAGGCGCTGGAGCAGCCGCTCAATTACGCGAGGAATTACCTGGCCGATCTGCTGGAGCCCTGCGTCCGCCGGGTCATCTACCTCGACTCAGATTTGGTGGTCGTCGACGACATTGCCAAGCTGTGGACGACGAGCCTGGGCGCGAAGACGATCGGCGCGCCGGAGTACTGCCACACAAACTTCAGCAAGTACTTCACGGCGAGGTTCTGGTCGGAGCGGCGGTACGCGGGTACGTTCGAGGGCCGGAAGCCGTGCTACTTCAACACGGGGGTGATGGTGATAGATCTGGCCAAGTGGAGGCGGGTCGGGTACACGAAGCGGATAGAGAGGTGGATGGAGATTCAGAGGAACGACAGAATCTACGAGCTGGGGTCCCTGCCTCCGTTCTTGCTGGTGTTCGCCGGGCAAGTGGCCCCGATCGAGCACCGGTGGAACCAGCACGGATTGGGCGGCGACAACGTCCGGGGCAGCTGCCGGGATCTCCACCCGGGTCCGGTCAGCCTCCTGCATTGGTCCGGCAGCGGGAAGCCATGGAGCAGGCTCGATTCGCGGCGGCCGTGCCCACTGGACGCGCTCTGGGCGCCATACGACCTGTACGGACACTCGCTTTGAATCAGGCAGCCCAGCCACCGTCCGCCGGTAAATTCCGCCCTCCCAAAGAACACTGTTTCTCTTCTCATTTTTGCATTTGTTTATGCTCTGCTTTCACAAATTTTTTTTTCTTTTTGCTTCTTGTTCTTCTTTTTCGGTGCTTATCTTCTCTTCTGCAACTTATTCCTCCTCCTCCCACCATTTTACTGTGCTGCTCCACTCATTGTTAGTTTTGGTTTGCCGACTGATTCTCAGGCCATTTGTAATGTATTCCATTTTATTGTTCTTGGCTCTGAAAATAAGGACACAGAAGGAAAAAGAAAAGAGAAAAAAAAAGGGTAGAAGCTTCAGTTTCTTATCTTGTAGATTGGATTGAGGTTCTAGAGAAGGAACAGCGGTCACCATTGCTTGTGTTTAGACTATGAATGATGAAAAGTAGAAGAAGCAATCACCATTATTAACCAGTTGAAGCAATTTCTCCTCGGCTATGTGGTTCTGAGAGCTGTGTTTGTGTGTTTTTAACTTTGATGTTGACTCCAAAATCTGAATCCTTAGTGATAGCCCAAGGGGGGGGGGGGGGGGGGGGGGGGGGGGGGGGGGGGGATTGAATGTTAGCTATCTGCATCCATTATTAATTCTGATTGAGCTTTGCTAGCTATAACTAGACTCTTAAGTTTGAACTCATACCCAGAATGTGTTGGATGTCAAGTCAAGTCGTGATCTCGGGTGTGAGCTATAAATGAAGGATTGTGTGAACTGATCTCTGTGGTTGATGGAATGTCCCCTAGATGTGTCTGTTTCTTTCGGGATGTCGCTATCTACAATGACAATTTTCCAGTTTGTTTGGATGGTGTCTGAGAGGCATGGTTAATTGAAGTTAAGAGAGGGGTTAACCTGTTTCTTTTGGTAATTAAGCAGCAAGCAGACTAGGTGAAAGGGGTTAGCCTGTTACTGTGGGTTTGGAGAAGTTAGTTTTCCAATATTCTTGGAAGTATTGTGGATGATGGATGCTGATGCGGGAGCAGCAGCAGCAGTAACATATGCTGGGATGGTCAGCTTCGCGAGATCGGCTGGAGCCCGTCTCTAACAATGTTGCTGCTGCTGCACATGAGAAGAGATGAAATGTTTGATGGCTGGAACGAGTGAGGGACTGTGGCCTAGCTTGTCCGGTGAAGTTAGAGTAGCCTAATTGTGAATTGCGATGTTTGGCTTTCATCATTTTCTTGTTTGTCGAACTAGGGAATGAACTAGGGAGTAGCGTCTAGCGCGTGTTTGTCTGTTTGTTTGTTACCTTGTTACCAAGCAAAGAGGCAGAAGGGGAGAATGTTTTAAGGTGGCTGGCTGGGCTCATGATTTTGGCGTCTCCTCTCCTCCTTCCTTACTTTCTGTAGCATTAGCCACCTCCCTTCCCCGCGGCATAATATCGTTTTCGTTCTATTTTTGTATTAGCTCTTTTGCAGTTTTGCTTCTCTTTTCCTTTATCGTAGGAATGAAATTTATTCATCAATTCCCTTTTTATTTCTAGGTTATTCAACTATACATATCTTCGTTTTATTCAAACGAGAAGTGGCGTTTGAAGAGTGGAAAAAGCATGTGAGATCGTGTGCAACTAATTCCTACCCATATAATTCATCAATAATTTGTGATTCCAACAAAAAAAGAGAAAATAAAACAGGCAATCACCAACTATGTATGCATGTATTATCATTACTTGTTTATGTAGAAACACATGTACAGAGAGCGAAGAATGAAAAACCATGAGATCCAGTTTTCTCAACTACTTTTTGATCACTATCCACATTAAAAATATGCCTAATTTTATAGAGGAGGAGACACTGCCATCCCATGCCTTGCCTACTACTTTCAGGAAAGAATTTTTTTTAACTGATATACTTAATTATTGAAAAACCAAATTTTTTTTACACTTGGAGACATTCGTTTTGCGACGCCAAATCCCGCCTCCATAGATACCCAGCAAACCCTAGGAGCATTTAATACAAACTTTACATCCCTGTCTGTGACCACCAAGGGGGTAACGGAGAAGTGGCAGCCCCCCCGAAGATTGTGTGAAGATCTCCTTGATGTAGCCGATCCTGACTCTAGGTGTTCGTCTGGCCTGATTGTTCGTGGCTCAGACGAGCATGTCGTGTTGGCATTTGGGACCCTACACTAAGGAGTGTTTGATCCATACCTAGCAGAACTGCTGGCCGCCAAAGATGTCATTTCGCTTGTTGTCTATAGAAACTTGCCCCGTTCAATCGTCAAAGGTGATTCTGAGGTGGTCTTTCAACAGTTTTGCCAAGGAGTTACGTTAGTTTCTCTAAGTGGACATGTTCTTCGGGTTTGTCTTCAGTTGTTTGTCTCTGCTTCTATCTGTCTAAATTTGAGGGTGGTTTCTCGAACTGCAAACACCGCTGCCCATAGAGTGGCACGTAAAGCACGATTATCTCCTTTAATGGTAGTGTCCTTGGATTTTGTATGGTGGCTTCATCGAGGTATTACTTTGGTAGGGTTCCTACTTCCTAGATAGTTCTTTGATTGTATCACTTCTTTTCTCTTGTTATTACTTGGGGGGAAAAACATAGTTAGATTAAATCTGCTTTCTTCCTTTTCTCCACGTCGGGCTCAAATTTGTCCTTCCTTTCCTGGCTGGGTCGGTCCTCTTTCTCTATGTAATCACGAGAAATCGACACAATTCTATTCAAACTTTCGTACGCATCGATTGAACTTAATTGGATTGCTCCCTCTTATGTCAAGAGCCACGCCACCCTAATACTCTACCAAGGTCCAAGAAAAGGGATAGATAGATATAAAATGATATCACTGTATCGTATTAAAACACATGCTCCACCTTTTGTGCAGGCCCTCGTTAATTTCTTTGAATTTCGATCTTGCGACCGTACTCCGCAAACGGAGTGTTTCACGTGTTAGTTGGGCCCCATCCTATAGTCTAAAGTGACCTCACCAAGGAGTTGAGGAATTTAGCTCACCACAGAGGAGAGAGGAGAAAACAAAGATGAACATGGAAGAATCTTCATGAGGATAATCTTCTTCTCTTTAATCTTCTCTTTGCCCAAATTGTCAGCTCTAAAGGTGAGTTTCCAAGGGCAATACTCTCCTTGTTGCTCTCAAAATGGTGCTCTCTCCCTCCAAGAAATATGCTATCTCTCTTCAAAGTGTATTTCAACTATTCTATTTACCTCTTTGGAGAGTGTTTCAACATTTGAAATACTCCTAGCCTCTTGTTGGTTGGGTTTCTAAAAAAATAATTGTATCATCTGAAAAAAAGACAGTGATGGTCAAATATCTAGGATTGAGTTTAATACATGTTAAACAATCCTTACCAACCGCCTTCTCAATTAAAAAAAAAATTAGAGCAATAGACATCAAAATGAAAAGAAAGGGACAAAGAGGGTCTCCTTGAAGGATGCTACAAGATGGGTAGAAGAACTATGCGGCCTCCCCATTTAACATAATGGATAATTTGACTAAGCGAATGCAAGCTCTGACCCACTTCACCATCGATTATTGAACCCATAATTACTTAGGACTTAGGAGGGTTTCCAGTTAATCTCAATCAACCATGGTATAAGTCTTTCTCATATCCAATTTAAGCATCATATCTCCGATAGATTTCGACGACAGTGGAGTGCAACCCGAATTGACAATGATTCGATTCCACAACCTTTTCATGAAAAACCACCGCCTCGTCGAATTCTGCTCTCCAAAAAGTCTACCACAACACACGATCCAATCTAACTTTAATTATATTTTGACTCGTGCATTGAAAACATTTGCACAGAAGGAACGAGTTCATCATAATCTATTGGATCTACACATTTTTTAGTGAACAAATTACAAGACTAAAAAATACCACACAATATCATACATACTAGAATCCGTTCCCTGATCCGTTCCCGTTTATGTCCTCCGCATCTCAATACTAGAATCCCGACATGTAGAAGGGTGCCTTCTACGTAGATCGTCCCTTCACCTCTGGGCCTGAAACTTACAATTTTCTTGTTTGCGGGCCAAGGTCCGGCCCATTTGCGACACCAATCAAATTCCGAAACCACAAAGGACAAACATACCACAAACAAAACGGACGTAAAACAACAAAAAATACGAAATTAACCCCAGAAGGGGCTTCAAAACCCGACAGACGTCAGGGGCAAAAGAGAGAAATTCACAGGTCCCTTTCCAGTGGTCGTTTGCCGGTGGGAGCCAAGGTAAATACGCGGGAGGAGAGGAGAGGCTCTCAAGAGAAAGAGGGGAAGCTAAGGGGAAAAGGGAGAAATCGTGTCGATTAAGAATTCATCCGCCACCGCCTCGCTGCGCCGTCTGTTGTCTATCCCCGTCGACGCATTTTCCGTCAGCTCGCTCGGTCGCTCTATGTTTGGTTGCGGCAACGAACTGGTTAGCTATGCTTTAAGCCAGTAAAACTGAAATACGAAAAGGACGGCGAGGCCAACGACGGAGAGGAGATTCGTGAATCCGGTGGTTGTGTTGGGATTAATTCGTGGTTGTGGGATCATCAGGTGAACTGGAGTGATGGAAGACGATAAGTGGAGCATCGGCACGTCTACTACTTCATCTAGGGCTTATCAGCAGGATTCTAAATTTTTATCTGGTAAGGCGTTTCGATAAATTTTTGCCTTCTAGGTTTTTTACAGTGATTTAGGTTGTGTTTGATTGACGATCTTCTGGGGAGGAAGGATCGTTCCTGTGGTGGGTTGTGTTTTTAGAAGTAATCTGACTTCTGGGTGGTGTTTGGCTTCCGCGAAATATCAGATCTTTGCATTGATTTTGAATCGCTAGAAGACACGGATGATCACTTGCTGGCGGATTTTCCCTGCCCGTATTGCGAAGAGGACTATGATTTGGTTGAATTGTGCTGCCATATAGATGATGAACATCCGTACGAACCCAAGTCAGAGGTAACTCTCTTGTTCTGTTGTTTCTTTGGCAGGCTCAATTAGCTTCCCTTTATGAAATTGAGATTAGGGCTGGATTTTTAATCCAGCTAGTTATTCATGTCCATTGCAGTTCAGGTCCTTTAAAACTTATATCTCTTGGTTACTCGTTTTCTTATGAACCTTTACACTGGGTTGTATTATTCATACTATCAATCCTTAGCATATATGTGGGATCAACCTGAATTTAGCTCTTTTGATCAAGACAATTGCGCGTTCTGCTGACAGTTCCGAAAATTTTGTGTGGAACAAGCAGTGGCTCAAGAAGAGAGTGAAAGGAATTGTATTATAATTTCTGAACTGTACTTAGTTGACATGAATCACAGTGCCTGATTAAACTCCTTGCTTCTAGTATTTTCTTCCTTTATCTGCAAGTTTCTGACAATGAGTAATGTTCCCATTTTCAGATGTGCCCTGTTTGCGGTCTAACCGATGCTATGGACATGGTTGCCCACATAACATCACAGCATGGAGACATGATTAAGATATCCTTCCATATTTGATTTAAAGACTTAAGGATATACTGTATTTCAGTGTATTATCTGAGACCAGTGGTTATGGCTTCCTTTGTTAACCACAGCAAACCATATGCTCTACTCTTTTGGATTCCTTAACCTAGGCTCACAGTTTACAGAAGTTGAAGCGTCGAAAAGGGGATTTACGGTCATCACTGTCCTCCCTGAAGAGAGAAGCAGAAGATGATTACTTGCAATCCTTGTTTTCTCGGTCTTCAGCTGCTGTGCTTCCCCCAACAGATCCATTACTGTCATTCCTTCACCACGTGCCCTCTCTGGACAAAGCAGACAGTGCACAGTCTTTTCTATCAACTGAAATAGATGCCGGGAAGCAGCAGCCAGTTGATATAAAAACTGAAAGGTTAGTTTGTCTTTTCTATCAACTCAAGTAAATGACGCTTTTTCAGTTCTAACTGTTGGTTTCTGGTGAACTGAACCGAAGATACATAGTTAACGGGAAATATGTATATATATAGAATCCTGAGGGGTGGCCTAGTACTGAGTTTTCAAGTATCCCCATCTGTTCTTTTCTGGTACCACCCTATTGTTATGGTATCATCGCAACAAAAGTACGTTGGAATATGGTCCTTCAGATTTAAAGGGGAAGGAGAAAGAGCTTTCACTGCAGAATGCTGAACTTAGTTTCTGTATAACAAGTGTATGTGACTGACTTTTGTTCAAGATAGGTGGGGGAAGGAGAAAAGCTCCCATGAGATGACGATAGGAGCAATCTTTTATATGAACTTTTCCTTTCCCATTGATCAATGGCCGCAAACCCCTAACTTTACTCTGTGTCATCTACAAGCTTTTCATACCCAACTTTCCTCTGAATCTGTGTTCTTATGCGGGCACACTGATTGTCTTCTATATGGATGCAGTGTTTCTTCCCCTCCTCTGTCAGACAAGGAACATACAGAGAAGACACAGAGAAGCCAGTTTGTACAGGGGCTGCTGTTGTCCACCATGCTTGACGATGACTTGTGAGTGATAGAGTCTATGCCATTGTCATTTGCGGCGGACCGGGGATGGTTCGTTTGCCTGTGTTTGAGCATCAGTGCGTTCGATGAAGATCACTTCTATTCCCCCCTTGTTATTTTTTCCCTGATGGCTGCAACTTAATTGTTAGGAATAAGTTAGTATTTGTATCCAGTAAGTTTGGAAATTGTACTCCAGAACGTATTTATCAATGCAATTGGTTGGAGAAACAAACTTGTGTTGGATTCAAGTAGATAAGAAATTGGTTAGTGCCTCTACATTGATCTAATTGGGTTCGAAATGTACAGATTTCTTCATTTTATGTCCTGTTCTATTTGGCACATGACAGGGCATCTAGTTTCAGACTTATCAATTAGAATATATGACTGTTATCATTCTTAGCACAATATAAGCCTAAAGTAGTATCATTAGCATTACACCTAATCTTGTAGTTATGATTTTCAATCATAATTAGATTACATAATAACACCTAAATTCCCTGTAACCAAAGAGTAAACATCACCAGTCAAAAGAACAAGGGCCCTCTATGACCGGGAAAATAATTAACCGGCACCGGAATCGCGTCGAGACCCATAAGCTTCGGTACAACTCCCGGTTTGCACCACACCACATTTCCACCACCGCCGTTACATCCACTCCTCCTAGGCGGCTGATCACGGTGGCAGTCCCGATTTCGATCGACGAAATTCGCGAGCCTTTTGGGGTCGGGGCGGCGGCGGAGTGGCTCGTCGTCGTTGAGGAAAGAGGAGCGGTACATGGCGTCCTTGCCGTCGAGGGAGAAGCGGGGCGGGTACTGGTTCAGTGCGTTTCGGGCGGATCTCAGCACCCGATCCGAACTCGTGTTGACGCACGACATCCTTCTAGTCACCGCCGCTTTCCTGGCCGCCGCCGCCGCCTCCTCCAGTTCCAGCTGCATAATCATCTCCTCCAGTGTCCGGTTTGTTGAGGCTCGGGCCGCCGCCGGTGACGATGGTGGGCGCTGCTGCCAAGCCGGAACCGCTGAATAACAAGATAACCAACAACCCTATTATCGCAATATATACTCCGTTTAATACGCGTTTACTAAACTTGTCTGTATCCATTTGATGACTCATGTACTAAACTACTTATCGGCGTACCGTATTTTACCAACTATGAATTACAGGTCAACCAAATCGTACCTAATCCGTTAATCATATTGTCGACACACGGAATCTCGGCCTCGTCGTTGTCGCCGTCGTGAAGGCGGCTGCGGCGGCGGTGGTGGTTGATGGTGCAGGAGCTCCTGTTGTTGAAGAGGAAGACTTGGTCGTTTCGAGCTGTAGAGGTAGAGGCATCCCCCTGGCACAAATTCCTGAGCCGTCTTTTCATCCTAGCTCCGAAAGAAAGACCTCCCGCTCCTTCTTCTTCCACGTACGAATAGGCGCTCCTCCTCATTATTTGTGTTGTGCAGCGTGATTGTGAAACTGTATCGTACCAGCGAATCGACACAGAGTATAACACCAGTAGCTAGATATGGTTGTATCGTACGTATAATTAAGCCGTGACATTTGATTTGATTTGATCGATCGATAATAATAACTACGTGCGGGGCTGTTAATGAATGCGGCGCGGGAGCCATTATCTCAGCTACGTAATTCACGAGTTTCATTCCACCATCACAGACTATACCTTACCTGCAACTGCAACATCTTCACGTGGCCGGCCGTCTCCCTTCTTTAATTTTGCCCTCCATTGCTGGCTATCTCCATACTTCATTCTTCCCTTTTTTTCTGGATCTTCTACGTGGACATTAATACACTATTCAGCATCATTTTCGGTGCTGTTCGGGTAGGAATCCTGTGATAACATATAAGTACGTGACGAAGGAAAACGGAAAGGTTAATACCACCACTTGCTTTTGATTTTTAGCAGGACACCTTTCCTTAGCCTTTGTAGCTCTTTGCTTTTAGCCAACATATAAATTCAGGAAAGTAAAAAAAAACAAAAAAAAAAGAAATCTTATTACAGCTACCCCAAAAGATGAGGGGCGTCTGACTGCAAGTTCAAAGTTTACAAATAGAGAACAACAGTATTGGTAACTGGTAATACAATGAATATACAGAAGAGAGACACCACTCTAAACCCAAACTCGAAGTTTACAAAGCAACTCAGATAAAAAGATAAGCACTCAGTAAACACACCTCTCTCTCCCTCACTCTCAATCAACAAACCGTAACAGATAAAAAGAAGACAAAAAAAAAAAAAAAAATGGCACAACCAATCTTCAAACCATTGTGTAACTTTCTATAGATAAAAAAAAAATCAGGTATCAAAGACAAATTGCAACCTCTCTGAACGTGGTTGTGGCTGGCTGCTAGATGAACCTCTATTTTCTGTTCCCGGGCTTGCGTTTCCCATCAGTGGCAGTCATCGTTTGCCTTCCCTTCCGGTGCACTGGAACTCCATTGCCGGATGGCAATTTCCGTGATGGAGAAGGGCCGAGCATAGGGGACGAGTTATGCTGCCTGCAACCAACGTCGAATGAGCAGCTCCTCAGGAACATGTAACAACATTTGTGTCAAACAAGAAACGCCAATTGGGTGAATTCTAGCCATAAATTCAAGGTAGAATGGATAGAACTTTCGGGCAAACAATTGAGGGGGTAGGAATCTTTATAATTGCAGACAACATTGCAACATGTTCTTCTAAGTTCAATTTAAGGTAGGCACTTATGAGCAATGTTCAACAACTTCTTAGGAGAATCAGGTGCAAGACATTCTGTGTAGAAGAATGTTCAATAAGGTGGAACTTCTCATGACTACAATATGGCAATATTCGTTATGTTAAATACACTGGGGTCGAACTTTCAATGGAATAACTGAGCCGTTAGGAGTATTGTTTACCATTTAAGAGACGTTTGTCATAATGTTCTAACTACAACTTAGAGTTGGAGGGGGGAAAGTTACCTCAAGTCTGGAGTTCTTGATGCAGTTGATGAAGTTGTTTTCTTGTTCTTCCGCTCCATCCCACTCCCCATGTTGCCGAGTTTGCACTGATTGAACTGCCATAGCAGATCAGGTTCTGACGAGTCACAGGTGTCAGCATCTAGATCATCCATCTCGTCTGTGCTGGAAGCATTGTACGTGGTGAACCCGCTGTTGCCTGTGAACACGTTGTATGACTGCTGCGAATAAGCTTTACTAGGATCCGAGAGATACTTCTGGTACATTGCTTCAGGGAAATGCCCATTCTCTGCTTCCCAGCAACCTAAAGAGCTGTCAAGTCTGTTTGCAGCATCCTGCTTGTTCACCATCACCTTGTCCACCCACTCACCAGACCCTATTTCTCTCTCCTGCTCTCCACAATTTTGGCTGTGACTAATGATGGGTGGCCATGGCGGTGAATTCGTCAATAGTTCATCCTGATCAAAACTTTGTGTCGTTTGCCTCAACAAAGTATTTGTTCGGACCTGCATGAAGGCGTAGTCAGTCAGAATTCTTGTATGTTGCTGTGCTAGTGAAATGAGGACATTCCACATTGCAAATATAATTCTCACTAGCAGTAAATTGTGGGGTTAATGCTGTAAGTTCTTTTTTTTTTTTATCACCTCTATGTTGCCTACATCGCCCATTGGTTGTCTGAGGTTACCGCTTTCATGGTCAACATTTCCAAGACGCTGGTTAGAATTAAATGGTGAGTACTCAGATTCCTTTACTCTTTTGTGTCTGTCGTTGCTCCCATATGCGGTTTGCTCTCTGGCTTCTTTCTTCAATAATGCTGCCTTAAGGGAGGCAACCTAAACAAAAGCCACAGCAGTACAATCATGAGTTCAAATGAAGCTGTTGACAAAGCTTGCCAACTTATTGTTGCAGGAAGTGCATTGTAATCACCTGTTCTTTAAGCTCTTTTACGTCTGAACTATCTTTGTTCACTCGAGCAGCACCGAGTTCTACGGTTGCAACTCGTTCTGCAAATTTAAGCGTGCTTATGGTTTCTCCAACAGCATCAGGTTCAGGACTGATGTGAACAAACATTAGCGTCTTGGCTTGGCCTCCTGCAACGACAGTGTTAGCAAAGAGAGAAAGATGAAGTAACATTCAGAACTCCGATGGGTTTTGGCCTTACCAAGTGAATCTTGAAGCAGTTGAGTAAGTTTGCTGTTCCGGTAAGGGACATGGGGATTCTTTTGAGCGAGGGAAGCAATCACGTCTCCTAGAGCTGAAAGCGATCTATTGATATGCTGCGCCTCTTTCAGTCTATCACCTCTAACCTCAGATTTATCTACCCTCTCACTCCCTGCCAGATCAACCAAGTGCATACACCCACGCAGAACTTTTCCAGAGGTCAAGTCTTTTCCTTGGACGTGAACAGTCAAGCAACTGCAATATCACATGACAGTTGAGGAACTTCTACCCGCTGCGAATTCCAAGGTATTAAAATTGCGAAAGGACGTGAACTTACCTATGAGAACGGCTGCTGCGGTCATTGAGGGCTGTGGCACCCACTGCACGGTTTCGATGTCCCAAGTTCATCAAGTAGATGACATCAGATGTTGATGCTACTGGAACTAGGTTTGCGTCCGGTACATTTAGACCCGTCTGTGAACTGTTGCGAATTTCTAATGTGTCAAAAAGTTAAGGACGAACAATGTTGGATTAATTCAGAATGATATCTGAGATGAAGTTAAAATGTGTCAGTGTTGAAAATAAAGTGTATCAATTAATATGAAAAGCAAAATGGAACAACTGGAAGAAGGTGCAGGGGTGGGAGATGCAGAAGGATATCTCTTGTTGCTTCCATCACTAACAAGAAGATCTCGAACTTGTTCATTGTAAATCTCAATCATCTGAACTGCCACATTGTAACAGAAGGTGTCTTTTCTTTGTTCCGCTAGAAGAAACAAATCGCTCAATGCTCTATAGTTTACACCTTTGCTTTGCTCTGTAAGATCTCTGGGTCCTGTCTGGATATGCAGACAAAACAAATCAACAACATTCTGATTATAGGTTGCCATTCTATGATGCAAAGTGAAAGCTTCTCTTTACCATGGTGTAAGTCTTTCCTGATCCTGTTTGACCATATGCAAATATGCAGACATTGTATCCATCGAGAACAGAGCGAATTAATGGTTGCATATCAGAGAAGACTTCAGCTGTCATCCGAAGGAAGTATGTGAGTCAAAAGTTGCATAAGTTGTTGAACCACACTAATCTTCAAATCAAACTCCAATAATGTAACCTTGGGTTGCAGATGGTCCATAGACTTTATTGAAGCTGAAGGATTTCCTGCTCTTCCCATGTTTCGATGATGTATTAATAGAAATGGTTCCTTCTTCCAAAGAATCCACACTGCTCAAGAAGTTTGATTGTCCAGAAAGAAATGGCCTCACTCGGCAGTAAACCCGGATACTTCCTGCTCAACAAAAATGAACTGTATGAACTTAAGAAAGCATCAGATGACCATCCTTAGATTAAGGCAAGCAGTAACTCACCCTTAAGGTCTTGGACCTGATTGTACAGCTTACGGTTCTCTTGAAGAACCTTGTGGTAACCGGATGCAGCATGAGCTAGGCCATGAATATGCACACCTGCAAAGAATGACAAATAAATTCAAACCTCCTAAAACATGGTTTTATGTCCAATAGAATACGAGTTTTTTTTACTCTTGTATTTGTGACCAAGGTGATTATTCCCAGAAACATACCTAGAGTGTTAAACTCCTCATGAAACTCTCTCTGCATGGAGTGCATACCAGCTTTTGCAATGTGGAGAGTTTGCTTCAAATCCTACACATAAAATCAAAGCTCGATTCTCTATATAATTGGCCCAGTATAAATAGTGAAACTAACATCCCAGACTAAAGCGTACCTGAATGTCGTGTTGCTGTTGATCAAACAGTGCCTGCTGCTTCAGGATTTTACTTCTCATTTCCTCAGTAGGCACGTGACATTTCTCATAGCTTTCTTCTTTCTTATAGACTCTGGTGCTTTTGGCTTCAGCCTGTGAGTTTTCCAAAGGAAGAAAGGAAAATTTGTTGGAGCAACATATTCATGCTCTAAACATAAAAGTCTTAAAATGCAACTGTGCTTCAACTGCGTTTCTGATGTCAATAAGTTAGGGAAGTGATTCCCTCAAATTCAGATGAAGGTGGTAATCAAGTGGTTACCTTTTTATCAAGGGGTGCAGAGTGGGTGGAGAACTTGTTGGTCTGACAAACAGCACTCTCTTTATTACTCTTTGCCTGCGAGAGGCAGAGCAAATAATAGATCAATAGTTGCAAAAAACCAGCATCCTGCAAATGTAAAAAGGACTAGGAAAAGATTGACACATACCATATCATAGTGGCCTGAAATACGATTCTCAAACGCCTCAACCACCTTTGAGAGCACTGATTCAACCAACTATTATAACAAAGAAAGAAGCAGCTTATCCTTGTTAGGATCAATAGCAAGCAGATAAGTCAAATGCTTGATGCTTGTGATTGTATAAAATTCGTACAAGATAAACCTTCAAAATTTTCAGTATGCTGCTGAAAAAGTTGAGCAAAATATTTGCACACCAATGGAACTTCATCCTTGCTAAGCCTAATAGAAAAACAGAATGCTGGAATGAACTATGATAAGTAGAGAGGAGTGAGTACAGCCAGTGTAATATCTCACCCCGGGAACTTCTTCTGGTTTCTTATCTGACAGAACTGCACGAACAAGCATACTCAAGGATCCAGTAACCTGCACAACAGGGAAAAGAAAAAGAGGAGAAGCATAACACTCGGTCATCTAAAGCAATGTAGATAATGCAATCATGAGAAACAGAATTTATAGTGTTGAGACGAACCATTTTACTAGGATCAACATCAGCAGAGAGAGTGTTCAAATGCTTCTCATATGCTGACATATTCCTAGACAAAGAATTGGTGAAGGGCTCCGAATTCTTTCTCACAAAAGATTTTGTTGGGACAGTAGGTTTTACATTCCCACCGAACTTCCAAACTCCATTTCCTCCTGCTTGTTTCCATTCACTGTAAGACTTAAGTGCCAAAACACTATTGACCACCCTTGCAGATTTACCTCCCTGCAAGATAATTCAAACCAGAAGAGAAGGAAACGGACCCATCAATTTTGAACCCAGAAAAGCTCTATAAAACAAGAGAGGAAGATGCTGTTTTTTTTTTGTTTGTTTGCAGAAAACAAGCTTTACTTACTTGCTCAAGATCAGAGGCTTCAAAAGTTGGAATTCCCATTTCCTGCACACCCACAAGGAAATTCCTGACATTCTCAAAATACTGAAATGCTGACAACGCTGCGCCTTCTGGTATAAGAGCGGCATCACACGGGCTCTCAACCACCTGAAAGGTCCATTAAATCGGCACACAAGCATTTGAGAAAGAGCCAAACAACCAAAACAAAACAGCCCTTTCAAATTTAGCATCAAGAGTTTGAGAACTTTTTTTCACCTTGGGGACAGCTCCAGTTTGAACCTTATTGAGGGCATTGCAGAGGATGATTCCGCTCCTGAGCCCAAGTCTGAACTCTTCTTCCGATGGCTCAGCTGGTAAATCCTTGGCCGCCAGTACTCCGATCGTCTTCCTCAACCACCCGGCCGCTTCATACCTTCTTGAGGCTACAAAAAAAAAAAAAAATCAATAATAATGATCATCAGACTCTTGTTCCAAAGCCTAGTTTCCAATTTCGGTTGCTTTTTTTTCCTCCTATGCCGATCTCCAGAAAAGGAAAGTTGGAGCTGGATCGGAGTCGAGAAAGCCGGAAAAGCAAAGCGACTATCATTCTATCAACCAATTACTCAACATTCCGCCATTATCTACGTCCGAGACACAATTCACAGCAAAATTGACTCAAAACTCAAAATCTTAAAGAGAAGACTGGAAAATGGCGGTTACCGGCTTCCTCAGCTCGTCTGGAGTCCAAATCAACGACTCCCAACCTAGTCCCGTGCTGTTGAAGTACATCCTCCACCACCGAAGCCGCCGAGAACGACAATGCCCCGCACTCGGCCATTTCTTCCTCCCTCGCCGGCGACTGTTTCGTCTCTCCCTTGCTTACTTTTCTCGCGATGCGGCTTCTCTTTCTTCCTTTATTTCGCTTTCTTCTTTCCCTTCTACTTTACTTTGCCTCTAACCATGGAGTACGCTCACATTCTCCTCTCATACAGGCGACAGATAAAAAGTTGCGGAGCGAGCGAGTGCTCTCTCTCTCTCTCTCTCTCTCCTTCTGGTAGTGAGTGAGGTTTCTGTTCTGCTGCTTTATCGTCCATTTCTCTTCTTCTCTGCTTGGCAGTGCCGAACCTAGCAGCTCCACTCTCCGAACCTACTTGTCATATTTTTGAATTAGATGTGGCCGTTTGGTTAGTGTGTTGTTTGGACTTTGGATCGCGAATGATGTAATGTGGCACACAATTTTTTTTATATTATTATAAAATGGAATAGGTGTGGTGTTTGTTTAACATTTTCCCGAATTTGAAAAAAGTTGTCTTCTATTGTGAGAGAAGTATGTTTGGTACGGTTTTAGAAAAAAAGTTTTAATCGTATGGTTGGGATTAAAAAAAAATTTAAGTTTGGTTATTCGAAATATTTAAATTCATTGGTGGTACTTCAGTTTATTGAAATCGTTCATTTTTTGTCACCCTTCGTCCAACTCCGTTAACTTTTGCTTACGTGGCGATCAACTCTAAAAATTGACCATTAATCGTATGGTTGGGATTAAAAAAAAATTTAAGTTTGGTTATTCGAAATATTTAAATTCATTGGTGGTACTTCAGTTTATTGAAATCGTTCATTTTTTGTCACCCTTCGTCCAACTCCGTTAACTTTTGCTTACGTGGCGATCAACTCTAAAAATTGACCGTTAAATGTACGACGTGACAATATAAAAATAAATATAAAAATAAAATTAATTTTTTAAAATTTACGCCTCATTTCCGACCATCCTGATTAAGAAGCTCAACAAAGAAGGGAAAATTGCTGAGCTCTGCGGCACCCAGAAGCTTAATAACAACAATCATAATCTCAATCAATTCAAGAACATTCAAATTGATCACGGCGGCAAAGGTAGCGGCGGCCAGAATTAGGGGTGGCAGTCGGTCGGTTTCGGTTTAATCGAAAACTCGATTATCGGTTAAACCGAGCCACGCCCTATAGATGCCGACCACAGACCGAAGATAGGTCATGGTTACCCGGCCAACCGACCGGTCGGTTCCGGTTTTATACTTGGTTAGCCGACCAACCAAAAAAATACATTTTCCAAAAAAAAAAACTAAAAATTAATTAAATAAAACAAAAAATCTCCACCACACCTTCCTTATCTCCTCCTCTCTCCTTCCTTCCTCCACTCCCATCGGCTTCTCATCCTCATCACCTTGCTCAACAACTCACAGAGAAAACAAACTCAAACAACAATGGCGGCTTCCCACTTCACCTTCATTTTACTCCTACCATTCCTATCCTCCCTTTCATCCGCCACCACATTCATAACCCTCGACCTCATCCACCGAGACTCCCCACTCTCCACACTCTACAACCCAAACCACACCGCCTTCGACCGCCTCCACGCCGCCTTCCTCCGCTCCATCTCCTGCCGCAACCACCGCCTCTGCCGCTACACCCCTCGCACCACCACCACCACCAACCGGGGAGGAGGAGGTCGTCGAGGCGAGGCGGCGGGCAGAGGCAGTCGCAGGGGCGTCGCTGAGGAATTCGACAGCGACGACAGAGCAGCCAGGGTGGGGCCTGTCGACCTTGGTGTGCCTGTCTTTCGAAGGCGGCTTCTTCACCGCGAGTGCGCCGGCGGAACCAGGAACGATGGCCGTGGAGGAAGTGGTGGTGGCGGTGGAAGGAGGGGGAGCGGAGGAGGCAGGGGAGGGCGGCGGCTGGACATGGTTGATGGGAGTAGAGAAGATTTAGGGATTCGAAAATGTAAGGAGAAGAAGAAGATTTAGGATTCGAAAATTTTGGGATTTATGGTTTATTCCTCCTCTTTTTTATATTTTTCGGTTGTGGGTCGGTCGGCCGGTTAACCGTGGTTAGCCGCCTTCGTTTACTCGGCAAACCAGAGAACCCTTCAGTCTTGCCAAACACCGACCGCGACTAATAACCGGCCGGTTTTTGGTTAGTGACTAACCGGCGGTTATCGGTGGAGAATAGCCTCGGCCTGATTCCGTGAACTGTAGCCTCCAGGATCGAAAGAAAATGGCATTTCGGATAAATCGCCCGAAATCTGTGATGGCACCCCTTTGGAATCTGCCCAAAATTGACCCGGAATAAATCCGCCCAAATCGGTGTTTAATGGACTCAATCATCGTTGGAGAATAGCCTCAGGCCGAATCCGTGATCTGTAGCGTTCAATATCCAAAGAAAATGGCCTTTCGTCGCCCAAGAAATTATGAAAATGCCATCCCAAAATAAATTGGCCCAAATCGATGCTTAACAGACTTATCATCCATGAAGAATAGGATCAATAGACTTCATTATCGGTGGAGAATAGCTTCGGCCTGATTCCGTGATCTGTAGCCCCCAAAATCAAAAGAAAATGGCAATTCGGATATATCGCACGAAATATGTGATGGCCCTTTGGAATCTGCCAAAAATTTACCCGAAATAAATCCGCCCAAATAGGTGCTTAATGGACACAATCATCGTTGGAGAATAGCCTCAGGCCAAATCCGTGACCTGTAGCCTTCAATATCCAATGAAAATGGCCTTTCGTCGCACAAGAAATTACGAAAATGCCATCCGAAAATAAATTGGCCCAAATCGATGCTTAACGGACTTATCATCCGTAGAGAATAGGATCAATAGACTTCATTATCGGTGGAGAATAGATTTGGCCTGATTCCGTAATCTGTTGCCTCCAGAATCGAAAGAAATTGGCATTTCGGATAAATCGCCTGAAATCTGTGATGGTACCCCTTTGGAATCTGCCAAAAATTGACCCGGAATAAATCCGGACAAATCGCTGCTTAATGGACTCAATCATCGTTGGAGAATAGCGTCAGGCCGAATCCGTGATATGTAGCCTTCAATATCTAATGAAAATGGCCTTTCGTATCCCAAGAAATTACGAAAATGCCATCCGAAAATAAATTGGCCCAAATCGATGCTTAATGGACGTATCATCCGTGGAGAATAGGATCAATAGACTTCATTATCGGTGGAGAATAGCCTCGGCCTGATTCAATGATCTGTAGCCTCCAGAATCGAAAGAAAATGGCATTTCGGATAAATCGCCCGAATTATGTGATGGTACCCCTTTGGAATCTGCCAAAAATTGATCCGGATTAAATCTGCCCAAATCGGTGCTTAATGGACTCAATCATCGTTGGATAATAGCCTCAGGCCGAATCCGTGATCTGTAGCCTTCAATATCCAATGAAAATGCCCTTTCAGCGCCCAAGAAATTACGAAAATGCTATCCGAAAATAAATAGGCCCAAATCGATGCTTAACGTACTTATCATCCGTGGAGAATAGGATCAATAGACTTCATTATCGGTGGAGAATAGCCTCGGGTTTATTCCGTGATCTGTAGCCTCCAGAATCGAAAGAAAATGGCATTTCGGATAAATCGCTCGAAATCTATGATTGCACCCCTTTGGAATCTGCCAAAAATTGACCCGGAATAAATCCATCCAAATCGGTGCTTAATGGACTCAATCATTGTTGGAGAATAACCTCAGGCCGAATCTGTGATCTATAGCCTTCAATATCCAATGAAAATGGCCTTTCGTCGCCCAAGAAATTACGAAAATGCCATCCAAAAATAAATTGGCCCAAATCGATGCTTAACGGACTTATCATCTGGGAGAATAGAATCAATAGACTTCATTATCGGTGTAGATTAGCCTCGGTTTGATTCCGTGATATGTAGCCTCTAGAATCGAAAGAAAATGGCATTTCGGATAAATCCACCGAAATCTGTGATGGTACCGCTTTGGAATCAACCAAAAATTGACCCGGAATAAATGCGCCCAAATCGGTGCTTAATGGACTCAATCATCGTTGGATAATAGCCTCAGGCCGAATCCGTGATCTGTAGCCTTCAATATCCAATGAAAATGGCATTTCAGCGTCCAAGAAATTACGAAAATGCCATCCGAAAATAAATAGGCCCAAATCTATGCTTAAAAGACTTATCATCCGTGGATAATAGGATCAATAGACTTCATTATCGGTGGAGATTAGCCTCGTTCTGATTCCGTGATCTGTAGCCTCCAGAATCGAAAGAAAATGGCATTTCGAATAAATCGCTCGAAATCTGTGATGGCAACCCATTGGCATCAGCCAAAAATTGACCCGGAATAAATCCTCCCAAATCGGTGCTTAATGGACTCAATCATCGTTGGAGAATAGCCTCAGGCCGAATCCGTGATCTGTAGCCTTCAATATCCAATGAAAATGGCATTTCAGCGCCCAAGAAATTACGAAAATGCCATCCGAAAATAAATAGGCCCAAATCTATGCTTAAAAGACTTATCATCCGTGGAGAATAGGATCAATAGACTTCATTATCGGTGGAGAATAGCCTCGTCCTGATTCCTTGATCTGTAGCCTCCAGAATCGAAAGGAAATGGCATTTCGGATAAATCGCTCGAAATCTGTGATGGCACCCCTTTGGGATCAGCCAAAAATTGACCCGGAATAAATCCACCCAAATCGGAGCTTAATGGACTCAATCATCGTTGGAGAATAGCCTCAGGTCGAATCCGTGATCTGTAGCCTTCAATATCCAATGAAGATGGCCTTTCTCGCCCAAGAAATTACGAAAATGCCATCCGAAAATAAATTGGCCCAAATCGATGCTTAACGGACTTATCATCCGTGGAGAATAGGATCAATAGACTTCATTATCGGTGGAGAATAGCCTCGGCCTGATTTCGTGATGTGTAGCCTCCAGAATCGAAAGGAAATGGCATTTCGGATAAATCGCTCGAAATCTGTGATGGTACCCCTTTGGAATCTGCCAATAATTGACCCGGAATAAATCCGCCCAAGTCGGTGCTTTATGAACTCAATCATCGTTGGAGAATAGCCTCAGGCGGAATCCGTGATCTGTAGCCTTAGATATCCAATGAAAATGGCCTTTCGTCGCCCAAGAAATTACGAAATGCCATCCAAAAATAAATTGGCCCAAATCGATGCTTAACTGACTTATCATCCGTGGAGAATAGAATCAATAGACTTTATTATCGGTGTAGATTAGCATCGGCCTGATTCCATGATCTGTAGCCTCCAGAATCGAAAGAAAATGGCATTTCGGATAAATCGTCCGAAATCTGTGATGGTACCCCTTTGGAATCTGCCAAATATTGACTCGGAATAAGTCCGCCCAAATCGGTGCTTAATGGACTCAATCATCGTTAGAGAATAGCCTCAGGTCGAATCCGTGATCTGTAGCCTTCAATATCCAATGAAAATGGCCTTTCTCGCCCAAGAAATTACGAAAATGCCATCCGAAAATAAATTGGCCCAAATCGATGCTTAACAGACTTATCATCCGTGGAGAATAGGATCAATAGACTTCATTATCGGTGGAGAATAGCCTCGGCCTGATTCCGTGATCTGTAGCCTCCAGAATCGAAAGAAATTGGCATTTCGGATAAATCGCCCGAAATCTGTGATGGTACCCCTTTGGAATCTGCCAAAAATTGACCCAGAATAAATCCGCCCAAATCGTTGCTTAATGGACTCAATCATCGTTGGAGAATTGCCTCAGGCTGAATCCGTGATCTGTAGCCTTCAATATACAATGAAAATGGCCTTTCGTCGCCCGAGAAATTACGAAAAAGCCATCTGAAAACAAATTGGCTCAAATCGATGCTTAACGGACTTATCATCCGTAGAGAATAGGATCAATAGACTTCATTATCGGTGGAGAATAGATTTGGCGTGATTCCGTAATCTGTAGCCTCCAGAATCGAAAGAAATTGGCATTTCGGATTAATCGCCCGAAATCTGTGATGGTACCCATTTGGAATCAGCCAAAAATTGACCCTGAATAAATCCGGACAAATCGGTGCTTAATGGACTCAATCATCGTTGGAGAATAGCCTCAGGCCGAATTCGTGATCTGTAGCCATCAATATCCAATGAAAATGGCCTTTCGTCGCCCAAGAAATTACGAAAATGCCATCCGAAAATAAATTGTCCCAAATCGATGCTTAACGGACTTATCATCCGTGGAGAATAGGATCAATAGACTTCATTATCGGTGAAGAATAGCCTCGGCCTGATTCCGTGATCTGTAGCCTCAAGAATCGAAAGAAATTGGCATTTCCGATAAATCGCCCGAAATCTGTGATGGTACCCCTTTGGAATATGCCAAAAATTGACCCGGAATAAATCCGGACAAATCGGTGCTTAATGGACTCAATCATCGTTGGAGAATAGCCTCAGGCCGAATCCGTGATCTGTAGCCTTCAATATCAAATGAAAATGGCCATTCGTCGCCCAAGAAATTACGAAAATGCCATCCGAAAATAAATTGGCCCAAATCAATGCTTAACGGACTTATCATCCGTGGAGAATAGGATCAATAGACTTCATTATCGGTGGAGAATAGCCTCGGCATGATTCCATGATCTGTAGCCTCCATAATTGAAAGAAAATGGCATTTCGGATAAATCGCACGAAATTTGTGATGGTACCCCTTTGGAATCTGCCAAAAATTGACCAGGAATAAATCCGCCCAAATATGTTCTTAAGGGACTCAATCATCGTTGGAGAATAGCCTCAGGCCGAATCCGTGATCTGTAGCCTTCAATATCCAAAGAAAATGGTCGTTCGTCGCCCAAGAAATTATAAAAATGCCATACGAAATTAAATTGGCCCAAATCGATGTTAACGGACTTATCATCCGTGGAGAATAGGATCAATAGACTTCATTATCGGTGGAGAATAGCCTCAGCCTGATTCCGTGATCTGTAGCATCCAGAATCGAAAGAAAATGGCATTTCGTATAAATCGCCTGAAATCTGTGATGGTACCCCTTCGGAATCTGCCAAAAATTGACCCGGAACAAATCCACCCAAATCGGTGCTTAATGGACTCAATTATCGTTGGAGAATATCCTCAGGCCGAATCCGTGATCTGTAGCCTTCAATATTCAATGAAAATGGACTTTTGTCGCCCAAGAAATTACGAAAATGTCATCCGAAAATAAATTGGCCCAAATCGATGTTTAACGGAATTATCATCCGTGGAGTATATGATCAATAGACTTCATTATCGGTGGAGAATAGCCTCGGCCTGATTCCTTGATCTGTAGCCTCCAGAATCGAAAGAAAATTGCATTTCGGATAAATCGCCCGTAATCTGTGATGGTACCCCTTTGGAATCTGCCAAAAATTGAACCGGAATAAATCCGCCAGAATTGGTGCTTAATTGACTCAATCATCATTGGAGAATAGTCTTAGGCCTAATCCTTGATCTGTAACCTTCAATATCCAATGAAAATGGCCTTTCGTCGCCCAAGAAATTACAAAAATGCCTTACGAAAATAAATTGGCCCAAATCGATGCTTAACGGACTTAAAATCCGTGGAGAAGAGGACCAATAGACTTCATTATCGGTAGAGAAAAGCCTTGGCTTGATTCCGTGATCTGTAGGCTCCACAATCGAAAGAAAATGGCATTTCGGATAAATCGCCCGAAATTTATGATGGTGTCCCTTTGGAATCTGCCAAAAATTGAACCGGAATAAATCCGCCCAAATCGGTGCTTAATGGGCTCAATCATCGTTGGAGAATAGCCTCAGGCTGAATCCGTGATCTGTAGGCTTCAATATCCAATGAAAATGGCCTTTCATCGCCCAAGAAATTACGAAATTGCCATCCGAAAATAATTTGGCCTAAATCGATGTTTAACGGACTTATCATCAGTGGATAATAGGATCAATAGACTTCATTATCCGTGGAGAATAGCATCGGCCTGATTTCGTGATCTGTAGCCTCCAGAATCGAAAGAAAATGGCATTTCGGATAAATCGCTCAAAATCTGTGATGGTACCCCTTTGGAATCTGTCAAAAATTGAACCGGAATAAATCCGCCCAACTCGGTGCTTAATGGACTCAATCATCGTTGGAGAATAGCCTCTGGCCGAATCCGTAATCTGTAGCCTTCAATATCCAAAGAAAATGGCCTTTCGTCGCCCAAGAAATTACGAAAATGCCATCCAAAAAGAAATTGGCCCAAATCGATGCTTAACGGACTTATCATCCGTCGAGAATAGGATCAATAGACTTCATTATTGGTGGAGAATAATCTCGGCCTGATTCCGTGATCTTTAGCCAGCCAGAATCGAAAGAAAATGGCATTTCGGATAAATCGCCTGAAATCTGTGATGGTACCCCTTTCGAATCTACCAATAATTGACCCGGAATAAATCCGCCCAAATCGGTGCTTAATGTACTCAATCGTCGTTGGAGAATAGCCTCAGGCCGAATCCGTGATCTGTAGCCTTCAATTTACAATGAAAATGGCCTTTCGTCGCCCAAGAAATTACGAAAATGTCATCCGAAAATAAGTTGGCCCAAATCGATGCTTAACGGACTTATCATCCATGGAGAATAGGATCAATAGACTTCATTATTGATGGAGAATAGCCTCGGCCTGATTCCGTGATCTGTAGCCTCCAGAATCGAAAGAAAATGGCATTTCGCATAAATTGCCCGAAATCTGTGATGGTACCCCTTTGGAATCTGCCAAAAATTGAACCGGAATAAATCCTCCCAAATCGGTTCTTAATGGAATCAATCATCGTTGGAGAATAGCCACAGGCCGAATCTGTGATCCGTAGCCTTCAATATCCAATGAAAATGGCCTTTCGTCGTCCAAGAAATTACAAAAATGCCATCCGAAAATAAATTGGCCCAAATCAATGCTTAATGGACTTATCATCCGTGGA